CACCTGTGTATATTGTTCAACATTACTGGTGTCCTCCCAGATGTAAGCTATCAATGCTAACGGCACTTATGCATCCCTCTGCTAGTGCAGAAAGTCAGGTGGTCCCTCTTCTCTGTAGAGAACATGGCGTCCATGATCTTCAAAAAGAAAGTTAAATTTTGATCAGATTAAAGGAAACTTCACGGGCTTCAGACCAGAGAAGTCAGCGTATTTCTATACTGTAGTACAGTCAGCATGGTACAATTTAACCTGCATTTGTGGACTTTGACAACAGTTCATTCATTCATTCATTGAGGGTTAACTGAGTTGAGTTTTTGGTTTACACCTTTGGGGCACCACTGGCCTTGTGGTCTTGCCCCCATCATTCCTCATTCCCTCCATTTCCCACTCTATCCACCTCAAGCCTTTATTTCAAAAGGCACCGAACACCTTTTTCAGACCTTTATCCTGTCAGTTGGAGACCCAATAAAAACCGGCTTATGTTTGGAATGTACCCCAAAGTGCTGAAAGTCCAGGTGCAAGATCAACAAGAATGTGAAACACTGATCCCCTTTGAAGGAAAGTTATTGTATTAAACTTTTATTAGAGGTCTCTGCTCTTCAATCAATCAATTAATCAATCACTTTATTTATAGAGCACTTTTCATACATGGACTGTATCACAAAGTGCTGTACATTAAAGAATACAAGAAGGAAAGGATCAGGGGATACCAAATAAAATACAAGATAAAATACAAATTGTAAAACCCCACCTACCCACCCACCCTCAAAAAAAACTTGGGTTTTGTCCTGGTTGAGCTGCAAGAAGTTGTCTGCCATCCAGGACTGGACGTCTAAAATACAGTTAAAAAGGGCATCAATGGGCCCTGTGTCATCAGGAGACACGGCCAGGTAGAGCTGTGTATCATCAGCATAGCTGTGAAAGTTAATGCCGTGTCTCCTGATGACATCTTCTAATGGTAACATATATAGATTAAAAAGTGTGGGGCCTAACATTGAGCCCTGGGGAACGCCACACTCCATTTCATAGGTTCTTGATTAGCGCTCCCCAGTGCTAACGTAAAATTTCCTGCCATTCAGATATGTTTTAAACCAGCTAAAAACAGTACCAGAGATGCCAATGTAGTTTTGGAGTCTGTTTAAAAGAATTTTATGATCCGCCGTGTCAAAAGCTGCACTCAGGTCCAACAGGACTAAAACAGAAATTAATCTTTCATCCATGTTGGACCTGAGGTCACTTACAATCTTGACCAGTGCCGTCTCTGTGCTGTGATTTTTCCTAAAACCAGACTGAAATACATCACCAATATTTTTAGAAATCATAAAATCATTTAACTGGTTTAAAACAATCTTTTCTAAAGTTTTGCTTAAAAATGTCAGGTTGGACACAGGTCTGTACTTATCAGGTACCGCTGTATCCCAGTTGTCTCTCTTCAGAAGGGGTCTGACACAGGCTGTCTTAAAGGCAGTGGGAAGGACCCCTGTCTGAAGAGAATAGTTAACAAGATTAATAACGTGATCGTTAAAAAGACTCTGCTCTTGGGACTCTTATTATTATGTGCTTTTTTGCAGTTTATAAAACCTCGGCTGCTTTGAGAGTCACGTCTAAGTTGAACTTTCTCTTTACACAAAGCTTGTTTTATGAAATCTCCTCTCAGGAGCTTTTCTAATAAGGTTTCTGAGGAACAGTTTTGCAGCGGAAATCATGAATTCCAGCTTTTTGATTTCAAAGAAAGTCTCACAATATTGTGAGATGTGTTGTGAAATCAGGTGGTCCAGGTTATGACAATCTTAAAAAAAGAAAAGCTTGAAACCCTGGAGGGAAAGGAAAAGTCTGGTGTAGAATTATTACCTTTCAGGCGGTGTCAACAAAGCAGGAAAAATGTAAGATTTATAAAACAGAAGTCACGGCAGAGCTGGTGTTTGGATAACCTCAGACTCTGCAGACTCAACATCAGTCTCTGCTTGCTTTTCCTCACTTTTTCTCCTCACTTCAGCCAGAATCCTGTAAGGAAACAGATGTGAGGGACAGCATTTGAGATAAAGTGTTTAAAAATGCTTAATAATTATAAAAAGAGAGAACTTTTTAGCAGTAATAAGTACCTAAATATTGTAACAATAGAAAGAGTTTGCAGACTGCAGGACATCATTAGTCCATCTCAGACTCTGACACCACATGACGTCAGAAAATAAACACACACTGTTTGAGAGTTTACAGATCACTGCTGCTGCTCTGACATTACTCACACTCTGTTTCCTCTGAACACAGACACACACGCACCTTATCACAGGGTAATATAGAGTCTTTAGAATAGAATAGAATAGAATAGAATAGAATAGAGGGTAAATGGTAGCAATGGAAATAGCTTTCCTCACAGTCTCATACACACACACATTTTTGGCTTTTGTTCTCCACAGCTCTATGTGATTTATAGTTTCTTCATGCTTTTGCATGCTGCAAAGTTAATTTCAGCTCCTGTCTGAGATGCTTCATTCAAGCCCCTGTCTCTTTGAGGCCCCCAGCATTCTGGAAGCCTCGCTCACTGTTGCCTTGCAACAAAGATGTGTTTCTTTTTATGAAATGAAAAATTTGCCTTTTTAAGGAGATGTGCTGTCCTGTGATGTCACATTTTGAGCAAATCTCATATTGATCTCACTGAATTCCCCTGAGACTCATTGAACAAGCCATTCAGAGCACCCTGAAGTCCCATCTATGGATTACTTCAGTACTCATTAACCTTGCAATCAGAAACGTAGCTTGTGTATAGTACTAATGTACAAAGATCAATTCCATCTCTTTAACCTAAGAGTAAAAAGCCTTGCTGAATTATTCACAGCTTAAGTGGAAAATATGAGGTCTGAAAAAGCAGGACATGTTGAACTATAACTGAAACCACTTATGACAAGGATCCACTATTTTGATGAGGTTATTAAACCAACAGTGTAAGCCACACATACAGCTCATTAAAGCACATATTTGTGTAGTAGATAGGCATTTGTTGGCTGTAGTTTTGACAGTCACAGGAGAGTCAAATATAGTCTATTTTTATGGCAGTAGCTCAAACAAACACCATGAAAGTCTACTGTGAGACCATGCTCACTGTTTTTAAAGTTATTTTTATGCATTTTTGCCTTCAGTGGGGCTTTGGAGACAGGAGGTGGTTTGGAGGAGTGTGGGAGATGACATGCACTGAAGGGTTATGACAGATCCTGGTGGTTTTCTCAGACATTACAACCCTTAGATGACTAATTAACGAAATTAAAACCTTAAATCATCAAAATTAAATATGAAACTGTTTTGTTACTCAATCACATTGATAACATCTCTGAAACTGATGTGAGGAAGTGAGAAAAAAACTATTCTCTCTGTTACAGCTCTTGTAAGCCCTCTACTGGAAACAAAATAGTGTGGATGTAATTCTGTATTCAGGTGATTATTTGGGCAGGAAATCATTATGTAATTTTCTGATGTTTGTTTAATTGCAGATAAGCGGCAGTGTCTTATCAGAGCCAAGAAGGAAACTAATCACTCCTTTAAATTGTTGTTTAGTTTCTATGTAAACATCAGCTTAACCTCTGCTGAAGACAAACATATATTTATAACGGTTTACTCTATTTAGTATGAGACTGTTGATATATTTTTCATGTCTGGGGATTTAAATTGCCTTTTGTAGTGTGATAACATCTTTGTTTAAGGCACAGCAGCAAAGAAACTTCAGTACTGACTGAAATATGCAAACAAGCTTAATTACTATTTCTGTTAATAGTATTTACAATAACACCACAAATACAAAACCAACTCAAAAGTAAAGGGGAACATTAATTGAGGAATAAGTTGTGAAAAATAAGACATCCTAAAGGTGAAAAAAAGCAAATTGCCCTTTTCTGTGTATAAACACACAAAAAGGACACATGGAGAGATTCTCAATCATTGTTTTACCATTTCAGGTTGTAATACAGCTGTTCAGACACTAGAGGGAGCTGCTGAATCAGATATAGTAGTAGTAGACCGGCTGAGACCTATTCAAAGTTTGTGTCGGGGGGGACAAAAAATGTGACATATTAATTTGTCCATGGTTAATGAGCAACTATAAGGCAATGAAACAATGTTAATCTCTGTTTTTTAAAGGTACTTCATCTGTTTAGGAAGAATTTTTGGACTTTAAGTGATTATGTTAAAGTTGAATTACTGTATATTTCTTGCTTTTCTTTCCCTTACCATCAGTGGCTCATCTATGATGTCTAAAGGCAAAAACTCATGATTGTTTGCATTACCCTTGAATGAATGTACTGTTTTAATGAGATTTATGTTATAATATATTATTATAACAGAAAAATCTGAAAGAGTAATTATTCTAAATCTGAATATCTCCATTTATTTGGACACAGGATTCTTATAGTCAGCAGTTTTGATCAAAAGAGACACAAAATCCAACTCCATTAACGATGCTGGAGACAATATTTCTCCTTTAAAGATCAGATTCATCAAACTATTAGTTTATTTTCTTTTGAACCAGAATTCACCTCATGGTTCATCCCATTAATGTAAACTGAGCTGTGTCATTCTGCTTATATGGCACCAATTTACAACAAAATCTCAAGATGGTCTGGACCAAACACTCCAATTAAATTTACAAAGACCCAGTGTAAAGATGGAATAAGACTGAGCCCCACCTTGTGAGATCAGACCCACTCATATCCCACCTTCAACCAAATGAGTGAAACATTTTGCAGAATCAAAAGAGTTACAGTGGAGAGAAAAAGGTTCCTTTAACAGGTAGAGACCTCGAGCAGAACCAGACTCATGTAAGACAGTTACCTGCCGAGACTGCACTGGGTTTAGAGAATGCTGCTGAGGCTCCTGTTTGTTAAATGAATAAATAGTCAAATTACCAATGTGTCTGTTTCTTCAGACTTCAATCCACCAAACAAAAGTCAATGGCAGAATTGTCTGTTTGTCACAAATGTTTCTCATATACTAAAAAAAATAAAAATAAACACTTCACTGTTTGATCATTCTGTTTATTTTCAATATACATTTCATTTGAAAAATATAAACTCTAAAATAAACCATCTCACCTGTTCTACAAGTCACAGAAAGTTAATCGAAAACAAACAAAAAAATTAAACCAGTCTTCTGACGCTAAAATGAACAAGTTTTTATCTAAAGGTGGAGATTTTTGAAAGACATACTTAAAACTCGGACGTTCAGTCGTATTTGTCCCCACTTTCTATTGTATACGGCTCTGAACAAAGATGTGAGTTTAACCTACAGCAGACTTCCCTTAACAGAACCCAAAAAAGAAAGACGGTACAAAATAAGCTGTTGCATTTTGGTTCGAGCCGACGTGCCTTTGTGAAGTACAAGATTTTTAAAAGGAGGAAAGCGGCTCGTTGAACCAACAGATTAATTTATTTCTATAGTGGTGATCAAGACAAACAGGACTTCCAGCTTCAAATGAAATCTGTGACACATTTACACTTTAAAAAAGAAAAACAAGTGAGAAAGTGCGTCAGTGTGCCTTTAGAGATAGAAGTGGAGGTACTAAAATGACAGAAACCTGTTCCGGCTCATTATGGTGTAGGAAATACTGACCAATAGGAGTGGAGAAGTCACACAGAAGAGGCCTGAACCCTTCTGAATAAGACTATTAATGTTTTTATGACATCTGCAGAAGATTTCCATTACCTAAGACAACAGCGGATGTTGCTGTAAGGTTAAGATTTTACATTTACAAGTCTATCAAAGCACAACAACTGCAAGCCATGAGTGCATCAAGAGTCATTGGTCACTGTAAAGGAGAATTTTCTGATGTGACTACACTTAAAGAGATGGAAACAGAATATATTGAGCAAAAATGTGTTGCTTCAATAACTTGAGGTTCATACTCAAATGTTAATCTCACAATAAAAGGCAAAATATCTTTTTAACACAAGATGAAGTTCTATGAATTCCTTAAATGCAAATTTAAGTACCTGCTTCTGTTCACATATTCAAGGGAAATACTACACTTGGGCCATGATGACTTTTTACTTTATTTAGTGAAAATATTGTAATTTTTTTTATTTACATCATAACTCAGTATTGAATCCCTTTGTTTTGTCAACAACAGGGGCGTATACAAAGAAGTGGCCAGGGGTACCCCAGCCCCCACCCCCTGCACCCTGACCAAGGTGCCAATTAAAGATTCTGCACTTTGATTGGCATTTTGCCTTGCCTCTCATCAGTGTCATAATGTTGCTGGCAAATTGGAGCTCGTTTTACCTGATGATTCTCTAGGGATGTTTTTTTGAGTTTTACAATTTGAGGGGGATTTTAGCATCAACTCATGGCCAATTATCATCTACTTATAGTACAAGTGAATCACTCTAAAGTGGGACATTACTACCGTTTACATAATGTAATTTATTAGTCAAATGCAAGACTTTCACTTTTTAAGAAAGGGTTTCTCAAGTTATGATCCTCATCTGCTGAACAACACAAAAAGTCTGAAATCTTCAGCTGTAATATAACCAGACATTAAGACTTAACCCAGGAATGACAGTGATGGTGGCCAAGGTACACAGATTTTTCTTTAAAGCTCCTGTGAAGAGTTTTTGAACATTCATACATAGACTGAAATTCATACTAATGCCTTTTTAGGAGATCAGAAAGAAAATAAAACCACCAAGGACAAGGTGGACCATTTGAAAAGCGCCATTTGTCAATGCTTGTAACAAAGGAGGGGTTAGGTATCAGCCAAGCAGCTTAATATATTTACAATAAAAGATACACTTGACTGTCAAAAGTCAGCAGGATGACATTTTTTTGTCAGGAGACACTCCTAAAGCATTTAGAGGATGGTATAAGTCAAGGTTGCTTTGACCATGGGGGGCACTAAAACTGACACAGTCAGACAATTCCTCACAGGAGCCTTAACATAAAAAAAGAATAAAACTGTCAAAAGTATTCAATGCTCTCTGCAAAATTCTAGGTAGTCACTATGCAGAGAGGCTTCTTTTACATTATATTATAATAATTCTGTATTGTATCGCTTTGTTTTTTTTATCCTGTGGATATCAATAAATTGGGCTGTTTTATACTGGGCACAGATACTTAATAGTATTTAAATGTTCCACATGCCTTCAAATGTGACTTTGGACAAACTGTTTTTTAGCTGTTACAGACTCAAGCAAAAAAGATTTATATTTTTGCATTTAAGAGGTCAATAAATAATACACTGGACTAAAACTACTGTAGGACAATGACTGGCCACCCCTGCCTTTTTGGTGCCCCAATCAAAAAATTCCGGACACACCCCTGTGCACCGACAAAAACATGCTGGATAACTTTGAAGCTGTAAAAGTGGGTGAATTATAGATGCTTTGCAGAGATTTGCAGACGTAATGTAACTTAAGTTGTTGAGTGCATTAAGCAGAATAACAAGTATAAGAGAGATTCCCCCTCTGATAACGATGGAACGAAAGAGGTGTAAAGTGTCATAAAGTGGAACAACGAAATTGTTAATGTCCTCATGTCTGCTCCACAATGCGTTTTAGTGCAGACTTAGAATAGCCGACTGACTTGTGTTTCAGACTGTGTGAGAAGCAAATAGTGACCAACAACTCAGAGTACGAAACTGGCATGAAAGTAGCACATGAGGGTTCTTTTGAGCTGTAACATAACATCTGTGTCTTTTCATCAGCAACCAAGACTGGAGTGAAACTGTCGGACGGCATGGACTATAAGTAGACTTGTTTCCCTTCTTTTGATTTATATTGTTATCATGAGAGTTTCAGTCTGGACTGATGTCTTATAAGCCACTTAGGTAAAGTAGTTTGTGCAGCACAAGCAATCACATGATATGCATTCCTAGTTCGAGTTAAAGTTTGGCTGAAACTATCAGATGGTTATGAATCGCTTTACTGTCTGCTACCCGCAAAATGAAGAAACAAAATGAAGGTCACGAGAAAATTACCAACATACACACATAATGTAATCATTTAAAAAAAAAGAAGAAAAAAGATACAGAAATGTTTGATTTAATTTAAACAAGTAACAAAAGTTTGAAGTGAAGACATGAGAGAAAAAGTTCAGAAAATTAGAAGGTGAAGCAATCAAACTGCATCAAAAAGTGATCATAAAAATATGTACCTCATCTGCTCATTCAAATATGCATTGTTAATTCACCGTTAAGTAACTTAATATATCTATCTGCACACATTTCTTTACGAGCTATAATACAGTGAATCTCTTGAATCATTTTAACTCTACTAGATAACAGAGAGAAAATATGAAAACCCCATGCTGTGTCAAAAATCAACATGTTGTATTTTCATTATGAGCATTTATCCTAAACATAGAGGTAGAGCTATAAAACATAATTTTCCTGCTACAGGAAAATGTTATTAGAGTAATTCCATTTATAAAAAAATTCAGATAGAGGATATTTATATATTTTCATATAAAAAAGACCAGGAGGGGTTTACCATGCGTGGTAAGAGAGCTGCAGTGTTTACCGTAAATCAGCGATGTGTGAGAGGAGTTGCATAGAAGAGTAGGAAGGAGTGATATTAAACAGTATATGAACTTGAGAGTGGTTACTCAGTGAGAAAATACAAAGAGGAGGCTGTGAGGATTCAGATAGCTTCATTATTTAAAAAATTAGTCTCTAAAATGTCACTATGTGAGACAGTTCACTTTTTTTCTCTTCAGATCAAAGTCCTTCAATCACACAGAGGATTTGGAGTTAAAAACAATGTCGAAAGTAAAATAAAAAAAGAAGGAAAAAGAAGGAGAAGGGCGTCTTGCAGGTGCTGCAGGATTCCCCTGCTCTGCTCTGGGTTTGGGGGCTTCACAAAGACGTTTCTGATCCTCGGCTCTTCCAGTAAAATGAATTATCGTCGTCTGGGTCCATGTCTATTCTAATCTGAGGCACAGACTTCAGCGGACTCATCTCGGGGCTGGAAGACACAGAGAGGTAGCGTTAGGACATAGATTTGAATGTAATGTAAAGGGAAGATTTGAGATCCAGGATTAAGGATTAGTCAGCGTTTGTGCATGTTTTGATGCTGCTAATTTAAAGATTGTTGTAATAGCTGCTTTTATATCCTGCTGCTATTCTTTGATCTCTGTGACTCTCTTGTAACTAAGACTTTGCGTGAAAATTCCTACTAGAAAAACTGATTATATCACAAAATAGACAAATAGATAAACACAACATGAAGTTTGCACCTAAAGATGGAGAAAAATAGCTAGACGGCGTTTGCGCTTTGCACACCGAAGACACAAATTCAAACATTTTGCACGCAGGCCCACGAGGTCATATGGGCTCAAAGCAATTTGGCTCCAGTCTTAGCAGAGACAGGATTACTTTGTAATGTCATCACTGCGATTCATGTCCCGTCAGATGTTACCGACTCTAATAGACACGTGCCAAGACGACCATAATGCCCAAGGTCCTCTAAGAAACACAAGATCAAGCTATTATACATCTGTGACTCACTGCCGCTGTTTTATTTGCATCTATGGTCGAGAGGATGGGATGGTGTTATTCTCAGCACAGGCAGCAAAGCTAGGATATGTAGTCTTTTAAATGGAGTGGCAGCTCTGCGATCATTTTTACAAGTTTTACTCTGAGAAATATTCCGTCTTGGAGTTCATCAGCAGTAATTTGAACAAAAGCCAACCCTCCAGTTTGATCTCACAGTCGGAAACCAATTAGAAAAAGCAAATCCTTTAGTTTGTCGTTGGACATCACAGATGTGCCGAGCTCACAGCTGCTCTTCACACATTGACCCAAACACTAATCCTCTTCCGTCTGCACTGTCATGCGAGTCGTAAAGCAGATAGGGTAAAGCAGTAACAAAATCTGACCCGTGCGTATATGAGCCGTGGATCGTGGAGGTCGTGGGCGTGATTTGAGAAACATAATCTCTTCCCGAGCATCATAATCATCTCCCTAAATATCTGCCCAAAAAACAAGGCTTGTTCTCTTCCTTCAAGGCTGATTGTTTCCACTAAAGCTCAAATCACAGAAGCGCAGTGCGCAAGTGTGACGCAAAACAAGCTCGCATTGATCTGGTCAGAAATCTATGTAGTAATTCAATATGTTATTCACTCCTCATCGAAATGTATTCCAACGAGATTACACTCGTCGTAAAACTGAATTTAGTAGTGACCCTGGATTCAAAGGTGTAGTTTATACAACCTTCATGCTGGACAGGAACCTTTGCTGCTTACTCTAACCCTCTTACTCAACCTCATTTCCTCCTGGCCTATAAAGAGGCCGACTAAATTCACTTCAACATGCAATAATAGCCAGAAAGTATGTACATGAATTTCAACAATGCACTGACATAACAGATATCAGGGAATTAAAGTGGCGCTGACATTGAAAATGATGGTACTGCTGAAGACGTGCCTGACCTTGTGAAGCGAAACCAATCGTTCCTGCTGCAATAGGGGACAAAAAAAACTGAGAGCAGATGCATCCTGATCATCTTTGAGATGTTTCTACTGCACCGCTCAATTCAATCTGATGGATTTACTTTGGGGAAGGAAAAAAAATACACCTCTTTGCAAATTGTCACTTCAAGCCATAGCAGAAACCAAGCCAATGAAGTCCAAAAGTTTCCCCATAGAGCTCCAAGACAAAACTGTGATGAGGCACAGATCTTGGGAAGGGTCCTGAAAGGTTTATGTGGCACTGAAGGTCCTAAAGAACACAGTCGCCTCCAGGATTTGAAAATGAAAGAAGTCTAGAAATACCAAGAATCTTCCTCAAGCCATCAGAGAAAGTGAGCCTTGGTTTGGGAGCTGACCAGTCCAAGATTCTTCTCTGGACATAGGAGAACCTTCCAGAGGTTCAACTCAGGCAGAAGCAACTCCTCACCACAAGACACATGACAGCCCATTTCAAGTTCACCTTTCTCATGAGAAACAAGATTCCCTGGTCTGACATGACTAAGATTAAACTCTTTGGGCTGAAGGCCAAGCATCATGAAACCAGGTGACCAGTCCGGTTAGAGATCTTAGATGAAAACCTGGTCTGGAGTGCTTGAACTTGGGCATTCCCCACAGGATAACAACCACTGAGCACACAGCCAAGAAAACAAAGAAATAGCTTTGAAACAAGGATGTGAAAATTCTTGTGTTAGCCAGCTGAAACCCAGACTTTAACCCTATTGAGCGTCTCTGGAGAGACCTGAAAACAGCTGTGTATCAACGACCCCTCCATCCAATCTGACGGAGCTTGAGAGGATCTTCAAAAACATTTGATCCAAGCTGATAGTGTCTGAAAAAGTGCAGTTGAGCTGCATTTGATAAGTTAATTACCCTGAATAACCTTTAAAGTTCAGACCAGCATCAAACGTGAACTTGTTAGCCTGCGTTCTGACCTTCTGTGACCTTTGCTACCAGAGTAGAGAATAAAAATCAAAGAAAATCCGCTGCAGATATTTTCAGCTTTGGTCTGTTTTTAGCACTAACTTGAGCCTGGCTATATCTCACCTGGATAAACAGTTAGCCTGGTAGTAGCGAAGCTGCTCAGCACGATGTGTGTCGTTCAAGGAATGAAGGGGACTTCTCTCCTGAGGAAGATACAGACACTGACATTAGTGAGCAGGTGTACATGTGTTAAAACCTTTTAAAGTTTCGTCAGCAGCAGCTTTTCATAACCAACAAACTGACTTTCAACAAGAGCCAATGAGATACGCCGCTACGAAAGTTTGAGGTGATGGACAAACGATGCATCTCTCAAGCTTAACCTTTACAGTTCACATAAAAAGGCAAAAGCGGTTTTGTTAAAAGGAAAAAAGAAAACATGTAAGCTCACTATATCACCAATACAAAGAGAGAAAAGGAGAGTTAATTTCATGCTGATTTGAAATAAAAAGGCAAAGAAGGAAAGAAAAGTTAGCATCATGCAGAAAGTTAAAGATCAGCAGGCCACAGCATTCACTGTTAGACGCAAACTCATACGAGAGTCTAGATGAGGAAGCAGAAGGAGTCAGACGGGATCAAGAAAAAGACGAGGCAGTGTCGTTCCTCCGGTGCTGCGGGCGGTTTGGGTCTACTCACTGTCAGAGGTCTTATCACCTAAGAAGGGCTCCTGCTCCATCATGTCCATGGGGATTTTAATGCTGGGAACATTCTCATTGTAAGGATAGTCAGACTGTCAGAAAGAGAGGAAACACATCCTGAGACCGCACCTCTGTGAGCATCAGTGTCAGCACTAATCTTATGGTGGGACACTTTTATTTAACAGTTTGATTTGGATGCAGTGACTTCCACTACAGAGTCACACACAGTTTCGTGACTGATCATCAACTTACAAAACATTGGTTTATGTATGAAAAAGTGAGCTTATATTTAATGCTGCTGAACTTTTCTAAGATCTAAAATGTGATTAACATTTTTAAACTGGAACTTTTACTTGGAGCCTGAACATTTTAAACTCTTGTCTGAACTTGTGGTCAGGATCTAAAAATCATCCGTTCAGTAAATTACAACTTTTGACTTTTATGAAATTGGATATATCATTCGATCTTTTCTATAGAGCAGATTCATAGTGAGAACTTAACCATGATAAAAAGTCCTCTTATTAGTCCTAAGTATAATCCTTCTAATGACATCTGCAGCTCGAGTGTGACAGCATGGAATTTATCAGTCAAATGAGATTATCCAAAATCTGCAGGAAGTCCATTATTCCTCCAAAAGCTGTAAAACCACTGAAATGAAAGGCTGTATGAGGAAAACATGAGGTCTGAAAACTTCATTGAAACATAATCCACATGTTGCTGCAAAGTAAAATAAAAAAAACTTGGTGGAGGTTGGTGATGGGCTTGACACTTGATTGTGCTGTTGATTTTAAATGAATTACAGGACCACAAGAAAAATGAAGTATTAGCTCATTTTAGTATCTATCTTACATCTTCAGCGTCACTGTCCATGCTCCCTCGTTTATTCTTCTTCTTCTCGTCCTCTTTCTTTTTCTTGTCTTTCTCTGGGATGACATCATCCAGGAAGCTGAGGTCATGCTGAGAGAACATGTAGTCCATTGCTTTCCTGACCGCCACCAGAGCGAGAATCTGAAAGCAGAGGAGGAAACGCACATAATGACTTTGTTAGTGTTTGTCAAAGGACTTTGAAGCAGTGTTTGAATAAAAAGTTAAGACACACTTGTTTCTCCCTCATGTGAGTCGATGCCAAAGGCCCTGATAAAGAGGCGTTTAAGTTACCATGAGAAATGGTTCATTAAAGTGTTGGGTGCTGTAGAAGTGACCACTATGTCACAGTGGTTTTGTGTCATAATCCAGCTGGATCAGGTAAAACTGACTGAAGTGAACTACTTTTATCTCTGAACATTTCAACTCATCTGACTCAAGCTTTAAGTTTCTAATCTCCAAACATGAGTCGTTTACAGCTTCAGGGCATGACACACACGGCCAGTCTTAATGTAACTTACCATCACAGGGAACACAATGGCAGCCACAGTTGACTTGAGGATCCAGAGCAGAGCCAAGCACAGGACCTGGATGAAGGTGAAGAGGTGGACCTTCCTGAGGGGGACGTGTCGCAGGTAAATCAGGTCGGGCTGATGCTTGGCCGGCATCAGGAGCAGCTTGAGACGATCCATAAACTACAGAGAGGAGGACAAGAATGGAAGAGGTCAGCCTTGTGTCAGCGCATCAGGATTAGTAAAACATGATACATGATTGCTTTAAAAAGTAGTCAATGCAACACTTGCCTGCACCCCATTAAGAGAGGCGACCCCCATATAAAGGAAGACTCCGTACAGCACAGGCATGGGTATAAACTAGGAAACGTACAGGGAGAAAAAAACACATCAGTTTAAAAGTACACATATTTGAACTTGTTGTAACTCTGTCATCATCTTTAGCTGCAGATTATCTCAGGTGAATGTAAGACAAAGGACAAATCAGGCCAAGGTTCTCGTCGAAGTTTCTTCAAGCAGTTGCCATAATAATGTAACCTCCAATTAAACCTGCAAAAATATATATATATATATTTTTACGGTCATAATTTCTTTCAGATCATTATATGTTCCCTGTATTTTTTTAAAATAAAAACTGTAAAGAGAAAACTTTTTTACCTGATTAAACTGTTTATTATTTATCTGTCTGGCAGATGTAAATAACTTTGGATTGAGTTGATCTCAACACAATCCCTCAATATGTGATAACAACAGTTATCATGATGACGAAAAGGTTAGGGGCCACTTAACAAAAATTATAGGGGTCTAATTTTTCTTTTTTTTAATTCAGATTTTTTTTTTTTTTCAAAATTCAGATTTTTTTCCAATTCAATTCAATTCAGCTTTTATATGACACTTTTCGTACATAAGGAAATGCACTTCAAATAGCCTCACAGAGGCTAAAAACAACAATGAAGACAAAAACCCAACCCTTCCACCCACACATACACCCATGGACCCACACATACACAAAGACACACACCCACCCTCACTCACCCACACATACACACACACACAACCGCACACAGTGTGAGAATTTACGATATAAGTTAAAGAGACATGGCCTGACACCGAGACATTACATGAGGAAAAAGCTACCTTTACGAAACACTGGAGATAAAAATAGAGATAAAAATGGTGAAAAGAGTAAAACCTGATGGACTTAAAATAAGAAAATAATAATGTTAAATGAACAAATAAAAAAAAGGGGTAAAAGAAGTAAAAACCTGTGACGGGAAATTTAAAAAAAAAAAGGCTAGGAACAGAGATAATGGATAGAATGACATAAAATAAACATTAAGAACTTTGATTAAAATTAACATTAGCAATAAGAGAAATCTCAAATGGCAATTAGTAAAAGGCCTGGTTAAAAAAGTGAGTCTTGAGCCTCTTCTTAAAAATATCAACAGTCTCTGTAGCCCTGAGGCTCTCCGGCAGGCTGTTCCACACCCGGGGACCATAAAAACTGAACGCCGCCTCCCCGTGTGTTTTTGTTTTGACTTTGGGTAAGGTTAAAAGGCCTGTGCTGGAGGACCTCAGGGTCTGCGAGGGTTGATATGGTAAAAGTAAATCAGATAAATAGTAGGGGCCAAGACCATTAATACGTCTAAAAACTAATAAAAGAACCTTAAAATCAATCCTGAAACGGACGGGGAGCCAATGCAGCGATGCTAAAACTGGCATTATATGCTCCCGCCCTCTGACCCTCGTCAGCACTCTTGCAGCTGAATTCTGTAAAAGCTGGCGTGTATGTAAGTTCTTCTTTGGGAGGCCAGAGAGCAGGATATTACAATAATCTAACGTGAGGAGATAAAAGCATGCATCAGCACCTCCGTGCTGGCCTGAGAGAGAAATGGGCGGACTCTGGCTATATTTTTAAGGTGGTAAAAATTTTCCCCTCAGAATTCTGGCTTTGAAATCAGACTTCTAGCTCTTTTCATGAAATAATCTGGTTCTGAATTTGAATTCAGAATTCCAGGATGAAAAAGGAGAGCAGTCAGCAGTCAGCAGTCTGATTTCAAAGCCAGACTTCTGAATTTAATCTCAAAATTTAAAGAATAAAGACAGATTTCTGTCTCTAAATCAAGACTTTGTCCTCAAAATAATACAAATTAGGGGCAATTCTGACTCAGAAATCAGGGAAAAAATCTGACTGACAGAATCTGACTTGAGTCTGAGGAGTCTACAAAAAGTTAGGACCTGAATTTATTTATTTTTTTCAGTTCCCCTTTTAACCCCCATAACCAAAGCCATCTAACAAGAATGAAACATGATAAAAGAGACAAAGTACAAACCCAAATCTGGAAAAAAAAAAGTCTGAATTACCTTCAAAATGGGAGACATGAATACAGACAGTCCTGTCAGAATAAACACCACCACACCAGTGACCCTCTGCTCCCTGAAAAAAAATGAAAATGAAAGAGGGTTAAAAAAGAAAAGAAGAATCATAAGACAACAGTAGAGATTAGTTAAATGATTTGGACTTTCGTGGCCTCTAACTTTAAAAAGTCTGAATAACTGTCTTCCTTTTTTTTTTTCAAATGATATTCAGTCACATCAAAGCAAAGACCAGCCGCAGTCTGGATACAACATTTGCAGGAAGTTCACAGTCAGAGCAGATGGTTCAGGAACACGCAAGACCAGAGTTTGTTAGTTCAGCTCACAGCTGACCCATTAGGAGGCCGTGAAGGACATCACCAAACAGAAATGAAAAACAAACAGAACCAGCTCGAAAAACAGGAGAGTGAAGTCTGTCCTCTAACAAACACACATATATACATACACAGACACATGATGCTGCTCCTTATTTACTGCAGAGCAGCTAAAGGCAGCAGAGAGCAGTGTCAGAGGAGTTTCATTTCAGAGATAAATGTCACGTTTCTGTGATTTAATGGAGGTAATGTAAGCCCCTCAGCCTCCAGTGAAGTTAACCTGCAGTTTAAACATGACAGACAGAAATAAACAGCATTCAACAAATCCGGATTACCAATCCGACAGTAATCTACTGTTTAAATGTTTTTTCAAGTTTGGCTTTACCCACAACCAAATCAGCTTAAAACAGTTCATGTCATTACCTCCTAACAGGAGAGCTGGGGTTTCAGCTCAGCAGGTATGATGACTGAGTTAGTTTACATCTCAAAACTATGAAAGCAGGTCTCACACAAATGTTCTGGAAAGACTCATGATAGACCAAAGAGGGTTTATGAGCTGTGCTCTGGAAAAGCTTTTATTTTCTTAATCTTTGAGACTTTAACGTACGCATTTATGAACATCTCCCTATGAAACGGTTTTAACAAAACTCAAACTTTCAGGAAGTTTGTTGGAGTTTCACCTACAGATGGTGCCACAGAGTCATAGTTAAATTAGTTCACTGAGAATGAATGGACAGACATCTCCTTTGTCCCATCATCATCACAGATCTAGATTATCTTTATTTGTTTATCAAATGAAGACTTAGTTGAAAATGTGGATTTTCACTTAGCTCCTTGTGCCATGACTCGCTCTCTTTTCCCTGATGCTCTTTTTTATTTTACGAAAAGGCATTAATGTGAATTTGTGTCACTTTTATAAACATCAAAAATCTACTTATAGTGTCTTTAAAAGAACACATCCAACTACATTATATTTATTCAGAAAACATGACTTACATTTTTTTACCTCACACATGGGTTTTATGGATTTGCACCTTCAAAATAATATAAAAAACAAAGGGAACAAACAACCAGGGAATGGAAATGGCACTTAAGATGCTACAAGACAGCCTGGATTCAAACAATACTCAAACAATCCCAACGTGCTTTCTTAGGGTGGACTGTGAACTTTTGAAGGCATCTATTATGCTTGTGCACAAAAAACAAAGCAGACATCTCAAATCCTCAACCATGGGCCTAAACGCTGTCTTACCTCACACCCAAAAACTTGGGCTGTTCTCCAGGAGCCGAGGTCTCAGTCTCCATCTTCAGACTGTCGATGTGAGCAATGGAGATAACTGTGGCGGCCACGTACCATGGTAGACCCATAAAAGAACAAACCACCAGCAGGACGGCCACCCAGAACAGATCCAGATGGTAACCTGCCCCTTTCTGGTACAGACAACAAACAGAAGGTCAAAGCACGTGGATGTGTACTCCCCTGCTTGTCTTGTGTTTATAAAAAAAAGCACCAGAATCTTCTGCTGAGAGGATCTATGAAAGATTTGTGGGTTATTTTTGCCACACAGTTGAAATAAAATAAACCATCAGTCAACTTCAGGCGCTGCTCTCTGAACATCTCACCGAGTTGTTTTTTGAACTGACCTGTTTGCTGACGGCCAAGAAACATCTCTCACCTCCATGAGAAGAATGACAACTATATTAAACTACAGTGTGAAGGTAGACTCTGTCCTGCACATGCCGAGGTTTGTTGTGAGGAACACATGAAAATCCTCAAGAGACTGGAGAAGGCTTAACTTTTTTTAAATGTCATTTTTCAAGTTGAAAATCAAAATTGATCTTAATTTGTTTGCAAAATCCTAAGACAGCATTTATGCATCTTTACATATTTTGAAAAAGTTTGTTGTCGAAGTTTTTGAGCAATATTTTACTAGGATTTAGGATTTATTTATTCATTTACTTTAATGGGACAATATGCATTAATGAACATATACTGTACATGCAAATGCATGGGATTATAGTCAAGCAGCGAATTTTCATCCCCAGCTCCATTAGCAAGTTGGTGTCAATACATAAAACCGAAACAAACATCAATAATACCGTATTACGAGTTTGTTGTACTAAATGTCCAATCCTTTAATGCCTCACTGAGAAAAAGATGAACTTTTTTAGCAGAAAATTAACAGTAAATTGAGCCTTTTTGTTACCCGTCTCACACTGTAGTGTTTGTGAGTAAATGAAGAGTCTTTTACCTTTAGTTTGTGCTCCTTCCTGTTGACGATCACAGCGGTAATCTGTTGGTCCATAAAGACCAGGATGGTGACCAGCAGAGCAGGAAGGGCAGAGGCAATGTACACCCACCAGGGGTTTCCTCCAAACGGGGGCACAAACCAGCCCCTTGCAGGACTTGTTGGCTGTGAGGAAGGGAGACAAGCGCTTTAATGTGGAATAGTAAGAACTGGTCATTTAACAAAAGCATACAAAGAACAAGAGTCCCACCTTGAATTCAGTTGGCACTATGAGTTTTGGAGTATCAACTCCCACAAGAATATCAACTCCACAGAAAATGAGGATGGCCAGGATGATGGCGAAGTCACTGATGAGTTTCCTCACCTGTGGGAAAGTTTACAGTAAAAATAACGCCTCTGTAAGCTCCTGTTCAAACAGCAGGACGCCACGTTACATCAGCTTTTATGTAACTGCAGGTGACTCACAGTGGTGGGGAAGAATGGGCTGGTCTTGAACTTCTTCAGACACATGGAGCAGGTGTAGGTACCAAAGAACAGGATGAAGGACATGAGGGTGATGTCCGGGACGAAGTCGCAGGACTTCCCCACCAGCTCCCCTTTGTACTTTAAGCACTCAGCTTTTGTGAGGGACGACCATGTGGTGTTTGTGGGCTGCACAGAAACAAGAGAGTGATGCAGGTACAGAAACAAACTCTCTCTCTTGACAATCTGACAATACTTTCCAACAGCATCAGTAGACAATACGAGAATTTTTATTATTACTGTTAACTGATTCATGAGTCACCAAACTGGATTGGTGGTTAATAGATGAATTGTCAACATCGGAGAGAAGACAAGGGGAGAAGTAACTGATGGATATTACAATATACAGGGGGCTGAGTCAATCTGACATCAGCCAAATTGAAGAAAACAGACACAAAGAAGTCACAAACTGAGAGATGGTCCTGGTTTTGGCATTGTTTCATGACTGGTAAAGTGAAAAGAAACCAGACTTTAAAAGTTACAAATGTGAGAAAGAGGGGGACCCTGTAGGGGTAACCATTGAAATCGATTTACAGAGAGAGGAAAACAAAGGTCTGCCGAGCAGCTGACCTGAATCAAGTTTCAGAAAAATCTAGACCAAAGTCCTACAAACAAAAAAAACACATGGCTGCCAGGGTCTTTCTGGCTCAAACATAAAACACAAAACACTGGAGACACTGAAGGCCCAGTAACTACAGCCCAACCCAAACCAGAAACAAATTAATCTTAATAAAAATGTGAGGTGATTTAATGGACATGCTGCTACAACTCAAAAGACCACAGAGATTAATCCTTTCACAGTCTCTGAGTAAGAGACAATGAATCAGCAACATGCACTGAAGCTCAAGGACTTCTATCATCTTCGCAAACCTGGTCTCACTCCAGCCGATCAGGCACTCAGGCAGTCAAACACCTGAGTCTGCTCAGAAATTATTCCACGATTTAACTGGTCACATGTGCTGCTGTTATTTCTGCATTTGTTTCTGAAAACGCTGATGTCAAGACTCTACTGTGATCAAAATGTGGAGTTTAATGTGACTCAAATCCAAAACAGCAAAATGCTTAGACTTCAGTATAAACCAAAATATTTACTAGAGTAATATCAGTTGGACATATTAGGAGGCTAATACGGTGACGTATCGATACTTTGTGTCATACTGTTTTTATATTTGGTTGGTAGTAAGTGGGTTAACTCATAAGAAGCTAGTGCTAACTGGAAATAGGATCTCTTCATGGGGACAACTCCTCTACAGGCTTGTCTCAGGAATGATAACATAATAAAATATTATTAAGAACGAAGCATGGAGCACCATGCTTCGTTCTTACACTCACCAGACCGGTGTTGTTCCAGTACCAGACTGAAGTGCCCTCTAAAGGATCACCGACGACTTCTGTAGTGTTTTCTGCAACCAAAATAAAACTCCTTTAGCACAGATTTCTAAACATTTCATAACATTAGAAACTCAGATTCAAATTCACAAGCTTGGCTAAACTTCCAGTACCTTATCAGTAATTGCTTTTTTTGTGTATAATAAGATGGATTTTTTGTCATGCACTGGCTTAACTTAACTACTGTAAGGTAGATGATAGCACCAGGATACCAGATGATACAAGTAACAGCCACACATCTGCGTAAAAAAATGTATATTGCTGAATGGAGCTCATCGCGCAGAAACACAGGACAAACGTTTTTCTTCTTGGTAGCTCCCACAATCAATGTTACTGATTCTGTGGCGGTTACAAACTGAGGGAAACGCTTGTGTGTAAACTAGATTTACCGGCATGCTGTACTCCAATAATGATTCAGTTCTGGTCTGGTCTAATGTGGTTGTCAAAAAGTGCATTATTCTGCCCAAAACAGAACTTTTTATATTCTGAAGAAAAGCACTGAGCCACAGGATCAACAAACAAACCAACATTTTCATCCATGAAGACAGACTGCTGGTTTGGCTCTGTTGTGAACCCTGATTTACTGTCTGTGTAACACCAGCCTGCCAGCAGTACTTGGAATAGCACATTTGTGTGCGTAAGAGAGAGTGAGCCAAAACGTTTTTTTTAAGCCACCGGGGGATTACCAGTAATTCAGGGCTTCCCCTCTTCATTAAAACCCTCCACTGTCATAAAAAAAACAAAAAGGCTGTGTTGTGTTTTATCCAGGTCTGTGGCACTCTTTCAGAATCATCAAAAAGACCTCAAATATTGTTTTTTTTTAAATTGAGGGTGACGTTTTTTACTTGTTTGGATCGTCTGACCCAGTAGCCTCCAAAGAATGAAACTCAGCTGACTATTTTAACTGAGAGAAAGGTAATAAGTCTTTTCTGGAAGTCCCTGAGCTCCATCATGCCGTAGCTTTCTCTGGATCACTGATCACTGACGTTTCGCGGCCTTGGACGTACCTGCTTTCTAACTCTGTCTATCTCCCTCTCTTCCCTTACTAAACTTGAAGCAGTCTCAGCAAATGACTGTCTAACATCAGTCTGGTTCTGCTCAAGCTTTCTGCCTGTTGAAGGAAGTTCTTCCTCTCCACTATAACTTGCTCAATGTTGCAAAGTGCTTCACTCGAGTTGTTGAAGATGGGATGGGAGCAACATGAGGCAGAACAGACTTGGTGGAAATGGAATAAAATATATTCTTAAGTACATTTAAACTACTGTGGGATCATCTAAATGTCTATTTGATGTTACTAGAACAAGGAGTAGGAACCGGTCCTCTTCTACAGAGACCACCATCTTCACTGCCATGTTTCTGATGTAGCACACAGTATTGTCAACTCCTCAGTAAGTGAAGTCGCTGGTGGCAGAGAGGGGGGTCTTCCTCAGGTGTGTGTGTGTGTGTGTGTGTGTGTGTGTGTGTGTGTGTGTGTGTGTGTGTGTGTGTGTGTGTGTGTGTGTGTGTGTGTGTGTGTGTGTATTTTTGGTGCACATGCGCTACCCATTGAGAAGAAAAGTCACATGTAAATCAAGAATCTGACTGTAAGATATGGCATAAACTCTCTTTTAAGACACCGTACCTTTAAGAGCATAAAATCTTTAGTGGGTGATATTATATCCTTTGAAATACACTTGAAAGATTAGAGTAGATACTTAAACTTAAGTATGCTGCACCAACATCAGAGTTTTGTGTCGTTACATTGTCCTATTTGAGCAACAAAATCATTATGTGATGATTTTCTGCATGAATTCTCGCTTCTCTTATGTTTTGGTGCCTCAAAATGAAATTGTGGTTTCCTTTTTTCATTTTTCCTGCATGAATGCATTCTTTGAAGATTGCATTACACCGATGGACAGGTATGATGGTGTTTTACTGAGACTATAAAGCTCATAGCAGAGGGGCCCTTGACTACATCTTAGACATTTTTTGACAACAGTTTCATGACAAATGGGTCAAAATCTGCAAAAGTTAATCAACAGCAATGTTTCTGAATTGCACCAGTAAGTAAAAACAAAGTAAAACACAAACATGAGCCTGCTCCTCACCAAGGACAGTAGGGGCCATACAGAGGCAGTCGTACTGAGTGACATACTCCATCTTATAGTCAGAGTTGATGGGATAGCTGTGAGCTAGTTTGAGCATCTTCTTGAAGGCATCATAGATGAAGATGAAGCTGATGAGACAGGAGAAGCCCTCCTCTGTGAACCGTGTGAAATACTGAACCAGGAAGCTAGCATCAGTGGCCACAAGCACCAGGCAGAGGAACGCTGACCACAGACCAATCCACAACCGAAACTCCAGGTAGTCAAAGTTATTATCTCTGTACGGAGAAATAAAACATGACAATGATCCAAAATGTTCAGAAACAGTGACCCTGCCCATCTGGTTATATCTCCACTTTATTTTTCACCCACGCCTGGAACTTTCTAAGAGCAGCCAGCCAATGCTTCATGAAAAAACACAAGACTTACCTGCTGAAATTGAAGAGCAACCGTTCAAACACCAGAACAGGACCGGTGCTGCTGAGGATGGTGAGAGGCTGGCCAGCCAGCAAACAAAAAACGCCACCGGTGATCGCCGTGCCCAGAAAACTCTCCAACACACCCTACACACGCACAGCAATATATGTAGTAAAAGAAAAATCATGAAACTAACTCTTTAACACTTTTTTTCAAATGCTTAACTCTCAGTCTGACCTGCATATTTTCTGTTGCATCCCCCAGCAGACCCCCAAAGGTGATGGCATTTGTCACAGTTCCCAGGTAAATAAACAAGATGGCCGACAAGGCCTGAATGTGAAATGCATCGGTGAAGTCACTGATGAAGAAAGGCGCTTTTCTTTTGATGTCAAGTAAGAGACCCCCGCAGAACCTGAAAACAGACATAGGTCCTGTAAATTCCTTGCTGTGCTGTGTGAAACACCAAAACCATCATGAGGTCACAGTTCACATGTCTCATACCTCCCAGTCTTCTTCAGCTCATCCCCTATTGCGTGACCTCCTCCTCCATGACCTCCTTCATGAGGCATGTCTCCGTTCATCTGAGAGTCCCCTCCTGCGTACATGTTTTTTCTGACATACACACGTTTCTTGTCAGTTCAGCAGTATTTTTACCTTCTGATTAACACCTCATTAATGTAGATAATTGTCTTTACAAGGTCACATATTAAAACAACTTGAACATCAACAGACGTAAACACAATTGGAGGTTTTCAAACATTTGAGCGACAATGACAACCAAACGGATAGTGTCAGAAAGGAGACTCTTTTCATAGACTGTCGATCAGTGAACTTTAAATAAAATCAGCTGCTGCTCCTTCATAATTTAACACTGTGCTGTACATGAGGACTTGGGTGATTCTGCAGCTGCTGCTCTTCTATAACGTGATTGAGTTAACTGCACACGCAGCATTCAGAACAGGCGACATCATAAATGTTTAACACAAGTCAGAGTCAGTTCAGTAATTTGAAAGTTTTTAAAAATAAAGCTGCTCTTAAATTTCTGTCTGTCACTGTAAATCCTGTTACACATACAACCATAACGCCCTGCTTGCTTCTTGTTTTACACTGAACTACACAGAGCTGGTTAAAATGTAACTCTTGCTTTTATGTATAGGTGCCAGAATTTGTCTGGCTTAAGTGAGCATGTCTTTACTGTAGTCTTTCCTCTGTGTACATGTGCAGATGCACTTAATAAATAACCAGCAGACACTTATACAGCCTTGAGGAGGAGAAGGCTTGAAGAATCAGTGAACACAGGACAGAATAGTTGTGGTTTTAAGTTAATGAGTTACTTTATTATTAGCCTGATATGCCAGCCATATGTTGTGTTTGAGCTTTAGCATAATGCTCTCTGATGCGCTACTATCTGGATGTAAACAAGTACAACTGGCAGATAGTCATTTTAATTAACTGTGCTTGTTGCACTGATTGTTTTGCTACCTTAAAGCTCCTATAAGGAGTTTTTTACATTTATAAAAATAGACTGGGATTCATATTGATTCCTTTTGCTGACATCCAAAAGCAAAGTAGTTGGTGTCAGCTAAGAAGCCTTTTACAATTTACACATACAACATTTACTACAGATGAAAAATACAGCTATAAATAAATTAGACTTTTTTTAATCAAAAATCCCGTCATCTGCATGAGGCCAAGGTAAGCCAAGACCATTTGTCCACAGGGGGCGCCAAATTCAACACAATCCAAAAGTGCCTCACAGGTTACTGTCACTTCATACAATTCTCTTACAGATGAATCAGGACGTATTCAGGGCTCTAAAATCACGGTCCACTAATAGCAAAATGTGTATAAACTTAGTATAAGTAAGATTTTTTTCTAAATTTGACTGTAATATTTACAAAAACAGTCTAGAGTTTCATTTCACATATTATAACTCTTTTGCAGCTCAGTGTAATTAGTCCATTTAGTCCATTTTGATTTCAAAAGATGACAGATGGCAGCTTGCTTTAACATATGCACATAGAGAAACTCAGAACCACAAGTGTTTTGTTTTCACTCAGACCACTTTGAGTAGCATCACTAAACAGAAACTGCAAAGTCAGAGTTGTTTTCAGACCTTTTGTCGGAGGAAGGAAGATGTTTTGGAGGCTCTATCCTGATGGCAGGGTCCCACTCTCCCGGAGGAAGGACAATCACTTCATCCAGGAACTCATCAATACCAGCCAGCAGGTCTTGTCTGTCCTTGGCTTTATACGCAATGTCATGAAAAACCTGAATGCAGACGCATGGAGAGAGGGGGCAAGGTATTCAAGTGTGAAAGAGACCTGTCAAAGCATTTGGTGTCACCGGGAAGCCGACTGTGAGATCTGATATGACAATGAATAAAGCAGGGAGGACAAGATCCAGCACGAACAGCAGACCAGAGTTTGAAATTTTATTGATGGTAAACAAAAACTTCCAACTTTTTCAACCTATTGTGATGGTAAATCATATTTGTCGTTCAAAATTAAACATGGTTGAGAGGTGTGGCACTGACTTATATGTACCTCATCAGACATCAGTGTGGCGATCGCTCTACCGATCTCATGGTATGACTTTGCTTTGCCTTTGGGTCCAAGCAAGATGAACAAAAATCTGAAAACAGAGAAAAATCATTTCTGTTATCAGTCAAGAATACATGTTTCATTCAATCCCTAACACAAAGCAATATAAAGATCTGAATCTGAGTTGAAGCTATGTTTTTAATTCAGCAGGGGACAGTTTTTTTCACGTTGAAATAAAAAGTGAACTCTCTTGTAAGATGTTGATACTGGAAGCATTTGCAACCTGTTTTTTACATTTCAGTTTCAACTGACCTGCTTTTGTTTCCTGAGCCAGAGTCAGAAGATCATAAGCAGATATTTAGATTAAAGTACAGAGCAGCCAAAGTGGTCCAGTGTTATTCACAGCTTTCTAAATTAAGCAAACTGAAAGCTCACAGACATACTGTCAGTGTGCCCGAAAGAAGCTGCTGCGTATTCTCCCCATCCCTCCCAAAGAGCTTTCAAAGCTGTAACGGAACAATAAAATGTTAAAAGTGTTTAAGTTGAGTACGGTCATTATAGTGAAATATTAAATTTGTCGTCATGGCTGAGAAATTCCTGTCGGACGTTGTTTTATACAACACTTGCTAGTTTGTCAAACCTTCTTAGAAAGATTCCTGCAGGAGTTACGGGCAGTAAAATTAATGGCTTTTGGTAACTACAACACTGGACACAATAAAGACAGGCCTTCAGAGAGTACCGTCTAGTCATAACCTGTTATGTGAAGGTTATTTTACACTGTTTTTAAATTTCTGATGTTGTTTAAACACATCTTTTTTTACTCTTTCGAGTGTTTAAGTGACGATATCCCACAGCTGTGTCAAGTGCTTGATCCTGATTGATCATTTTATAGCAACAGTTCATAGTAAAAATTGGTCATTTCTCAAACACAGACCATCGCAGTGACGTATACACCCGTGCTGAAGAATGCAGCTCTAAGGCTCGGGTCTACAAACAATGTTTTTTGTGCTGGTAGCGTTTTCTTCTATTAAAACCAATTCAGTATTCAGTATTTTCAGTACTCCTCGACAACACAGTGGGTTGTTGGAACTTTTAGACTTTTTGGAAGCTGCTGTGTAATATACTGGGTAATGTATCGTGAGTGGGTGGGAGAGAGCTAGTTTGACTCAAAAACACCATAATTAATTAAACAATTAAACAATTGCCTGAATTATTTTTTAGCCCTTGCAGGTTGAAGTTAATTCATGGAGGACGCATATGAGTCACACATTGAAATACATAAAAGGACTCAATAATTTAGATCCTAAAAATAAATGTAAACACAACTGAATCACTTATTGAAAGCTAAAGTAACCCTATCAGAATACTATCAAACCACACTGAACTACGAGCTCCCTTGGGATTGTTCACATCCAGATAGTAAAGCATCATAGCATCATGGCAGCAGAAATTATCGGGTGCTACAAGAGCGGCTAGTGACAGGTGGTTTTTCAACCTCTTGGATTCAACATATGACCTCTCACAAAACATTATCACCCAAATGCTGTACTTGATTTCTTAACAATTTCTGGCAAAAATAAAGTGGTTGACCTGACTTTATCATGCCTCCTGTTTTAATGTTTACATTCTGTCAATTGTGGTCCATTCTTTGTCTATTTGTTTATTTTATGTAAAGCTAAAACGTGCTATAACAATTAAAACCAAGCTGCAATGTGTTCAGTGTCGTTTGATCATGTGTGTCAGGCAGCCTCCCTTCAGCCTACACAACTGTACTTGTCCCCATGGAAACCCCTCACTGTTGTTTTTGTCTTTACATTAAACTGAAACTCTTGTTTATGAATTCCTGGAGTTCAGACATGAATCTCATCTACCTTGTGGGAACAGGAACCTCCGTTAAGGCTCCCAGCATCACAGCTTGCTGCAGACGAACGAACGCCACAAACGGCGTGTCCAAGAAGTCCACCTCCCCCACCAGCACATTGGAGGCCTCAGCGTCTCTCGGCAACTTCTTCATGAACTTGTTCCTTAACTGGAAACACAAAAGAGAAGAAAAGCAGAAGACATTTAAAGTGGTGTTCACACCAGCAAGCAATTTAGTACAGCAGAGTGAATTAAACAACCTATATCAACCAGGACAACTTCATTCAGCTTAAATACCACAGCAGAAGCTCCTGTGGTATTCAATGAGGCTGTATTTCTTACTGATGTATAGATGTGGAGAGGCATGAAGGAGGAATCCAGGTGCCTGCTGAGCACCACAAGCTTCAACAGTTTACCTATAGAAATCATTGATGCTTTTAATCCTGGTAAACAGACTCAAAAGCTTCAAATGAGAGCGTTAACAGCAGAGCGATGTGTATATCTGAGGTAAATTCACAGAAACAGGATAATTACAAACTTAAGGGAAGAAAAAAGCTGTAATGTTAAGATGAATACAAAGCCTCCCAGATCAGGATTAAAGGAACATACCGGTATTTTTTTTATGTTTCTGCCAGAACTGAAAATTAGAATTTGTACTTTTTTTTCTTCATAATATTTACAACTTTTTGAATAGAAACTTTATGTGTACTTTATCTTTCCCATCCTGACTGAAGATGCAAAAATTCAAGAATGACCTTAAAACTTGGTGGATCAGACACACTAAAAACACCTTCTGGAAAGTAAGCTACACCCACCAATATACCAGTACAAAATACAGAGAGGTCCACTATTGTGTTGCAGTGTTTTATCCAGAAGGTGGTGCCCAAAAGAACAAGCCACTGCTTTCTTGCACAAAGTACACTGGATACATAAAAAAAAGATCCTTGATGCACATGTATAAACTTCAGTCTCGAGATGAAAAACAGACAATATTTCATCAAACTTTTTATCTTTTAAATCACAGGGCACTTACACCACCTCATATGGTATTGTATCTTATGACACAACCTCATTTGGTTCATTAGACGTTCCCTATGATAAATAAGTGGCACAGCTAAGGAAAGGAACAACTCATGAACACACAGATAAGACTTGTATGGAATATTAATGAGTGATATATTAATTTTTAGTTTAGCACTGAGGACTCATTAGAAGTCAGGCATTGACATCTCTGATCTTTCTTCTGAATAAACCCACATTTAGACATCACCATGTTTTTAAGCTTAAGTGCATCAATGTTTTAAAGCGTTATCAGAGTCTAAACTAAACCAAAGTGACTCAATGTCTTGTCCACTCACAATGAGAGTGTCAGCTGAACCCTGACAAATAAAATCTCTAACTGAGTTAACTAAATGTACTGGTACTAGAAAAGAGAATAAAGATACAAATATCAAACAGAGCAAGAAGTCAGGAGTGGGCAGATTAGATGATGTTAAATTTGCCCTTAAAAACAAGGATGTGAATGGATCAGGTCAACAACACCAACATTTCCCCAGGTCAGAATCAGGCCAGCAAAAACACAGTCTGTTCAAACAAAACACTGATGTTGATTTAGACCAAGAACCAAGTTTTCTGATTCGTATATTCAATAATTAATTCTAAATCACTAAGAATTGTATGGCGAAAACAGACATATTCAGGAGCAACTATCAGGATAAACTAAAGGAGACAGTCTGTCTGTGGATCCCTATTCGCCAATCTACACATACCATGATCATGAGCTGGCAAATGCCTGTATTCAACCTTTAAGAAATCCAATAAACTGGTGACCTTCAGCTGGTGAGATCCATACAGATCCAATCAGAGGCTCTCTGCTGAGCCATGTTGGCATTAAGTTTGCTGGTAAATGATTAAGCGCTGAGGTTAAACCTGCGTTAAAACTACAAACCCTGTCCAGTGTCCGTTCAGGGCTAATCCACACCTCACTGCCCTCATAGATCAAACTCTGACACCAAACACTGGACGTCCAGTCTGACTTCAAATGAGCATCAATTATATCAGACATTGCATCCAATTGCTTGGCCTGTGCCACCTGCTTCTATCTTTGAAGAGAATCAATCCGCCCTTCTTCTAAAAAGCATTTCTTTTTCCTAACCAAAGTGTCGTCCTTCATACGTTACCCTTTGCTCCACTGGGACTCTTTGGGGGAAAGTACTTTTATTCATTCACTTTTACAAATGCTTTTATCTTAAAGACTAATATAAAAAGTGACTGCACTACTCAAGATGCTCTCTGAGGAAACATCTACAATATTAATAGTCTGAGTGGGTGTAAATCAGTTTTAGTTTAGGAGATTTACTTCCTGTCTTGTTGCCTCTTTACTCTATTTGTCCCACAGGAAGTCTTACTGGGTTGGGCTGACCTAATTCCCTCCTCCACAGGCCCATCCTAGGAGGAAGCTGAATTAATAAACAGCTCCTGTAAACAGCGAAATATTTCCAAAGAGCCAAAAACACTCATAGTCTGATATTCAGAATATAAACACAGTGAAACAGACTCTTTTCTTGTCACATGCTGACAAGAACGTGATCTGCAAAATTAATTTACTTTGCTTTAAATCCAATTTTCAGGAGTCACAAATCCACTCAGACCCTAAAATGAAATGAGAGTTTAGGACTTTAATGGCAACTAAGTCTATTCACAGGCACAGCTGAGCCTTTTGGGGTGTTTACCCCAGAAAAAAAGCTTCAATACTGTATACATAAGAGTACTTCAATGTTAGTACAGTACAGTATTCTTGCCTGCATCAGAAAATTCTCTTCACTGACCATGAAAGGAAACTAAGCGAAGCTGTCTGTCAAACAATCTCTGCTCTCTGCGTCTGATTTCTCCAGTTTGCAACAAAGAAGGCTCCATCAGGCTAACAACACGAAAATAAACTCATCTTCAAATGATTCACTGTGATCAGAAGAATTTATTATTTTTATAGAGATAAATGCTTGAAAAAGAAAAAGGGATTCGGTTCCAAAATCATCCAGTTGTGGGGTGACAGCATGAAGCCAATTCTGGTGTCTAAAACAACTTGTGTCTAAAGGTGTAACAACTGACCAAACCCTTTACTTTTATCTGTTTTTTAATTGTATTATTTTCTATTTTGGAAAAACCTGTAGAACACTTACGTGCTGTTACATGCATTTCAGTGATATGGTCAATGTGGTAAGATAAAATACATTATGATACCATATGTTTCTATATCCTTCAATATGTTTTTGATATGTCTAAAATTAGTGCTGTCAAACCTTTAAAATGTTTTAATTAGGTTAATCACAGGGTTGCTGAGGATTAATTCCAACTGATCACAGTTAAAATATAATTCATTTTTAATCTAAATTAACCCTGTTTCATTTTGCATGAGCAAAGAGACACAAGACAGCCAAAGAGCGAGCAGAATCCCTGACTAACACATGCTTCACATCTATGTGGTATTTTAGGTAGGAGTGCTTTGGTGGAAAAGAAAACTCCTTCTTTAGGGGTGTGCATAATACTTAATGTCAGCTGTCTGTTAAGTCAAAGTTTTTTTTTTCACTCACATTTCCCATCGAGAGGGCCAATGTGCTGTTTAGCATCTTTCAAATTTAGTTGTTTGGAGCCCGTCACTACCAGATTAACCGCCCATTTGCGCATGCGGGGCGGTAACACTCCTCAGACAAACTGACCAAAATGCATTGCCAGAGCTGTTTCAGGGGATCTGCACTGCGGGTTAATTGCATTAAAATCTTTAATCAGATTATTCATGATGATGGAATCATACGTGTTAACACTTTAATTTTGAAAGCCCTAGTATTGATATCATCAAATCAAATCAAACTTTATTTATAAAGCACTTTTCAGGCAAAAAGAAATGCTTCACCAAGTGCTTTACAATTCAAAACAATGAGCCCCCCCATATCCATGACATGACATGGTATGATATGATATGAAAGGACAAAACCTGATATGACCTGTTATAATTCGTTAAGACTTTATAGAGCTTGATATGATTTAAAACATTTTGATACAATATAGAACAATAAAATAGATACCATGATACAACATAAATATGTTACTATCCAACCTGATGTGATGAGAATGGATACAAAACGGTGGATGGAGAATTGTTGGATATTACCTGTTAGTTATATGATACCATTTGATACAATATGACACAATCTTCTACGGTACATAATTGATAGGATACAATGCAATACGATCTGATTCGATTTGATTCGATATGATTCGATTCAATTGGATATGATGCAATAGGGTACAATACAACAAGATACAAAATGCTTCTTCTCCCCTGGGGGAACTCTATCTTAAGGCTTCAGTACTACAATCATTTAGCTTATGAATATGATACTCATGCAGGGGAGTTGCATTTCGTATGATTACCTTAAATGTGCTAAAATCATCCAAACAACAGCACACAGAGTAAACAAGCTGAAAGGGAAAGTTGTAAGCCACAAAGCATGTTCAAGCCGACTCACCTGGTCTTTTTCCGGTTTGTCAGAAATGTCATTGAGGCTGCTGGAGGTCAGGTTCTTGTGAGTCGTGGTGGGACTATCTGTTCAAACAAAGAAATGCTGAGCGGTTAGACCAGTTGTATCTCACACCAAGAACCAAGAAGACAGGGGACGGCAGAGACCCGAGAAAAGGCAGTGGCCCAGACAGTTTGCTCCACATGCAGCGCCCGTAGGAATCAAAGAGTGATCTTCATGCATACAGTAAGACAAAAGCCCCAAAAAATCAACTCTATGATCACTTCTGAAGCAAAAGTCCAACTAAAAGGGAAATCACTTGAAAACAGAGACTAACACTGCTTTATTCAAAGTCACAAGTAAGCTCTGTCCAGTCTGAAACCAGTGGCCAAACATAAACACAATATTTTCATAAACTGACATCTACAGCCTCTCCTTAAACCTCAAACTCATTTAGAGGTATGGATCCACAGCAACTGTTAGTAAAGTTTTTATTTTCTGATCATCTAAGTGTCCATCTTTCTCTTCAGAGCCTTCCCTCTAAGTGCTTTCCTCATGTGAAGCAGGTGGACGACAGATTCTGACGGACGTTCTGCTGACTTTTGGTTCCAGCTCGTCAAGTCCGGCAGCAGAGAGCTGACGGCGAGAACGTGACCTCGCTTTAGCACCGCAGCTGTCAGAGACGAGAGACGCTGATCTCAATGAGAGCAAACTCTGACGCCACTGTAGCTCAGGTTCATACATCTGCCCCCTGCGCACTCGAGGTAATAACATGCTTGTCAGTCTGATGCAGCCAGTAAAAATGATGTAACAGCGAAACTCTTCTGCAGATACGAGTAAAGGGGCAAAAACATCAATTTAAGGGGACTTATGAAGGAACTTTGATATAGCTACAATAAAAACAATCTAAACAGACAGGGGTGGGAAAACTAATGAGTGAATCTACGACATACAGTGAAGCACACAAAAATAAGGTCTACTCTATCTGACACATTCATTCACAGATGTGGTTAGATTTTGTGGGCTAGGTTCAAACTGCAGCTTTTGGAGGTTATCCAAGCCACATAGTTGTTATTCACCAACTCTCCTCCAAGTCACTTTAGGGTTTATGTGCTAAAAAGGCAGATACCAAAGAAATGAAACACCCATTTTTAGAAATGCATGCTATTTTGGTATCCTGGAGTCAGTGTTATTCAATGAAAGACAATGAGGACATCTGAAAAGGGCCAAAACCACGAGCTACATGTACAATTCCGCCCTCATAATCACTCAAAATAACTTCTGAGTGATTCTGACTTGTCTGCAGTTTGCACGTAGACCGGGGTCCAGTGAACTTACTAAGCCAGTCCATGCTGGAACTCCTTTGGGTATGCAAGTCCTCCATGGACATGCGACCCGACATGCAGGTCACTGAGTTCTCAAGAGGACCGCGAGCTTTTAGTGGCAGCAGCAGGTTATCAAGCCAGTCCAGAGCGTCAAAAAAAGGGGGGAAAATAGGCGGGAAGAAGAGGTGACAGGAGAGTTTAGAGTTGAGCCCGTGAAACCAAAGCAGGAGTTAGAAAAACAAATAGTTAAAGTATTAAAGAATTTTATCATCAGTGGTTTTTAATGAAGAGGGAACTGTTAAGACATTAAATCATGAGCCAATGAGTCATTGGAAAGGCACTTTGACAGGAGTCAAATCTGGATGGTGTACTTTATACTTTAATGATAATTAATGTGGCCTTTTATCTCTGAACTGTGATTCTGATAAGAGGCTTGACAAGTTTGAATCTGGACTCTGAAAACAAAGCAGGTCATGAACAGAGGGAGCTTTTATTTTGAAAGAGTCATAAACAATTTCATGAAGCTAAAATCAGGTAATAATGATCTACTCTTTCCAAAGACTCATGGCTCTTAACACATTCATAACATTTTCAGTACATGTTAATATCAGTTAGGGACTACAGTTTAGTGTAGTGTTGGACTTTGATTATGTTTAATTAACAGAATAGTGAGGTTTAGTGGGAGCACTATGAAGATTTGGTAATATGGCATCAAAGCTAAGAAAGAGAGGCCAATTATCTGGGGATCGCCAATTTAAAGATGCTTTTTTTTGTTTTGTTTTTTTATAGAGGATCTGGAGATTCTTGAGGACTTTAGTGAACCACATTAACAAATTCATGCAGAGGAGGGCAGCAGTGGCTCCTTTATCACACATTAATGGTTTCCTAAAGCCCCAACAACCTTCGAATAACCTCAGGTCTTAATATAAGGTGTAAAAAATCTATATTTACTCTGGTATTGCTAGTATGTACAGCTGAATTATAATTTTCTTATAATTGTCTTAAAGAAGTTGAAGGACTGCACCAAACTGGCATCAGTATTACCGTTTTCCTGGTTGGAAAACAGCCTACTTGCACTGGAGACCGTCTTGCCAATGTCAGCCAGGGAGCGCAGGTTGGACTTCTTGGTCTGATGGCGATGTTTCCGTAGCAACGTGTACATCACTTTGTCCTTCAGCTCTGGTTTCAGCTGCCCGATCTCAATCTGGTTGTCGGTGATCAGCTCTGAAGAAGGAAAAGAAAAGGATGAGAGAGGATAGTATGAGTGTTTAAAGAACTTAAAATTGTCTCAGTATCTGTAATTTTTTATTCTTAGGTCAGAGTCTGAGACAAAACTATAATTTATTTACAACATATTAAACAAAGCATCCCTGTTAAAATTCACTGTTTGATCATTTTTGCGTTAATTTTTTTTAAAAGTTCAATTATCTTGATATTAGTTTAAAAACTTAAAATTTCGAACTTTCCAATTGAAAATTGTGCAAATTTTGTATTTCTTTTAAACCTCTTCATTTTGATTCTTTCTCCATAATGTAGCATCTTTTTTATGTAAGACTTGTGCAGCAACAACGACACTTAAGGCTAAGACTCAAACTGTCATAAAATACCTCTTCGTACTTGTAAGGACCCACTTCGCGCCTCCAGACTCTAATGCTGCGGTATGAAAGTGGCATCATGAACCAGCTCAATCAAAAAGCTCTTGACTATTATCAAAAAGAAGGTCAGAAGCCTGAATGCTGCTGACAGATAACAGCCTCGGGGGAGTTTGTCCTCTTGTGGGGGGTTACTGCTGTTAATGGCCCATCAGTCAAGTTGGCCGGCCTCAAAGCAAGAGGCCCGGCTCTGTTCGGCCTGTGCGCTCCATGCAGCTCAGTCAATTACTTCACATTAATCACTCTGACCGCTGAGTCTTCCTCCTTCTCCCTCATGCAAACACAAACGGGGTCTCACTGTCCTCAAATTAGGAAGTTTTCATGGGACCGTTTACTAACTCCTGTTTGTGTCCCTCACTTTTAAACACAGTAGAGTACAGCTGAGGCTGAACTTTGCAGAGAGCTCTGGTCCCAAGAGCTGAGAGGACCAAGAAAGACAACCTCTGACCCCTGTGTGTGATGTGCAGCAGTCCATTAACCTGCACGCAACCCTGCAGACCAGCTCTCCAACAGTGAGCATCACAGGGTGCATAAAATCAAACTGACATAAGGGTTTGTGTGCAGGCAGCAAGACACTGACCTCTATCAGCATTATCATATTTAACAGAAATTATTAATATCATTATCATCTGCAATCAAGTGTAGAAAAAAGAGTGTGATGCAGAGCCTTACTAAACCTTTAAAGGTTGCACTGTGTCAAGTGGACCCAGCTACAGCACAGACCACATATTGTCGATGATCTTTAACATTTCACAGCTCAGATTCCTGAGCAGTGTAGATGAGTTTTATCTGTAACTGCAATGAAGTGGACTTACCAACGACCTGAGGCAGAGTGGAAGCTTCCATGTCCAGCATGATGGTGCCTTTCTCTATGCATGTGCGTAGTTCAAAAAGACTATGTAAGGACAGCGTGGCCACGTGTGGTTTACTCCAGCGTTCACCTCCTTTCTCCACCTTCTCCTCAAACTTGATCCACCTGGAGGGATGAAAAAGGGACAGTAGATTATATAACATGATGAATTTTGCCAATATTCTGCCATTAACTGATTGACATTATGTTATGTTAAATATAACTGCATGAGTTCAGCACAAAATGAACATGTATGTGTCAACTGTCAGTGGTTAAAGACAGCATTTATTTGCATCAAAGGGAGCAGAAAAATCAAATATTAAAATTCAAGTATATCAAGTATTACTTTGCTACTTGAATGCTTGCACATTTGGCTGCAGAAATCCTAATGCAGACTTGTGTTTTTTGATGTTTTATCCATGTACATTAGGAAGTTACATCCATGCATATAAAGATATTGATATTTTTCTTGACCATTTTTTTTCCCACCTTTAAACATTAATCCTTTCCACGGTGCTAGTGAATATTTCTTATTCTCTACAACAACACAAAGAAGATTCAAAAAACACTATCAGTCTGTCACGTTAAGCACAAGAGAAGAACCTTATATGCAGGTATGTCAGGCATCTTCTTGGACAGTGTTATTTAAACTGTGCGCAGTGAGATACACTCCCATTCTGCAGTAATACGATGAAGTAAAGCTAGTTTCCTTGTACATAAACACTTAAATCTAGCAGCTCTAAGCAGATGTAAACAAACCGGGAGCCCGCCATCATGGAGCAGATGCAAGTTGACGTAATGACATCAGTGTTTGCCAGAACTTTTGTTTGAGCTGTCCCCACAAATACAGGCATAACAGAGTTTTGAAATTTCTTCACCTTTGAAGTTCTTCTCCAAAACCTAAAAACTCTGTGTACATACATATGGGTGGACAGAGCCTTAGTGTGGGAAAGAAAATGTTTTTTTTTTTTTTTTTAATACTTAAAGACCCTGTTTAAACTAATCTTAAAAAAAAGCTCTGCTGCTGAATAACAAATCTAAAGTTAATATTTGAGACATACAGTAGTTATAACTTTTTCTGAGAAGGTGTAGAGTTTGTAACAGTATAAGAAGGAAACCAGTTGAAGCCAGGACAGAACTTTTTAAGCCTGCCTTGGAAAGAGTGCAGAGAAAAACATATCACTGGAAACAGGTGATCTCATTGAGAGGTGAATTCTCAAATATGCAATCATTAAAAATGTTTGAAAAGAAACAAGAAGCTGCATTATCACCACTGTTGCCACTGTCATCTTTGCAACACAGCCTCCTCGCCTCTTTGTCAATAATTGCACGATATTAACCTCTAAAAGCCAATTAACTGTTCTTGCTATATATCTGTCAAAATGTGAACAATAAAATGACATCAAATGGTTGGTGTTTGCATTATTTGCAGCAGTTTATAGTTCAGGTCAAAAACAATATTAATCTCAAGTATCCTTTGCACAGTTCGAATGCAGACTCAGTACAAAGGTGCATAAAAACTCTGCGCTTGACCACTGTCATCATTTCTTTTTCCAGTGTGTCTTCTTTTAATCAGCCCCCCTGCCCCCTCCCTCAGAGTCATGGAGATGAGAAACTGAACTGGTACTGACTTGATTCTATAGCAGGGTTTTATTTGGTTGGTTTGACTGCCAACATTTCGCTTGGCAAACGGCCAGTACTACCCAGCACTTCTCACATCTTTTATTCATTTGGAGTCCCTGAGTGCACTTGGGGAGAAGCTGGACTGGGTCTAAATCTCTGCGGCTATTTACAGAATAATACATTTAAAGTTACAAGACGCTTTATAAGCATTTAATAGTATTTAAAACACGATTAAGGAGGGATAGAAACTGTAAACTGTAAAAGCTGCTGATCCTCTTTGAAAGGTTTCTTACTAGTTCAGTTCTCGTCTGCACTTCAGTTAAAACTCCTGACTTGTTGTGGTCAGATATCAACGTCACACAAATTTAATCACACTTATTTAAGAAACTATCTTGGTACTTGTTTTGAGTCCTTTTCACTCTTTTACAGCAAGAAAATTGCAGCTCTGATCCCCCTGCATACTGCTTATCATGTACTGGAGCCGGACAGGACAACAAAGACTTTTTTTCAGGTACCAAGCTGAACCTCAAAAACAATCCCAGGTAGATTAAATTTTTGGTATTTGTCTATTTAAGGTGCTTTTCTCTCCAGATGGTTGACCTGATAAGATCAGATACATAAATCCCAAATCCACTGTGTAAGATCACACAATCTACTCCCTGCTGAAGTGCATGTTGACTGACTTGTCTTTCAGTGCGTGGATTTTTGTAGGATTGACAAAATATGTGGCGGTCTTTCAATGATGGCCCAATACTGGAGCTGGACAGATTTTATGAATGGTTAAAATCAGTGCAAATCAGATTTTTATATCATATGAGCTTGAAAAGGACTCAGCCTTGAGCTCAAATAAAACCAGTTTAATATTATCCAGATAGACTCTGACAGCAGAGTTCTTAAATGAAGTTTCTCTGCCACTTATTCAAGCAACAGTGAACCAAAATCTAACAAGTACATTTGGTCAGGGGTTAGAATAACAAATAAACTCATTTGGAGCCTTAAACAGCAGCCCAGGGATCCAGTTTCCCCCTGAGAGAGCTTCAATCATCCACGCTAATGATGCACAAACAATCATCCCATCTCTATGCCATCCCGTCCCACTAGTGGGCCACACAGGAGAAACCTGTGGAGTGCTTTGAGCTCAACTATGATGCTGCTCTAAATTCAAAGCACACTGCAAGTTCCCCGAAGAAAGCGGCTTGGAGATGTTTGTGCAGTTATTTAGCTCCTGAAAAGGTCATTTATCCAAAAGCATCAAAAGAAAAATGCAAAGGCAGCAGAGATGACTTTTAGCCAGCATCTCCTTCAATAAGGTTCCTGATGACCAAGAACTTTAACACTAAAAAGTGCACATACAGGATCTTAATAAGAGAGCTTTTGGTTCTCTTACCTGGCCGTCTCTTTCCACTCCATCTCCTGTCCATCCACCGACAGGAGCTCATCCAACTCAGTGAAGAGTTGAGGGGGTGCCGGGCCATCATCTTCCTCCCCGAGGATAAAGCGGATCCTCTCAGCTGCCGGTGAGACTGTGGAGAGAGTAAAAATACTGCGGTTCATAGGCTGGAAATGGTCCCCATTAGGCAAGGGTTTGAGCACCTGCGTCCCCTCCTCAGCTGGAGTCTTCCCGTTGACCTCAGGAGGAGGTGGAGGTGGCGGGATTTTTACCATGACCTCTTCTTCTTTCTCCTCTGTGTCTTCCTCCTTTTCCTCCTTCCCTTCTTGGTTATTGTTGTTATTTGACATCTTAAACAACTCAGTGACCCTCCTCTGCTCTCGCAATCAGCTGACCCAAGTTTAGCTCCTTCAGATGACAGGCGGTAAGCGACAGAAGCTCACCGGAGTCCCAAAGACGCAGCTAGACCCTCATTAAAGTCTCGGGTGGAAGTGACAGTCACTCTCAGCTGCCTGTTCCAGCACTTTGTGAGCCAGGTAGGAGGGGGCTGATGGGGTTTAGGGGTCCCCCTCAGTGACAGTGTCCCCACAGCTAGCCCCTTCTCCCTCTCTGCCCCCTCTGTTCAAACAGGCCTTCACCATTGGCCCTCCAGCCTTGGCAAACTGCCCTGGAGCCCCTCATTAACAATTAGGAAATGGTTCACAAACTGGCCTATTCTTCAGCCAAGGCTTGGCTTTCCTTCCCCTTGTCTTCTCATTTGAATATTTAGAGCGCAACACAAACAGAATTTCAACAGGATCAATACGTACATTTAACTTTTCACTGCTTTCCAAACATCTTGGAAGTGGCTGAGAGTATTATAACTCGCTCTAATGAGAGGAAACAATATTTGAACTCTGCATGAGAGCCCACAGACAATCCCCTTTCCCTTTCATGAAGACTGGCCCATGCATGTAGAAAAACTGTACACAAAGATTATTATGTCATCAGCAAACCAGCACACAAGACCATTGCATGATGCATCAATAGAGCGGATGCTTGTCCCTTTACATTCAAGTCAGGGCATCGGGCTGCAATGTGCTGCATGGAAACTGAAGTCCTTAGAACAGAAGGTTAGAGTTGCCAACTTACAGTGACAATGGTCAAAAAAGTCAGGGTGCTGTGTAAAATATGATAAAAAGTGAGTGAGTTTAATTCCTACTGATGGCCCCTTCAAAAGAAGAAATCATACTTGACCCAAGAACGCTGGCGACTTCTCTGGTGTTAAGGTGAAGTGAACGTTTACAGAGTCTCCACATTTTTAAAATTTGGGTTGTTGGTTTGGAAAAATAAGTTAAATCTTAAAACTGGGTGCCTAAAAAGCCATTAAATGCGCAATTTAGTATGAGATAAGTTGATTGGTCGTTTCATTAATTAACTTCTGAAAGACCATCAAAAGGCTCTACTTACAGCTCTATCAATGATCATGGAGGTGAGTGTAAACAGTGGGGGAGTGGAAAATTGTAGTGCTGGGCAATAAACTGAAAATTTACAGATACTGAAACTTACAACATCAACCGACATCATTTTGCCTATGTCAAATAAATTATTAAAAGTTGGCTTTGGATGTGTGTAGGTAGGCTATGGTCTCGTACCCCTTTAAAGCTCTGTCCTACGACAGAGACGTGACTCAACCCCATCCAGTCCGTAACAAAGAGAGAAAGACAAGTGAGGAGAAGGAGGATGATTTAAAAGTTGTAGCAGATGGAGTGGTGGCTGAAGTAGAAAAAGTTAATGTGGGAGGGGGTGAGCAGCTTGTGGAGAAGTTATCCTCCATTTATCATTATCAAGGTGAACTGTTCAATATATTGTGATATTGATTTGAGGCCATATCGCCCAGCCCAAGAAAATGGTCCTGTGGTCTGAGGAATCAAAATCTGACATCCTTTTTGAATTTCCCTTCAGGGATCAATAAAGTTCTTCTTTTTGGAGATCATGGATGCCTGGTCCATCCACCTTTAAATAAAGATGGACAACCTGGCTTGTTGTAGCTTGGTATGGGGATACATAAGTGCCCACAATGTGGAAAGGTAGGCCCCATTACTACTAACCAACACATACAGATTTTAAAGCAACATATGACGCTGTCTAGGAAAGACCTCAAAGGTACAGGATTCCCAAATTTCTAGACAACTATTTAAATGTTTAAACTTTAACTAAACCTGGTTGCATTATCAAGCCTGCAGATTACAGCTGTTAGTTGGTTGAAACTGGCTATAAAATTCAGGGACGCTGCTTAAGAGTCTGAAATAAATTGCCTATTTTTGAAGTAGAATTGAACATGTTTACTGCCTGGTATAAAAAAGGATTGTGGTCATTATACCCTTTTTTTTACTCCTGACATCTGTGCAGGGAGGAAAACTAAACTCTAAACACAAAAAGAACAGATGGTCCGTGTGGCTAAACTGATTATTTTCTGAATAATAAACAACACTGATCATAATGACAGTTTGGTCACACTACTATGCAGCCAGCTGATTCAATTCACAAGATACAGCCCAAAAGGCGCATTTTTATCATTCCCAACAGGCACTGTAGAGTCTGTGAGAAAATCAATCATACTTTGAAATTACTTTTTCAGCACCAGACTTTATATCAAGTATAGTATGGTCTGGGATGTTTTGCCCAACCTCTTTTCTTTCACGGCTTTTTGAAGATAAACTTTATTTTAGGGGTGCAAAAAGGGTTACAAGCATCAGCATGTAGGTCTGGCAGTTAAGGAAGCAGAATGTGGGTATGGGTCCCAAAAGTCCAGAGAGAAAAAAAAAAGAGTTTCTGAGAGAGTGATACCAAGACAGCTGCCCGGTGTGATCAGATTAAATATCTGCTTATTCTGCTGCACTTAGGTGTCAACTGGGGATATTGAATGCATTTCATTTTCACTATTTCTGTGATCCAAAATGCAGTAATTTGCTCTTTCCTCTTAATCTTGTCAGCCTTTGATAAAAGCTTTTAGAAAATCTGTCCAGGGCAAAATCTGCCCTAAAAATTTAAGAAGTTTACACCCTCTGAGAGGACCTAGATGTTGCACACTCCTGTTTGTAAGATTGAGAAACAAGACAGCAAAAAAGTCCTCACACGTCCATCCACCTCTTGCCTTTTTCTCAAGAGATTCTCAGCAGTTGTCAGGTAGTGACAAAGGAACCACTAAGAGGAATTAACTTCTTTAATGATGAGTCTAGTTTATATTTCTGTGTCACAGAGGAAGGAAATTAACCCAGGCTGTCTCGGAGTTGAGCAGGTGTAACATCTACATGGCACTTTCCTTACACCTCACTGAGTCATTCATTCATTCATTCAGTCAGTCAGATAAAACTGACTAAACAGTAAAAGAGGTGAGGACATGCAGTTTCTCCTCTTTGCATGCTCTGCGGGACAATAACAACAACAGCAGGTACGAGCCAGACAAGCAGCTGTAAGATTACTGGGTGGGGGGGATAAACTGTCTGCACACACACACACACTTACACGCACAGGTTTACACAAGCTGCAACTAGCTTAAGTGCACTGCAACCTGTTTAATAACACCCCAGGTAGAGTAATTTACATGTGCGTTTCTCACATTTAGCTGACGTGCATCTACTCTGAGATTTACTCTGATTACAGTAAACAGTGAAAACATGCTTGAAATACCTCTACTGCCCAAATCACATGCAAACAACGCAAAAAAGGGAGCCAAAGCCTCAGACACAGAGCAACTACAGCTCTACACTTTAATCATTTGAACAGTCAATATAGATGCTGTAAAGCAGGAACCATGTTTTCCATATAAGGGGCATGCACAGAGGTTTCTGTCCTAATTTTGGTGCTGCACAGGTACCCAGATATCTGTGGCCGTGGTGGGCATTTTTTGCCTCCACAGCTGTGATTGGCATCCTGCCCAAAGGCTTTAGCCGCTCCAAACTCACATCTGACAGCAACCTGTGGAAGCAACTCTGGGACTTGGTGCTGTGGGAGGCAGCTGCACTTTGACAGGTGGATGATAAAGCCAAGTGAGCTCTCAAGTTTGATGTTGAGCCTGATCCACCCTTCTTATAGAGGTAATATAAGAAACAGCAAGACAATTATGTTGTTCTTAAATACAACAGGGCTAGGTTAAAAAAAGTCAAAATTAATCAGACTTTTTTTTTATTTTCAGTTTTACAAAACCCTGAGATCAATCTTCAACACATCCTCTCCCCTGTGGGTTGCTCCTTGTTTTCTGGGACCAGCCTTTGTGCAGCAGGATCGAGTCACGTGACAATTGGTGCCCCACAACAAACATGGCAGGATGCAAAGCTGCCCCAGTGAAGATGACATTAGCAATGAAGGCATTAAAGCACAAATCTTTAAGACAGAGATGGAGAAAAGCAAGGCCTTATGCAAATCTCCCAAACTATTCAACAAGACATCTCCAGATATATGATCCTCTCGAACCTTTGATCAGAGACAAAGAAGACATTTGCCTCTGAATTACCATCCAACTGCCACAAAAACATTCTGTCGTATTCTGGAACATACAGTAGGTCTGTTCTGCAACATACACTGCAACACCAACATCTAAGTAAAGCAGCAGAAGCAGTTTCACAACTAAAAAGCCTTGATATCAAATTCTAGTTAGTGTTCACAGATTAACAGACAAGTTTGCATGATATTGTCTAAATGAACACTTACTTTAACTGGACTGTAGCCTGTTGGTCATCATGTGAAAACCAGGGGCATTTATTTGGCTGAAGTCACTTATTCATGTTAACCTTATTCATCGTATTTTTGGTAAAGTACAAAATTAGAGGGTTCCTTGAAAAGTTAACACTTTTTACTTTTCTGATAATCTGCTTCTTACTGTAACAAAGTTAGTAGACACAGTAAAATACTACTAACTGAATTAACCCATTTCATTTTGGATCAAATCGCTTCATATCAGATCAACACAAATTAAATCAAAGTGGATCAAATCCAATCAACTCAAATTAGATTAGAGAGAATCTGATCAAACAAACCGAATCAATTGAACTGAATCTAATCCAAATCAATCCCATCAAATCATTTTGGATCAAACTGAATCTATTGGATCTAAACAAATAAAAAAAAAAGGTAGATCATACCCAATCAAATCAAATCCAATGCAGTGGAATCTGATCTGATCAGATCAAAATGAACCAAAGCATACAGAATCAAATCAGATTAAGTCTAATTGCACAAATTAAATTGAATCAGTCCAGAATGAAACAGATCAAATCAAATTTAATCAGATTCGATGAAATCAGATTGAAGTAAACTGTGTAGAATTTAATCAAATCACTTTGAATCAGAAAAAAATGAAAAAAAAAATCACTGAACGGAATCAAATCTGATCAAACTGAATCTAATAGAATCAATCATTAGTGGATTAGATTCAATCAGATTGAATAGACAAGTTAGAGGAGGACGTTATGATTTGGAATGAACCCTTTTAAGTCAATCAGCAATAATACCCAGCACTACACTATCATATCTGATTACTGAATAACACATAGAGGATAAATATCAATATTACTACTGAATGGAGATAAGGAGTAGTGATGAGGTCAGTCCTACTTTAGGCTAAACCGTTTTAAACTATGTATTGTTTTTAAACAAAAATATCAATGATTATCAGCCTTACTATGTTGACTGTAAGGCACGACTCAGTATAAGGATGTTTTGATGCATCAGGATTATGACCCACAACTTTAAGACTTTTAATATTTGATATTTGAAGATGTTTTGAAGGCAACTTTTCGAAATAAAATAAATCAATAAAATGTCAAATTATTGTCCCATGCTTCCCTCTGACATCCAGCAAGATACAATAGATCAGTAGAGTTCTTATCCAGCAGTGATTTTCTAATTCTTCATAACGAGCTGATGCTTTCTACCCACTCTTTCTGTTTATGCTTTCTAGTAAAAAAATGAATCTGGTGACTAGCAGAGTGCTGGTGTCAATGCAATACTGTCCCACTCCAGCAGTTGCTAAGAGAAAGCTGGGGGGTGAAAAGGGTGAGAAGGGTGAAAAGGGGGGAGGGGGGGAGTGAGGCTCAGCGCAGAGTGAAAGCAAAGAGGGGTGAGAGCAAGCACGAAAAGGAGGGATAGAAATGAAAATCCCATCGTTCAAACGCAATTTCAAAGCTCTGTGTGCTCTAGCCAAGAGCCATGGGCATACAAAGAGGACTTTGTCCCAGCAGCAGAGGCTCATGGGATAGGGGATGGAGGAAGAATGCCCGCTGCCCGGCAGAAAGCTTAGTGTGGCTGCCACTAAAGGCCTGTTTAGTCCCACTCTTGACATGCATCCTACACAAATACCTTCCCTCTCCTCTGACCTTTTTGAAGAACTGTGCACAGTAAAGGGCTACATGGGATCTAATAGCAATGTCATTGTTTGTGACTGTACATGCAATGATAATACCGCTCCTCTTCACCTCATTCAAACTACAGAGAGGGTCAGTGAGAATACAGGAAATGTTTTCCATGCCACTAAGTCTGAGATTCAGTATGCAGGGCAGCGAGCACGCGGGCAGGGAACAGGGATTGGGCTGAATGCAGAGTATCACCCAGAGGGGGATTCATTGAAAGCGCACTGTTTATACCAGGAACATCTAGCTCTGGTATTTTGTTGTGATAGTTGAGGTGGGCCGGTTTGTGAAGAGAATCTGATTAATATGAGCCAGGGGGTGAGAACTTCAGATGAAATACAGAAATACGCAGGTGGACTGGATGTTCAGCTATATGTTCCCTATAATGTTTTCGAAACAGCCGATCAAACCTGACTCTAAATCTGTCTCACTGTTGTTGTGTTTTTGGCTCTCACTCCACGTTTGGCCAATGGACTCCATGGCGAACACAATGTCACCTCCAACCTTCGTCCAACAGGCTTTACAGTGAGAGAAGCCATTTTTTTAGTACAGCAATGGGGATTGATTGAAGGTTCCTAATCCTAACCTATGCCACCTGCTTTGGGACCACAGCCTTTGTTGTACATGGAGCACACACTTGGCCAAAGTGGCATTCCTGTTAAGGACTGATATTAACCCTTTTAGAATCAGCACAGAAAGCTGACTTTTGATGCTTTTTCTAGTTTTCTTGACCGCTTTTCATTCCCACACCGATGACAGAGACTACAGCAAAGAGCCCATCATTTCTTGACTAATCCCATTCACACCCCGCTGGGCCGGCCAAGGACACTTTGGCATGTGGACAGCAGGACCTGAGATTGAATCCTCAACCTTCCTTCTGGGAGACAATCAACTCCACCACTGAGCCACAGTCACCCTGCTATGATGTAACAGACTGCACCTCTTACATGCACCCCTAATCAACCAACACTGTTTTTATGAAAGGAGGTATAATGCTGTGATTGACAGCTCTGTTGGCTCCTGCCGCACTGTGTGCACTGGATCAATAGAGTAGAGGTGAAAACCCCAGGACAGATGTAAGCAACACTGATATGTAACTACTGAACCTTCTATAAGCACAAGATCCAAACTGGCACAAGAACCAGCTCTGCTGCAGACTGAACTGACCTCAGGGATCTATATTTTGGTTGACTGAGTAAGCTGGGTGCCAGCACCACAGTTCAACCAGCCAATCCCTGCAGTGCACTCTTGTGCAATATGCCCACTGCTTGAGGTATTTTGGCTTCACCTTGATATAACAAGAGGAGGCAGAGCTGTGCCATCCATCTTTTGAGACATACAGTCACTGGTTTTAAGACACAGATGTGCTGACACGAATAACCCAGAAAGAATGGGTTCATGAATTGAAAACAGTAATCTAAAGTCCTGCCAGCCAGGACACCAAGTTGAGGAGTAATGAGAGGAATTTTGTGTCAGGTCATTCGGTAGAATCAATAGAGATCTTCCAAACAGTGCTGAGCCTAGGTCTAATTGAAGAAATAGATTTTAAAAAACATTTACTCTAAGTCTTTTTTTCAGGCATTAAAAACACAGTCACTTCTCATTACTGTATCTAAAACACCAGCAGGAAAGCTCAGAACTCATTTTCTCCAGAGACAGCAGTATTAACACACTTTGGCACAAAGTCATCATAAGACAATGAGTAAGAGAAAAAAAACACTCAAGGGTCAGAAACAGTGACGGCAACAAACTCATGTTCATTCATGTCCACAGTCTGACTAAAGTCTGAAAAACGGTGATCCTGGAGGGATCTTAATGAGATGACGCAGGTGCACACAGAGCGGGTAAAACATTACAGTGAAGATTGTGACCTGTAAGCTCCTGAAAACTGTCTTTTAGTGTTATATCATAGTTATTCGTTTGGTGTGTTATTCTTTCAGCTTAAGTCAGTTGTTTTTGTGTCTGCTCATCATAGATTCACTTAAGTGTTTCCTCAGATCATCACGCCCTTTGTCCTTTCGTCTTTTTTAAACTTTTTATCTGAGTAAAACACTTTTTGTTACAATAATGCTATCAAAATGGAAAGTGGACGCTTCAATTGAAGATGATAAGGACAAGCTTTAAAAACTCGGATCAGGATCAGTGGCCCCTTCCCAGCGCTATAAGGGAAATCCATTAGCTGTGCTTTGAGCCTCATCATCACTAGCTGATTTTACATGGGCGCAAATAATCAGAATAAAGGCCTATCAGAGTAAAACAGCGTCATGTAAACATGTCAATCGGAAAATTCTGATCCAATTCGACTGAATCAGAAAAAAATTGTATTCTGATCGAGAGGAGTGGTTTGTGCCAATCGTTATCCCGAAACGCGTCCATGAAAATACTTACTTTGATCGTGAGTCTCTGTTGGGGCAAAACTAATGTGACCCAGTCTTTACTCTTCAGCCTTTGGCTTATTTTTTGAGGCCAGTACAGGATGTTTCATTTTTAACACTCTGGCATAAAACACAACCGCAGGAGCCGTGCCGTGCTGTGCCTAACATAACAAGGTATAGGCATACATAAAGCGTAATAATGTCACATGTGCATGCACAGTGCAACCTTTGGCACAACAGTAAAATGAGTAAGCAAGGACGCCATCCAGTGACAACATTGAACAGGGGGAAAACTACAGAATTGGATGAAGTGAGCCACTACCGCGTTTGTTGGTTTGTTAACAGCACAGGTGTAAAACTCTTCTTTTGAGGTTGTTTTAGTGAAATCAGACAACTCTGCGCGTGTCCAAATGCTTCTCGTCTGAATAAAGCCTGGTGCATGTTTACGCACATCATGATCAGGTTATTTGATTTTGCACCCATATAAACAGTGGATTTAGATTTTTTGGTCCCTCGAATTTTTAATCGGATCAAGAAATTTTGCACATGTAAAAATGGCTAATGTTTGTGTAGGTATTTTTGTTTTGGTATGTTTCTCTTAAAACAAGTATCAAGTCATATGGAGAAGACGACTGTCCTGTCATGCTGCACCTAAAGAAAACATCCTCTTTTTATTATTTAAGATTAGGGAAAACCTGAAGAAATCACTGGACTCTATTCTCCTTAAGGAAGATATGATTCCACTTGAGATAAGACCTTTAAATGGAGAAACAAAGCAATCTTCTGTGTCTGTTTTGGAAAATTAAACCCATTCGCATGTGAACCAAGTTTTTTTCTTTATAATCCACTTTAAGAGGCCATTTGATCCGACTAAAAAAAAAAAAACAAGCTCATCAAAATGAGTCAGGGTCAAACGGCCGCTGAATGGACACACATGTAGCCAGGAGGACAGACTTGTCATCCCTGCGGCGTCCATCTGACCAAACAAGAGGATTTCAGTCGGACAACAGACATGGGCCTTCCCCTGGGGGCGGCGGTATCTCCCACTGAGAGTGGCACAGAGGAGGGCGGGGAATAACTGTGGGACATTTGGTACACTGCATGCCTGTCATTTTCTGCCTGCCTGACAGATGCCTGTAGATGAAGTTTTAGCTGTTTGCATCCTCCTCTTCTGCAGACAAGAGTACAAATGAATCATGTTTGCGACTACTTCTGAAAGTGGACTCAAGCACGGAGCCCTAGGCAACTTCAGCCGCAGTTGAACTGGTCCAACCAGACCCTGAGGTCAAGGCTACCCATGTCTATATCCCAAATGTGAATCTACCCGTAAAAGAATATACTTCATTTCTTGTTGACTATGGCTTACACTAAATCCAAGTCTGCACTAAGGTTGGAGAGGAAGGTTGGAAGGTTTCGGGATTACAAATATAGAAAAACTGTGTCTGCAATTCTGATGCTAGTTTTGCCATACAGTTAAAACCAGAGTCCATTGGCAGGAAGACAACCTTTCTTTTCTGCAGAATCAAATAATCAATTAGTAGAATATGAAGATTGTTGGCAACATTTGATGGTTCTACATAAAAAAATTAATCTGTTGGTAAATGTACTCGAGTGGCTGTTCATATACAGGCCCTTTGTGGTAAAGGCTAATGTGTTGAAAACAACTGCAGCCATCATTGACTGACACAGACACAACAGACTGGCTGACTGAACATGATTTTCCTCATCTGAACTCTTTTATTTTAATATAATTGTAAATGCTGTAAAAATAAACGAAGTCTGTATCTAAATACAGACATGCAAAAACAATCAGGCTCTTAAAAGTTGAATTTCCCTTCGGGATAAATTAAGTTCTTCTTATTCTTAAGTCAGCCTTACACATTCAAACATCAATCATCAATATAATTGACTGCACTGAAGAGAAAACAGACCCCATAACAAAGGTCGGACTTTACAAGAACAATCAAAAGAACAATAGTGTCCAAGCTCTGACCTGTCTTATCTCTAAATACAGGCAACAGTTTTCTTTATGTGTTTTTTAGCAATTCGGCTCCTTAATAATAGACACAGCTTTACAGGACCGCAGCAGAGAGAGGGAGGGTATTACACACAGTGAAGACCTAAGGTTGGATTTAAACACTGGCTTCTGCATTGATTATTGAAAGAGTCCTAGCTAACAATCTGGCCTAAATATGTTAGCTGCTGCTCACAGTGTTGCGCTCTCCACTACTATTACAGTTTCAGTCTCATTAGACATGCCTCAACCATAATATGGTCGATTATTTAGGGATGGTAACAAAATGTGGAGGACCGCTCCACTCTCAACATTTCTGAATATGATCAGGTAACAGACTGAAAAATAAAAAAAAATAAATCCTCCAAAATCATAATGTTTGCTAAATATGCATCGTGGCAGACAGCAGCAACAACCAGATGGGGCTGCAGTAATCTATTCTCTGATTGGATTTATGTCCTGAAGAAAATCCCCACATCAAGTGGTGTGTTTGGATTGTAAAATCCAGCACCGGCTCATTTTGGTCCTCCTTGTCACTTCACGTGCAGACCGGTGTGTGTAAAATTACACGAATCACTATGAGCATTAAGGACGAGCCCCTTTAGTGGATTTGACCGATGGAAGGTTATTTTAAGCTCTCTCAATACAGTACTATTACTATGCTGTACTACAACACTATCATACTATTCTAACAGCTGGATCTTTTGTGGTCTTGAAATCAGGAGTTTTGCCATGTTGATTTTTCCTCCAAATGGACTGCGTTTCATTGTTAAAGGGTCGCAACAGCAGCACCAAATCCTACTTTATTATCTGTGGAACAGAGGAGGTTTCAACAAGCCGGGAACGCAGGCACAAACACCTAAATAAATATCTATATATGTATAAATGCTAACACACCCACACTCACACAAAGACAAATTCACTTCAGTCTCAAACCAAGGACAAAAACACAGGAAGGCTTGCACTCACACACTTTACCCAAGAGACTCGTATCAGCACTAGCACAATTATATCTAAGCAGCCAGAGCTTCCAATGAAAATTCACCCAGCTCTGTCCAAACAGACTTGTCACTCAGCAGGACATGCACAGCTATTCCTGTCCACTGAGTGGACTCAGCGATTCTTTGGGGTCACAGGGAGTAACAGGGGCGTTTTTCTGGAAAAGAGAGCAGCCTTCAGCAAAGACAGACGTGAGCGCTAATCAGCCTTGACGTACGGTCCATCAGAACTTACTGAGAGGTTTGAGGATGCTGTTGCTGGCCTCATCGTTGTTTTCCGTGTCTGACTTGTCAGAGGCGTTTTCCGTCAGCTTCTCCTTTCTGTCCTTGTGGCCGGCTCTCCGGCGGTGACGCCTCCGACGCCGGTAGCTCTTGGGCACATGCACACCGATGTAAATGGTGTGGTGACCTGTGAAAGAGAGAACAGCAGATGAATCTCTGACCATTTTAAGACCAATGACAAAAATGATGCAGACTTCCTGGCAATGTCAAAAAGAACCAAAACTCTAAACTGAAAGAGAAAAATTAGCAGCTAAACATTTATTCTTCTATATCTCAACTATGACTTCTTGTTGGTTCAGTTAAACATAGAACATTTTGTTTTTTTAAGACAGCAAAGCAGAGCTACTGTTCACTGTCAAAACAAATATTTGGAGACTGTCTTTTATGCACGACCGCACATTACAAACAGGACGTGAAGTTTAAATGTAGCTGGTTGGTTCAGGGTCAATAATGACCAAGAGAGTAGACTGTTTGTTAGGAAAACAAATCATTCAGGAGCTGGATTACAGGTCACTTAGCCAGAGATTATGGCAGTGAAATCTGCTCGAGGCGCTGTTACTTGAGATAAAGATACTGTGGTCAATTTTGTGGAAACTTCACAAACCAAAATAAGTTTGCTTTTCAGTTACAGGGCTTGTTGTCAAAAGGGTTATACTTTACGATACATCATACATTGACCATATTTCATTTTATATTTTTAACTTTTATTTAGCCAGGTTAGTCTTGAGACAAGAGAACTAATTTCAAGAGAGATCTGGCCAAGTATGGCAGCAGCAATTTTCAAAGACAAAACAATCACACTAACATTAAAACAGGACTGGGGATTTAAATATGTTATCACTAAGTTATGCTCTTTAAAATCAGTCTGGAGCTGATTCTTGGCAAAAGATGCAGAATATATAAAATCTATCTTTTCCAACTGGTTCAGACTTTTTTACTATGTCTAACAAATGAAGGTAGTCCATTATCACACATGAGACTGTTTTCACTGTTTTTGATGGTGTAAAGAGTATGAGTTCAGATTTATCTGCATTCAGAACAAGTTGCAGTTGACAAAGTTAATCTTCTACAAAATCAAACGCATGCTGAAGATTTCAGAAAGCTTGGGCAGGTGTAAGTGCATGGCAATAAATAGTGTAAATAGTAAATAGTAGCAGGCCTAGAAGTCATCCTTGTGGAACCCCTGTGTGGATTTGTGGCATCCCTGAAATAGTACCTTCTAATTAAAAGCTTGGGTTCTATCAGTGCGATATTTGGCATACCATCCTACTGTGTGTTCAGATTATGACGCTGTGGTTAGCGGTATTGAAATGCTACGAAAAGTCAACTGCAGTGGCAGTACTATGGATTTTACTGAATCCTGACACAGAGACATTTAAGATGGAATTTGAGGCCAGATATTCATTTATGCGTACACTGTACATTACTCCAATTTTTTCAGCCCATTGAGACTTTATTTGCAACCAGGCTTTTATTAAAAATATGACAGAGTGACTCAGAAATCAGAGGCCAATTTTAAAAAGAAAGGCTCAAAGTTATCTGATCCTGAAGGTCTTCCATGTTTAACCTCTTATAGGGCCACAGATTGTCTTCGATACCTGCACACTTGTTTGCATATTTAGGTGATCTGTGCTCTTAAACCACAAGTTTCTCCTCCCTGAGCCTTTAGAAGCCACTTTTCCCAGTCAACATCAAAAGTCCCTCTGAAACAAAAGGCTCTCTGCGGCCAGTGTCAAACGTCGCTTTTGAAAGACGTCGAGTAACGCTGAGCCAAGCACTGCACATGACCCGACCAGGAAATGTCTGAACCCTTCAACACCACAAACAATGATCTCTCTTGAAGCACAAGAGCATTCATTATTCACTGGTACCACAATGCCTTGTTTTTTAAGGGTTCATCTATATTCACTGACACCGACGGTTCAGCATACCACGCTAACACAAAACACCAGATGGGGAACTGTAAAAAAGAAGTGAGATTATTGCTCCTTTTTTGACACATTTTCACAGATGGATTGGACTAATTTAGCTTCAGTATCATAGATGATTTACCACAGTAATAGCAGAGTCTCCTTTTCGAGCATATTTAGTCAGATATCAGGGGGAGACACTCTCCACAGAAAAGGGGATGGCCAGTTGGAGGTCAACAATTGTTTGCCGAAATGTCTTGCAAATATTTACTTAAACTCTTAACTGAAAACAACCCTCTGACTTTTGGAAATGAACAAAAAATTATTCAATTTTAGACAGCTTTTTATGGCAGAATGAGCCAATCAAACTCTCTGGATAGTAACATATACATATACTACACCAAACAGGTATAGCACTTGAAAACAGGGTTACTACAGTTATTTACTGGCTCTTCTTTAAAAAACAAACTGTAAATATTTGTGAGACTAATTTCTGGAGTCTCAGTCTCACCCGGTTTAGGATGTCAGCTGCCAAATAGGTTTTTTCAGTGAATGACAGGTCAGGACTGCAGGAGGGTCAGTTTAGCACCTAGACCCTTCTACTTCAGAGCCATGTGAGAATGTGGTTTGGCATCTTTTTGCACGGTCTTCCCTGAAAAGGGTGTTACATGATGGTATCATAAGTTGCCCCAAAACCTGTATATATTGTTTGCATTAATGAAGCCTTCTCATGTGTGTAAACTACCTAGCTTATGGTATTTGCACATCCCTGTACCCCCTTAAAGTAGAGGACATCCATCTTAGACGAGTTTGGGCTGAGAGATGTTTCCACTGTTCCTGGATTACATTACAGTTTAAACCTGCAGAGATGCAGAGATGAATTGTGCTCACAGACAGTGGTACTTGAAAGTGATTGTGACCCCATGCGGTGAATGCCACTACAGAGTCATGTCTGTTCTTATTGTAGCACCCACTGAGAGCCCAAAGATCATGGCCATCCAGAATTGGATTTTGGCCTTGACTCTTTAGTGCGGATTTCTGCAGATTCTCTGAACCTTTTAAAGATATTATGTACTGTCAGTGAAACACCTTTTTTTATCACAAGTCGTGTCTCGAACCTGCTGAACTGAAGCTCAGTTGGAAGATGTTCCTTTAGGAGGTTTTTTCACACAACTTTTTCAGTCTTTTGTTGTTCCTGCCTCAACTTTATTAAACCTGTTGCTGTCTTCAAATTCAAAAGCTTACAGATTTTTTATAAAGTAACAAGAAATGTTAAAACTTGTCAACCTTAAACCTATTTAAAATGTGTATTTAGTATGAGACACAGCTGATACAGTGATTTAAAATTTGTTCTGGCAAAGCTCTGAAGCCAGAAAGAGAAAACCCACATAAACAGAGAGAATCTATTAGACAGTCGACTATCAAAAGCAATAAAGTTTGCTACTCAGCATGTGGGCATTACAGCACCCAGCAGCAGATGGCTGGATAGTCACAACAAAAAGAAAGGAGACAGATAGAAATAAAGACCGCAGTGCTATTAGAGGTGATAGATGAGCAATAAAGCAGAGCGTGGAGACGTTCGCACAGGCTGAATGACAACAAGAAAGGAGCCGAGAGAATGTGAGGAGGGTGATGAAGGAGAAGGGGTAGAAAATAGTCAAGTCAAGGTGCTGGAAAGGAAGATTTGCACACTGCCAGAGCGGCATTGTGCAACGACTTCCTCTTCTTTTTTCGTGCAGAAGAAGAAGTTCTTTTGGAGCTACCCCCAAGCACACTCTGAATGAAATGCAATTCTTGTGTTTGCCGGGAGGTTTGTTTGGTTCGCTAGATTTCTGAGGAGAGGCAACGCCACCGCCAGTTTCCCCAGTAACTGCGGCCGCTGGGACCTGCCCAGAGCAGTGGGGAGGGTGGCAACATGCCACGCAGCGCTGACAGCATGCTAATAGAAAAGTGCTTTAAACACATACAGTTAAATGGAAACCAGGGGAGGGGGCAGTTGTTTATTGGGCTTTTACCAGAAGAAGTGATTCCTCCTCTTCTTTACTTTTGGATTAGCTTCAACAGGTGATATCCAAAATCTTTAAAGGAATACAAACTTTATCACTGTAACATAATGTCCTGTTTGTGACAAAGGGTTCAAATGTTTTTCTTAAGTACGAAGCCACAGACTAATCCCAATCAGATAAAGATCATTCAGACACTGGACGACAGATCCTCTTAACAGACTTTTATCTTCTACAGTGTGAGAAATGTCAAGCCACCTCATCTCTTTGTGCTCTTTTTATCAGTCTGTCTGTGGTGAAATCAGACTTTCGGCAGTGACTAAGCAGAGGGGCAGGGAGTGACCTCAATGGGGACTCAAAAAGAGATTTAGCGAGCAGACGAGGACACACACAGACACAGCGGAGACACTGACTGTGTGTAGGAAGTTAGAGAGATTGAAGTAGGGTTCAAGCTGAGGTGACACCTGACAAAATGTTGACCTCTGCAGCATAAGGGGCCCTGCTGCACAAATTCACTGTTGATGAATCATGAGTGTCACTGACTTATGGGGGACGTGTTGTTTTATTGTATTCAATTCCAATCAAAAACACCCTTCTTCATCCTTTTTCACTACTCAACGCTCGATACCGTCTATATCTACAATGTGGACCTCTTCTTGAGGTATCAAACTTGTATATTGTTCTTATGTATGATTACAGTGTTCCTTGTCTAGCCTGAGCCACCAATCTAAGTTACTAACAGTACTAACATTGATGGTCAAGTAAACAGGGTAAACAGGAATGCAGAAATCAGTGCCACACCTGGTAAATATTTTGCCTCAACATCGACTTTCGGTGATGTTTTCTTTTTCATCTGTCAGTCTTTAGTAGCCTCCTGTCACTGTCATCTTTTTTACCCACTAAAAACACACTGCAAAATTGACTGGACTTCTTTCCTCCCTCTTTGCCTCCGATTAGGGTCACAGCCCTGAAATCAGCCTGTTCCTGGTCTGCTATCCAGAAATAACAGTTTCCATGAACTGTTGCCATGCAACAACGACTCTTAGCAAGAATGCCCCACTCAGTGTTTTTTTTCCGCCCTGATCTGTTTGAATATCTACCAATACCAAGTCCTGATCTGATAACTGTGTTTGATGCTGCAGGAAATGTGCGCAATTTTTTTGTTTGTTTTAACAAAAATAACTCAAATAAATACACTAACTAGATAATATCTTCAGTCAGATTTACCCAATCAGGTCCAGCTAGTACTGTTATACTACTCTTATCAAATAATCGAACTCCCGCTCAGAATAGTGTAATAGCTTAGTTTGACTTAACTGAAATACCAGGTCACTAAAACAAATCATAAATTCACTTTATTAATGCTGTACTCGAACAGAAAAAAAATACAAAACAAATAAACTTAGAAATCTCACTGTAGATCTAGATACTCAAAAACATTTTCAAAAACCTGCATCTTTACTTCCAGGGATAGGCTTGATGTCCAAAGTGATGAATTCAACCACCTTCTCTTCTTATTGGTCTTTTTGCTCTTTTAAGGACATTTGATCTCCTTTTAAAGCTCCTATCATTAGTTTTTTGTCAAGAAAGAAAAAAGCAAACAAGACCATTAAGGACAAGACTGACAATTTGTATGTTGTAATTTTTAACGCCAAATATCGATGTGAGGGGGTAGGTGTCAGGCGAGCAGCTCAAGAAACAGCCCTGTTTGCTCAACTTCTGCATTACATATTCATAATAAATGTAATTTTTTTTTTTTAAATAAGACACTAAATCAGTAAGAGGACAAGAGATGCGACAACTTCTTTGTCTATAGGGGGCGCCGATTTTGACACAAACTGAAAGTTACTCACTACAGCTTTAAAGTACAGAGTCTGTGGCTTAGGCATAGTAGCTTTTTCATTTGTTGCTTTCGTGCTTACATTATCCTGATTTGCATGTTAGGTTTTAAATGTCACATTAAGTTGGTGGTATTAAATGCAGCTCTGCAGCTACAGCATTGCACAATAACTGTATTGTATAGATTGCACATGGCATATTGACTGTTTTGGCTTTCTGCAGACAATTCTGCCAACGCTGAGTCACTCATGCATTTACATTTTTCTTAGTTTATGACAGCTGACATAAATGATCGAGGGGAGATGGTTGGCTCGAATTCTAGATTACTTAAGAGTTAAAACATGGTCAAATAAACTCCATTTTGATGGCTGACCATCATACCAATAACAATCACCTACTAAACACCCATTCAGTAATTTCAGTTAATCAAGTTTGCTCAGATAATGATATGACTCATGTTGGAAGAGTTCTCATGCGTATTTCAGAAAATATTGAAAACCAGTAGTTCCTTCTGATATAACAGAAATCCTGTTAAATCCACCAGTGATCTTTTATTGCAGTTTTTGCAGTTTAAATTTAGTTTTCCAGGTTAGGTCAATTGAAAAGGTCTGGGTTTTTGTTTTTATTTGTTTGGAGTTTAATCCTAGTTAAAAGAGGACAGAAACCAACATGATATAAAGGCTGGTCTCTGATGCTGGATACTCTTTAAGTACATCTGCCAAAAAACAAAACAAAGCATGACGTTCTTGGGCTGTCAATCTGGCCAGGTGCCTGCCCTTCTAATCTGCTGGATTTGAACCAAGAAACTAGTGATGCGTGGTGCAAGCTGATGCCATCACCATGTAAAGCTAACCTTATTTCTCTCTGACAAAAAGCATCAGGAGAGTTCCAGCTTGGTTGAATGTCAACAGAGCACTGAATCAACCTGTAATTAATCGGTTGTCTGTACAGATCTGAAATCAGCCAAATGTAGCATCAGTTAGCGAGTTTGCACGAAAAGCCAAAAACTGACTGGTAAGCATGGGTTTCTATGACAAACAGCAAATTTAGAAGTATGAAATAAGCAGAAAATGTAGACATTTGAGAGTCCTGGGGGGTTGTTTTCCTTTCTTTGTTGTTCTGTGGCCCTTCGTAAGGATTAGTGAGGTAAACACAGGATCACATGCCCATGGTCTAGATCATTCCTGTGCCAGCTCGCACAACAGGTGAGCCATCACAGTGTACGTGCAGGAAGTGAGCGAAATTTGGCAGACTCGAAAAGGCTTAATGACGGCCTTCCTGTTTCTCTCAATGAGTGGCCTTACTTTGAACTTCAACATTTAGGAAGAACTGGGTCAGTGAAGAAAAGGGAGAGAAACTCGAGCAAAACTTTAAAATAGTGTAAAGTTGACCTAAAAAGTAAACATCTGGTCAGCTCAGACAAGTGGGTTCATTGAGGTACATAGAAAGAGGTGAACTTACCTTCTACCTCCTCCTCGTCACACATGTGCTTCAGTAAGGACGCCCCCCGGTCCAGCACCGCCTCGTCCTCCATCCTGTAGTAGTAAAAGAGGAAGAAAGACTGCTCACATTTCTCCTCCAGTGACAGCGTAGAGCCATAGCGCCTTGGCTCGTTCACCTGCAGTAGGTTCGGACTGGGGCTCAGTCTGGTGCTGCTGGTGGCGCTCATCTCCACCCATTAAAAACTCATTGACTGACTACCTCTTCGCTTTGTTTGTCGTTGAGTAAACTACGCACTAGCGTGAAAAAGGGTGTCGACCTTGAGCAGGGCAGAGTGCGTAGTCCTCAGGTGCGTTGCAATAGGTTTAATCTGGCTGAAGGCGGGGGGAGAGGAAGAGAACAGGAAGTCTCTGCTAATTGGGCGTGATGGCCGGATTGACTGGTGCTGCTCATGCGCATGAAAGCACTCAACTGAACTTTGAAAAATCTGGACCTGGCTCTGTGTCAGCTCTACTTATGAGACACTCGAAGGTGTTTTGTAACTAGGAGAAAGAAACATCTCAAATAGTATCACAACATGTTAATCAGCCCCACGCCCACACACACTACAAAGCCTCTCCATCTGGTCGATAATGCCTGCCAGCCCCCACTCTCCACCACCCTGCACCTAAGAAACAAGTGGGGCATCACATGTCTGTCTACTCATCCACCCTTACAGGATTACGCCGGCTTTACTTAAGTGACAAGACACACACAGGCCCGTGACGGGTCGGCTCGGCGGGGCCTTCGCTGCTCTCTGAGACCACACCAAATCTTATTTTTCCTCACCTCAAACACGGAGCAGTTTCACAACAAACATCACAAGGAAGAAAAACCTTAAAATGTCTGAACGAAGAAGCAGAAAGTAACTTAAGTTTGACTGTTTTGGATGTTTTCACCAGGTCATCCCAATCATGAGTAATGGGCTGTAATCGTAGAAACACAAATCAGAAAAACATGTAAACTCATTTTACTCCTTTTATTTTAATCATCGCTACATTTAAAAATCTTTGCATGGGTGTAAGGTGTTGGCAGCATCATCCATGTCCAACCAAGGAGTCAAAAGCTGCCCCCTCACTATTAAGCAACTCACATAACACACACATGGCATGTTGTGAGTAATACCATAGTGCTTAAGCCCCGGGTTTATCCTAATGGGATCACAGACAAAGTGGTTTGTTCTGGGAAACAATTTTTACTGTTTATTACAGAAATGTGAAAGGGTCGTCCATGTCTTGAATTTTAAATGAAATTAAATCAAATAAATACTCTTGGGTCAGTTTGGGCTGTAGGAGTTCAGTGCTTCTGGCTTTGTAAACCCATCCCTCATTCAAAACAGATGCTGTCTATATGGAGTAAATAAGGTAATAACAGAAGGAACGAGAGGAAGGAGAGCTGGAGTTAATCTAAGTGTTGATTGGAGGGTTGTTTTGTCTTTAAGTAGATTAAAAGTTGTTTATGTGTCCTCTTATGGCGCCGTTGTGTTTGGTACTGAGGATAAGGAGGTTTGATATGACACAGTATGATCTCATTCATAGTTTTAGCAGATGTCTCCTGCTTCTTAGTCTGTTCTGGGTCACAGTGGGCTGGAAAGCATGGGTTAAGTACCCCGGGAGCAACAGTGTCAGAGGTCAAAGGTCAGCTGGAGTACAGTACTCCTCCAGGTAGTTAGGATGCAGAGCCTTGAGGAGGGATGTTTCAGCAACAGAGGACACACTCTTGTTTCTTGCTGATGGCTCTGGTTGTAAACTGATATACTCAGAGTATCTAATAAGTGTGTAGTGTTAGAAATATGACATACTACACTCTAACCCGCTAAAGTTTCAAATACACTGATTGTATATTCAACGTTTCCTAAACATTTTTCAAGTTTGCTGAGTTTCTAAAAAATTCAGCAAGATTCAGCAAGAGGTCTCCGCTGTCCTCCCAACACCGGCCTTACTACCTCCTTCATTGCCACCTATGGAACAATCGTGGACATAGCAGGACCAGCTCTCCTCAGGTCTGAGCTGGACACCCACACATCCCTGCACCCTTGCTCTTTTTTTTAAAGCACGTTATCTTTTTCTAGTCTTTTTTAACAAGGCTGAATGTTCAATTTTACAAACCAAGAATCTCTACTCCTTTTTTTCTGGGATTATTTCAGTTTGAGGCAAAACAATCAGCCAATAACTTCAATGAAATGTTACAGGAGAAGTCTGGGAAGTCTTGGCAGTAGCAGAAATCAAAGATTAATCCAAATGAGTTGGCAGGCTTTCAGGTTTTTGTGGTTTTGACATGCTACCAAGTTGATAACCTTTTGCTTTGAAGATTATATTGTAATCAAGAGACAGGAATGATTTTCCTTGAAGGAGATCCAGATCAAACCGCACTTTTCTTCTTGATATTTGCTCTTTTTTTCGCTGCATGTTAAATTTCATCATCACTTTTTTCTCATATTTAGTTAGCCGCTGGTTCTTAATGGAAATATAGACAAAGTGGTTGTAAGGTAGTGCCTGATATCCAATTCAATTACTGCGTTTTTGACCCTTCTGTTTAGTTATGTAGACTGTCCAATGACAGTTATACCCAGATTTGTGTAGACTACATAACACTGCTTTTCTGCTTAATGCTTAATATCAGGACCTTCTGAAGGCTCTGTTTTGTTTTCTTGGAGTTTCAAGGATGTTCATTCAGATAACTCCAACTCCTGCATTTTAAATGCACCACTCAAATTCTACAGTGGAAATCTCAATTTTGACCTCATGACATCTTGGCGTTGGAAAACAATAACAAGCTACAAAAGAATGTGAGTGACGTAATTAAAGTATCTAACAGGGGATCTTTTCTGTGATCACTAATTTAAGTTATGCAGGTATTGGTGATCAATAGCTGCACCTTTATACAACCTTACAACCAGGTGTGCAACAATCACCACTCCACACGCTGTTACTTTGCACTCTTGATTGTACATTAACTGCTATCTGTCTGACACCTCGCAGATAAGGTATCAGCCCCCCTGTCCTTGTAGACTGTACAGTAATCTGCATATAGACTACAGTCTCAATCTGTTTGGAGGGAAGAGCGTGTTCTCTGTACCCGAGCTGATGCAACTGTTAACTCTGTCCAAACCATCACACAGCCCGAAGGCATCCAGACTATGTTATGGTGTACAGTATCTGCTGGAGTCCTTGAAGGAGATATGAGTGAATGTGTCCAGGTCATGTTTGGAAAGTGTAATCTCTCATGTAAAGAGGGGAAAATGTCATCTGGTATCAGGTTCCACTTAATCGACTCCACACACTAAAGGGATGCCTGCAGTTTTTGGTAAATAATACCCACTCTGGGCATTCGTGTCACAGTAGCTTTCAGTGTGCGTGAGGCTGATATTTAAAGCTTTGTGTCCGGATAACCGTCCTACAAACCACACCAAAAGTTTCCACTGTCAGTCAGTTTTGACCTCCCTTGTTTGTGTTTGATGCAAAAGTACTTGAAAGGGTTTCAAGGGGCCTGAATGGATTTTTTTCCCACAGCAGGCAAAATAAAGTCATAATGACACAGTAGAGTTTTGTGCATGTGATGATTTTGTCTTTCGTTATTACCATAGTTTTTCATGCTGACGTGAACAAAATATATTCCTACAGATTAGTTGTGTGGAATTAAGTATATTAAACAGAGCTTGTTTTCCTCAAATATCTCATAAATGCTAATGTCAGCCATCTCAGTGACAGCTTTGATTTTGCAGCATTACAGAAACAAAGACGGCTTTAGTATCAGGAGGTTAAAAGCAATTACAAGGCCAATCCTGAGCCTTCAATCTCAGTCATATCTTTAATACTCTCCATGTCCAGCTCAATGTTATTTTTCTATATAGAACAATGTTCTCTGGAATTTTCATAGGCATGTTTGTGTTTGTTTTTGGAATACAGCAAGGTTAGAATCAGCCACCTTCATCTATTAGAGTTTTTTGTAAAATAAGAAAAAAAGGAGATTCAAGTCTCACTTATATCATGCAAAATCATGTATGCATCCTGAGCCTGACAGATGTCTGTTCTCTAAATCCAGTATAAGGTCAGTAAGTTTTGCATAGAGATAAAAGTGCTCCTGCAGAGCTCGTTAAAGACACTTACTTCTTGCTGCCGCTCATGTCTGCAGCTTGTGTGTGATAAGTCCCCTTACTGGAGGTGCTGAGCAGAGCTGATCACCGGAGCTGCTGCTGATGTTGGACCTGAGAAAGTAACACACAGAGAGGTCATTTCTCTGCTCTCTGGGGACTCACCTTAATGCACACTCGCAGATTCTTTCATGACCACAGGCTTTCACCTGGGAGGGTCTCTTAAGCTTTAAAACAGCATCACAAAACACCTTAGAAGGTTATTCTAAAGCTCAGGGATCATAAAGGGACCATGACTGGACACCTACAGTGAAATGGGATTTGCTTCTTAGAAAAGTCTTGGACACTTACGACCAAAACAAACTAATTTCCTCTTAACTTAACGTACACTGTATCTTGTGCAACTGACAGGGGGAGGTGGGACAAAATAAAGGATCGCTCCCCTCTACAAACACCCATTTTGGTACTTTTGGGGTATTTTATAATATATACTTTCATCAATATTTCTTCATTATCCTGGTATTTTGACTCACTGATGGTCCATAAATTGTTAACTGACTTGTTTTAAAAATATATTATGGCAGATTTGATTACAGGGGAATAACAGGCAAGCTCCAAAAATTAAAAGTACAAAAAAGTTCATGATCTTTGCTCACCTTTGAATAAACTAATACGTTATTAATGTCTGGACACTTTGCTGAGAAGCTTCCAACTTGATACTATAGCGCAGCTGTGCAGTCTCTGAACTCTTAACAGTAAACAGCACAAGAGTCCGACTCGGCGTCATAAATCATGCTTACTAGCCTGTCAAACCGCTTCACCAAAACAAAACAAACTCCAGCTGCGCCATTACGCACCAGCCACCATTGAATCCAGCGATAAATTATTCAGAGTTTGAATGAAACTCTAACGGGCGCAAAAAGCATGACTTGAAATACACACAGAGTCACATAAAGTGGAGTCCTCAAGGTTCCAACCACACAGTGAAGGGAATCTGACAGGAGTATTGTGGTGCTGTGCAGCTCAAGACGCGTCTCCACACATGCACACAAGGCCACGCGATAAAAGCAGTCAACAACTTCATGAGTACAGAAGAAGTACTCACCGCTGCACTTCTGTTCTCAGGCTCTGTGAGTTTGGCTCCTGTTGTCACCCCTGTGGTGGCATGAAGGTGAAGAAGTCTACTTCCACTGTTCGGGAAAGTTTCTCTGTGGCATTGTGCGACGACTGCACTCAGCATGCTGCCGCCTCTATCAGCTGGACCATCCTTCTGTCAACGCCACTCCTCCGGTGGGAGGTCAGACTGCTCCTCTGCCGCGCCATCATCACCCTGTAGGGTCGCTCCCCACCCCACCCCCAACACGCCCTAAGCCTGGTGGGACCAAGTCATTGAACAGTATTACAGGCAGGGGTCACAGCGTGACCAGTTCAACACGACGACAGCGGTCTATGTGGTCATTTTTTTAAATCAGCACTACGAAAAAAGTTTTGCGAACTGAAATCAGATGGAAAAATTAAAGATAAATTTAAGTACATTAAAATAGTCCTACAGACAAGGTCGTATAACATCTGAGACAAGAGAAAGAGATCCCAGGAAAATCCATAAACAAGACGGAGAAAAAATACTTATCATTTCTCATATTTAAATTAAACAATATTATTTAAAGCTACATTTTGGTCCCTTATAGTTATCATTAGCCTATATGGTTATTTTTGGTGTTAAGCATGCTTTTCAATCCAAACATGCAGAAATAAAGCATTCTTGTATGCTATAAACTCATTCTTCAAGATTATTTTATTTATCACTTATCTTTGGAGTTTCTATAAGATTCCTCCACAGTCCTAATGTCACACTTGCCCGTTGTTTATTTACCTCGTGTATGAATGATCCGTCGATTGGGTCTGCAACGCCATCTATTGGAAAAAACCTGGAAAGACAAGCCGTCGTCTTCACCATGCAACACACTGCAGTCTGTTTATTATCTGCCATTAATTTAGATTAGATAAACAGTGGATGAGACAAATATTAATATTAAGCATTTATTGTCTAAATTAATCTCCTTCCTGCAAAAAAGGGAAAAAAAACCTGCTGACAGGGAGTCAAACCTATAAACTAATATGTGAGCACCTTGGCAGAGGGCCATTTGGGGATTAGAAGCAATCAGTAATTGGTCTAATAAGAGGTGCCTTCTGATTGACCAATTAAAAGAAAGTCTTTGATTAGCTGATTAAAAGCAGGATGGATTGGTAGGATAAATTGAGCTTTCTGATCTCAGGGGTGGGTTTTGCTTTTGTGGGAACTTTTTATTTTCCAATTCATACATTTTAATAACCATAGGTTAGCATGGATGAGAGTCTACACTCTAAAAACTCTTGGGTTATTTCTTCAACCCAATTCCTGGGTTGTATGTGTTGAGTTAAATTTCTGGGTTATTTTTCAGATTCATACCCATTTCTTGGTTCATATGGATTTTATTGTAACCGGATTTAAGGGTTTTTTAAATGGGTTAATAATTTTGGGTTATGTTTCTGAGAGTAACCCAATAATTGGGTCAGAACGTTGGGTTTGATTGACTCTGCATGGTTTCTAGGCCTAATGGCAATTAAAGTGACCTAGTGACCTTGTGAACTTTGACCTTGATTATATACAGTTTATATATATATAATATTTATATATTATATTTTAATATATATATATATATATATATATATATATATATATATATATATTTATTTATTTATTTATTTATATTAAATATATATAAATATATATTTATTTATTTATATATAAATAACCTGGGGGTTGGGGTTCGAACTCCGTATGACACACATCTGTAAGGAGCGAACTACATCTACCAGTGTGGGTCCTTAGGCAAGACCCTTAGCACTATGGCCTACCTCATAAACATGAGTGTGTACCATTGACAGCCAAACTGGCTCAGACCGTACAGGTTGTTAAAGCAAAGCTCCCAGAAAAAGCTCCCCAAATGCATATATCAATCTAACCCAAGATCATGGATCAAATTAACTCAAATATTGGGTTTTAAAAAGAGATATTGAGTCAAGCCAAAATTTGGGTTAGTTTGAATAACCCAACATTCTGGGTCAAAATAACTTAATAGGTAGTCAGTCGCTTTTCAACCCTGGTGTTGGGTTAAAAACAACCCAACCCAAAACAACCCAACAGGGGTTTTCAGAGTGTATGTTTGCTTTTTGGGTCCACAAAGTACAAAATACCTGAATCCTTATCCCACCTCGGGCACTGAGATGGTTTGAGCCAGCCCTGCCTACACACTTTTGAAGGAGGGTTAAATGAAAAAGGTCTTTGCTTTGTTTGTTGGCCCCTTTGTAGTCTGCAGTGCTTTGGATGTGACTCTCTGGTACTGATTTTTTTTTATCCGTTGTCTTTCCACAGGGTTTTATTTCATTCCAACCTTGGCCTTTGATGTAAAATTGTTCCAGGAAATAAAGTTACAGCTCCTGCTTTTCTCCTGAAGTTCTTTACATCACACTGCAATATTCAAAGCAGAGAAGATTTGTGCTGTTTTATAATCAAGCATTCAAAGAATTTGGCCTTCCAGTTGGTAAATTGGTTTACAAAATCAATTGCAAAAAGTGCACGCAAATTGTCCCTCTGGTCAGTTCATTAAGTTTTTTTTTTTTTTATGTCACATATACCATATAATATTTTCTCCTCAAGTCTCTGCAAATACACAAACTCTCTCCAGACGTGCAAAAAGTTCCCATAGACTTCCCAGAATGACTTGGGTAAGCTGCAATAAGCACCTGGGATATTTCCTGCCAGTCTCCCAGTATAATTTTATGGTCAAGCTGGGATGAGCTCACAAAAGAAAACAGCAGGAGAAGTTCAGGAAAATTCACCCTGAGTGGACAGGTGGGGTGATGCTATTCTTATTGTGCAGCTGTTGGTATGTGTTCAGCAGCTTGATTAAAAACACTACTGTAATGATAATAATCATCCCATTTACTGTATATACCACTTTTTATTTAAATAGTCGCAGTGAAACTCTGTACCAAACTTACAGAGGTCTTGTACAAGGGGAAGCAGGGAAGCACAGTGAATAAGAGGGGACCCAACTAAGATAGACCCCTGGGGGACCCCACGTGGTAGAGGATCACCAGAGAAAGAGGCATTGTGCCCCACAGGAAAGACCAGTTTGACATATAGGAAATAAACCAGTCCAGTGCCGCATCACTAATGTGAACCGAGTATTTCAGACCATAGTTTGAGACTAATACAAAACCCTTAGGATTTTAGAAAAAGCGCACCTCAAGAGACTGATATCTTCTATCAAACAACACTCCAACTGAGGACAAGTGCCCAGGATTCTGGCACTATGTATACACAGAGCCAATTACTGGTACATTTTCAGCTCCAGAAAGTGTCCAGGAATTCCTTGGAGGGCATGTGTGATCACAGCTTGTGTGTTTACACATGCATAAAACTCATAAAAACTTCCCAATTATTCTGTATGTGGGGTTTTAAATAGACAGAATTTTCACCTTGATTTTAACCAGATTTTTTCCTGCTCACCACCTTAAATTTGAGGTAATGTTGAGTCAATGTTGGGTGAGTTTGTCAGAAAAGGAAGCAGGAAAATTCCTGTAAAATTTGCCATTTGGATGGTGAGGTGACAATTTTTGTATCAGCATCATGTAACAAGATGAGCTGAAACATCAAAACATATTAAGACTACATAACCAGTACATTATTTTCGCCACATTCATTGGTAAAGTGGATGTGTTCAAATATAAATAGCATTAGTATGGAGGCAAAAACAAACACTGAACATCATAGAGTGACTAGCACAATTTTTAAATTATGTCTGATCTGCAGTTTGGAATTTGTGGACTCGTGCCTTGACCTCCATGTTCACTCCCAGTATGATGTAATATTCGTCTAAACCTAAACCTAAACCATGACTCTGGAAACCCTAGACCAACACCAGACAAGAGGCCAGATGTCAGGCCAAAGAAGTGTCGATGGATTATGAAAAAGCAGAACATAAGACTTCTATGAAAGAGATTATTATTCAATGGAAGGGAAACAGAGAAATGAAAAAAATCTGTGGTGAAGATTTTAAAAGCAATTACAGAGTCTGCATCTGCCTGCAAAAATATCATGGGACTGAAGACTTAGTGAACTGGAACTCATAACCAGGTCAGGGAAGTCCTGATCCATCATTAATATTTTTGGTTGGGGGAAAAAAAGCATGACGCAGACACTGGCTTTGGAGCAGATGTTTTTCATATAAATAGGAGGCATCAAGCACAAATATCACATCACATTTGCAATATAATTCAAAAAATATTTGAATCAATCCAAATTTCTGTAAAAAGAAATTCCTTCATGAAGCCCTGTTGCAAGTGAAAAATACGTTTCTTTTAAATAGGCAGAAACTTCAAGCAGAGCTAGACTGTTAGTCATCTGTTGTATATTTATTTGTATAATTTGCTCTGTGTAGGAATGGTGCTGTGTAAATAACTTGCTTTGCACGTCAGACTGGTATTGCAATTCCAGAACCCATGTCACCAGTTTGGCTAAAATATAGGACAAGAATTGTAAATATGGTCAACAATGAAACTTTCATGTTTGAACATTATATTGTACTGTATGTACCATAACATGTTGCAAAATGCATTTTCGGGAGGAGATGTATGAGGTGCATCGCTGTACATGTACATTCAAATTCAACTTTATTTTTATACAAAAAGATTTTTGATACAAAAAAATGCAGTTTAAAGTGCCTCACACTGCTAAAAACAATTCACGACAATAAAACCCGACCCTCCCACCCACACACCCATGGACCCACACGCACACAAAGGCACACACCCACCCTCACTCACTCACCCACACATACACACAAACAACCGCACGTAGTGTGAGAATTTAAGATACATTGTTAGAGAGACATGGCCTGACACTGAGACATTACATGAGGCAAGAGCTACCTCTGGGAAAAAGTTAATAGAGGTACTCCTCTGACTCTCTGAATCGAGTCTGCGTTTTTTTTTTTTTTGTCATGTCACAGTTAATATTTGACTGAAAACTGACCTGAACTTCTGTATGCTTGGGGGCACTCCTCTCTTTCAGAAAAAAAATGATACATATGTTATTTTCATTGAGAGATACTGTCATACATACCTTGTCTTGTAATGGGTATGTCACTCACGTGTGCTTGTTCTTACATTCCTTTACAGATGATCCATGCTTTTATCCTTGTCTTTATCTACCATTCTTTATTTACTATACTATTCTTTGAAAAAAGAAAGCACAGCATCTACCTTATAGGTCTGCTATACTGGTCCCGTATCTCCTCCTGTAGTCCATTTTGGGAATAACATGTAGGCCTATGAGAAGAGTTTATATCTCAAAAGGAGAAGGGAAGAACTACAGAAATGTTGCTAAAAACAAAAACCTCTATAAATTCTGTACAGCCCAAGGTTGAAAGCTGTAGCTTATTGACGACACCCTTCTCTGAAATTCTCATCACTCGCTTCTTTTACCCTGAAATCAAAAAAATGAATTTTCTTTTCTCTTTTAAACTTCAATTCATTTTGTATTATTTTATTCTGGTTAAAGTTCATTGGAGATATACTAAATAAATAAATAAAAAATCACCCTGGGTTTGGTGTCAGCCCTTTATGTTTTCCACACCTGGCCACACCTGTTAAAGTCAGTGCTCCAGTCTTATCATTTATCTAAACACCTTGACTGGTAGCCTGCTCTACTTACCACTTTTTACTAGTTTTACACATTTTTGTTTCCTTACATATCCATAATATGACGAAGTATTTTCGCATGTCCAGAAATCTTTGTCGCTAGAAATTCAGGTAGGCCGTCTTACTGTCATTATTTTCTTGGCAGTTGTGCTATTTCTAGACTAAAGTGCCGTTTTTATCACAGAATTATAAAAATAGTTCATCAAAGAGAGTAAAAAGTAAGAGAGCATTTCTGCGCGTTCGTCTTTCGCAAAGGATCATGGGAGAATTCACTGTTTCAGCGCGTAGTATCCCGCTTGCCTGTGAGCCAGCGCTCGTGACTCATCTCCGCTCATGTTTACCATCTCTGGTCATGTGAGCCGTTTACTGGATAGCTGCTGACACAGCGCACAAACTCTCGCGAAATTAGCCGCAGATTTGACCAAAATCCTTATGCCAAGCCGTTTCCGGGTCAGGGGGAGGCTGGGGAGGACAAGGCGAAAGGCGGACTGATGCCTGGAGATATTTTATACTAAGGTCTATTGAAGGTTTTGTTCACCACGGGTGGTGCATATTCTCAACAGTTAGCCGCACCGAGCTAACGTTAGCAGTCCGCTGACTGACTGCCCTGTCGCTGGTCACATGAAGTGAATTTATCCGCGAAGGAAGGATGGCGGAGCAGGACAGGGATATCTCTCTCCGGACCTCTCCGGAGGTTTCTGAAAGTTCTGGGAGGCAAAATTCCTCCGATGAAAACGGACACGCTGACAGTCCAGATGAGACTCTTTCTCCAACCTCGGTGATTTACTTCAAGGAGGCTTTAAACTCCTCCAACTTGAGGTTTGGAAAGGCTGGCTCTCTGTCACCCACTCCGCTTCGACAGTTCGACTTCAAGATCGAAAGAATCGACTCCAAACGCAGAAGTAAGTGCTGTCAAGCTTCAGAAAAGTATGAATAGCTGCCACTTCATCCAACATTACGCCAATTCACCATTTGTTGCTGATGCTAGCGTGACAGTGTTGTTTGCCAACTTTTGACTCTCAAAACAACTTCCAGCCTCCCTCTAATGACCCAAAATACCTGCCAACAGCCAGGAATGTTAGAACAACAACAGCTGCTGTCATATTAATTTATCCAAACCTTCAAATGTGGTGGCAGACACGTAAAAAGAAAAGTTAAATAGCCATTTAAGTCAATGACCTAGTTATGGAGGCTTAGCCAACTTCAACAAGATTTGTAAACTTCATCCAGAGTCCCTGAGAGCAGTCCTCTGGTGGATTTTCTGAGCATGTCATGTGCTGTTTTGACAGACTTGATAAGCTGCTTTACAACGCTACTGGTCGCTGTTGTAGAGATTCAATGGTGGATTTTTCATCGCTGGTTTATACAGAGATTTGAAGCTTTTTTGTGCAGAAAGTGAGAGAGGTTTGGTTTGATCAGCAACTTTAAAACATCAAACTGCCAACATTTGCGAGAGGGGCAGGTGTGCACCTGATCAGAAATGACATGAATGCATAAGCCTCCACTTGTTTGCATGCATTATCTTGATTTCCTGCAACACTATATTGGATTTCATTTCTGTTAAACCAAAAAATGAATGACGGAGCACTCCCTGTATTTCTGTGCTGCTAAGGCGTGTGTTATGAAAGATTTTGCAGAAATAAAAGTAAAATTGTCAGGGATTGGAGTCAGGATACCTGATCCAGAGTAAAATGAATCAAATTACATGGTTTGTTTCATGCTTGGCAAAGACACAAGAAAGAAGAAGAAAAAAGATTGTGCTATCTGATGATTAACTGGAGTACTGCTTGCATTATGTCCTTTGCAACCATGTCATATTGGTGTCCCATTGTGTGATTTTACATTGTGTCTAAGGGTTAGGTATCCCAAATAGAAGCAGTAGCTTACCTGATGGGTATGGAAAGGGTGTGTTATATGATTGAATAAACGGCGTGGTGGAAGGCAGAGTTTCCTTTGAAAACTCTCTTAGGGTGTTGCCAAATAGAACAAACAAGCCCGACATAGAACGCAGCAAGGATAATGTTTTATCTGAATGATCTTGTTTTTATGCTGACAGGAAGCCCAAATGAATTCAGTCATTTGAAATGAAATTCAGTCTTGTGAATCACAAATTTGGTCATAATATCTGCCTCATATGCCTGACCTAACAGAGACACACCTTTACCACAGCAGGGGTGTTAACGTTATTAACTACCTCAGCTAGTGTTAGTCTAGTTTAAACTCAATCTTAAATCAGGAACTCGGCTAAGCTTGAACTGACTCATATGTAGTGCAGCCCTGTGCTGTCCTGCCATGCTGGTTCAGACGTTTCACATTGATCCTGTCACATCACTGTTGCTACCTCTGATGCTGGCTCATTGGCAGAACCTCTCTGTAACATTTACATCAAGGGTTAGCTCTTAAGAGGACATTAAGTCCCGCCTTTAGTACGTAGTATGTAATAGTAAGTATGTTAAAAAAGCAATTTGGTTCTTTGTCAGTGGTTTTCTGCTGGTGCCCATTCCCACCACTTAAAAACAGAAGATGACCTGGCCTTCATGAAAAATGAATCTGATTTCAAAGTCATAATTGTAAGATGAAAAGTCTTCATCCTGAGATACAAAGTCAAAATGATAAAAAAAGAGAGTCAAAATTATTGGATACAGAGTTATGAGTAAGGTCAGTATAATGAAAGTCAAAATTATGAGTGATTGTGTCACAGTTTTGAATTTTATGTCATTAGGTATCTTATTCCCTCATAGTAATGACTTTTCATCTCATGTCTATGACTTCTATGACTATATCTCATTTGGCTTTGTATGTTATATTTTGACATTCTATATGACAAATATAACTTTTTTTCCCATGGTTTTGACTTTTTAATCTTATAATTGGGACTTTTTATTCCATAGTTATGATTTTCTAATCTTGTAATTTGGACTTTTTATCCCATCATTATGACTTTTTTAGTCTTCTAATTTTGACTCACCACCTCAATATCATACCATTTTATCTCATGATGACCCTGTATATTATTATTTTAACTTTTTACCCCACATTTATGACTTTGTATGTGATCGATTTGACTTTTTAATCTCACAGTTATCACCTTGTACTTAATTCCTTTTTACTTTTTATCTCAAAAATATGTCTCAGTATTTCTTTTTTTCTTCTTCTCATTAACACCAAGTCTCCATCTTTGGTGTGTTTTTTTACTGGGAGAAATGGGCTTCCATAGCTTTAATGCTATTATTGATTGAAATGGTTATTCCATAATGATAGATGATGACAGGCCAGTAACTGCCTGATTATGTCAGCTAACCAGTGACAGAGTCTGGCTTTAGTCGCAGTGGTTCTTGTGGTTGCCTCGCAGTTAGAACTTCTTTATGTCTTAAATCTTAATGCTGGCGCTGAGTGACATGAACAGGATGTTCTGTTTGCTTTGTGGATGAACCTCGTAATGTGATTATACAGTTTCTGTCTCCCTGTGGCTGAGATACACATACTTTCTTTATCTTCTGAATGGCAGCCACAAATACCCTGAGGAAACTGCACCAAAATATCATCATTTGTGGTTCCTCTGTGTTTTCATGTATCACTGGGTTTTCCCAAAAGTGAATACAATTGACTCATTAAGCCTTTACCCTTAGATCAGTCAGCCTCATCATGACCCCTTCCACTGATTTTCCCAGCCCTGTGTATCAGGTCAGAGGACACTGTTGATGCTTGGGAGACAGATGAGTCCTCTGCTGCATCATTAGCATCGGCTGGGTACTCAATGGACCCCCCGTGCCCCCTCCCCCCTCTTTTTTTACGCATGCACCAGCTGCTCACGTGACAGTGTGTTGCTGTACCCAGCACTACTGTCAGCCATCTTGGTCGACACCCACCCTGTGCATTCACTGCAGCACAGCACAGACAGTCCAATCAGAGCGAGCCGGTGCTGAGCAGAGCGGAGGAGGACTGTGATTTCCAGCACGGTGCTCTCCTGCATTTTAAAACCCCCACAGTCTGCACAAAAGGGATAATAAGAGGGTGAAGAGGAGAAGGAGGAGGTGTTGGAGGAGAGGGGCAGGGCAGCCTTTCTCAAGACCTGTTTCTGTCAGTTGTAACAGAGAGGAGGAAGAGAAGGAGGATGCAGGCATAAAGAGGAGGAAAAGCAGCACCATTTAAACACCTGCTGGAAGCTGCTGCAGGCCTTCACGTCTTGGCCTTCTTATCTTCTCTGGTTTCATGATCTCTCTGTTTTCCGCTTCTTTCTGAGCTGTGATTTTTTTGGGAGCCTCCACCGGTTCCCGGAAACAAAACCTACTGCTCCTTTTTTCCCCTTGGTGGTGCTGCTCCGGCCTGGCATCAGCTGAGTCATCATGTCTGATCTGACGCCTCAGAGCGAAACCCCGACTCCCACCACCGACAAGATCACCCAGGCCGCCCGGGAGACCATTTATCTCTGCAACTTTCGCGTCTCTGTCGATGGCGAGTGGCTCTGCCTCCGCGAACTCAACGACATCTCCCTCACCCCAGACCCAGAGCCAGCCCATGAAGGTAATGTGACAGATTAGCTCAGCGTCCAAGGAGGCTTGTGGACACAGTGGGATCTCTGTTAGGGCGTGGTGATACACAGGATCCACAGACACAACATGCTTATTCAGTGAAGTGTGGTGATGTGTGCTGTCCGGGCGGTTTTATGGTGCATTCAGGGGGAGACAGTTCGATGTCTGAGATGACGCTGCGTGTAAATAAACAAGGGATGGGTGACAAAACAACCAGGAAGTGTCCTGAGAGCGTATTAGCTCGCAGTAAACAAGCACAAGAGTCTGTGCTTTTTCAAGACGGCAGGAAAACAGTTTACACAGATCAGATTTACTCCTATTTTGCTTGAAGATGCAAAATGCAGCTATACTGGGCTGATTTTAAATGTGTTTTAAAGAAATTGTAGTTTGACATTCAAGCGTAGCCGCTGTGAAGAAGAAAACATCTTTTGTATGAGCAGGATATCCCTGTCCTCATCTGCTGCCACGCCTTCTCTCAGGATTTGCAGATCCAGAGGGGGCAGATCAGACCTCTGTTTTTTGGTCAGTTGGCAAATAAATCACTGCAGCACTTCAACCTTCAGCTCTAAAGAAACTACACTTATTCATTCACAAACTCTTGACTTAAATGCAGCAAGTGAAATGACTGTGTTTGGTATCTTAACTGGCTTTTTATCAACTGGTGTATCCTATTTATGCATGAGCTTCTACCCCCACAACTGGAGTCTTTCATTTGAGAGCTTGATGCAGGTATTCCTCGAACCTTCACTAAAATGTATCTTCATTCAATGACTATGTTGACGTCTGTGTTGTTGTTGTTGTCATGACAGTGACTGTGTGAGGTAATCGAACTCCGACTTTTTCCGTCCTTTACTGAGAATGAAGTGAGTAAATGGTTGAGGCATCAACACCCTTGACTATCACAATAATATGTTTTCTCGTACTCCATGGATTCTCTAAACACAGAAAGCACAGGTCCATGAGACAGGCTGTTATAGATGCCACAGTGTGGAAGGGTTGTCACAATACCTGAATTTTGAACTTTGATACAGTAAGAGTAAAAAACAATGATACCGAAGTCTGTTTTGGTACCATGGCAACAAAAATGGAAGTCCTGGGCACCCACAGTTGGGTGGTTTTCTTTTTTTTTAATGATCACCACTCTGCAAACTGCACTGATTCAGAGAAACTCAATATTTGTCATACTAATAAGTAATAAGTATCTGCAGAGTCTTGGTAGTACACACCCCAGACTTCACTTTATTTCATTTAGTATGAATCAAATGGAAAGCTTTCTATTGTCATCATCTATACATCTTACCGAAAACAATCAAAAACGTAGGAACCTTTTCTCCTCTCTTCCCTTTTACAATATTGAAGGTTATGATTGTGGGTTTCACATAGGTGTTATGATGAAGGTTAAATGATGCTCCCAAAGCAAACACACATTTTTACCAATCAGATTTACAAGTTTTATTAACATTGAAGTGATGTAAGCTTGGAAGTTTTATGCGTCATGTCTGTGCAAACACAAAGTATAAAGCTGAATGTATAATTTAAACAGATGCTGAAAGGTAGGGATACTAGTCTGGACTGAAAGCGTCTCTGTGTCTACCCACAGGCATAAATAATGGATGACGCAGAGACGTAAAGATGGAGCCAGGGCTGCAGGATGAATCAGAATATTACAGAAATCATAACCTGGACAAGTGATCTATCAAACACCTCAGGAGCTGAAACTTTTTTGAAAAAAGTAGAAAATACTCTCATCTGTGTTTTTTTGAGTCAGTATGGCGATGCAGAGATGACCTTGAATAGCCTTCCAACTGATGAGACAATGTACCAACTAAACATCGTCTCAGTTTTATCCATATAATATGATCTTTATTAGGGCTAACAGTCGTTTAAAATGGGAGTTATATTTAATCAGCTTCAGTCTGACCACCCCCACCCGCCCACCCAAGTTCCTCCCCTTGTGTTGTGAACAGAGGGAAGGTGTGCTCTCCTCAGCTCAGGCTTTGGCATCCTATATGTGCATCTGGAAGGGTAGCTCTACCTTGTGGGTCTTTGTTACCGCTCCCCCTGCTTTAGCTTTTTATGTATGTATGTGAAACAGAGGGGAGGTGTGCTCTTTTAAATACAACTTATTGCATGCATACAAATTATTCTATGTGGCAAAAGTGGTCCAGACTTAAATGAGGTCATTTTGGTACTGAAAGTCAGTTTAAGGACTCAGTTTTACAGATCAAACGGATTTTTCCTCCATGTAACTGAAGCCGATTGGTTTAGCGTCCTTTTCTTGTTATTTCCACATCAAGGCACTTGATTTTGCTTTATTCTAAGAAGAGCAGAACTGAAACTTTTCTCTTCCTTGACAGCGCTGGATAAATTTAGCTCCTGAGTCACTCCTGCTACAGTCTGTGTCACTATCATCAGATCTACAAGAATGCCTTTTATTTCCTCATGTTTGATCTATTTTCAGATCCCAAGGACCCCATCGCAATCGAGAGGCTTAACTTGATGAACATGGCCAAACTGAGCATCAAAGGCCTGATCGAGTCAGCGCTCAACCTCGGACGCACGCTGGACTCTGACTATGCACCTCTGCAGCAGTTCTTTGTGGTGATGGAGCACTGTCTGAAACATGGGCTCAAAAGTATGTACAGCATAATGTCCATGTTCCTGTCTCTAATTCCAGGAAATCCAGATTTGACATGTTAATTTGGACATTTCATGCAGTTCTTAGACCTAACTTTTTTGGAGTTAAAGGAATTATTTACAATGGTAGTACCCTGCCTTTTACTCAACTACTTATACTCAAACAAATCAATATCCTGTATGACCTAACCCTAACCCTAAATGAAACGGCTCAAAAATATTTATCCGTCTCTGAATCTTCAGCCAAGAAGACCTTCCTGGGGCAGAACAAGTCATTCTGGGGGGCGCTGGAGCTGGTTGAGAAGCTGACACCTGAGGCTGGGGAGATCACTGCCAGTGTAAAAGACCTGCCTGGCCTCAAGTAAGACAGTTTGATTGGTTTTTTAAAGAAAGAGGACAGATTTCTCGTAGTCATTACTTCAGATTGAAGTGTATGTAACAGCAGTCTTTTCTTAGTTTTTGTGCCTTAACAAAGCCATGAAGTTGTCACATAGTTGAAGTTGTGTTCTGAGTGCTATTTTGTGTCATTACAGAACTCCTCTAGGAAGAGGACGAGCCTGGTTACGGCTGGCTTTGATGCAGAAGAAACTTTCAGACTACATGAAGACCATCATCAACAGAAAGGACCTGCTCAGGTCTGTTTGGATCACTGTGTTTTGTGACTCAGTGAAACTTGGCTGAGAATATTTCTAACCTTTTCTCTTCTCTGCAGTGAATTCTATGAGGCCAATGCGCTTATGATGGAGGAAGAGGGAGCTGTGATTGCGGGGCTGCTTGTTGGGCTAAATGTCATTGATGCCAATCTGTGTATGAAGGGAGAGGACCTGGACTCTCAGGTGTGTTTTTACTCTTATTTCTGCCGTCATGCAGAGCTGTAGAAACACCCAAAAGAAAGCCAGAATCAAATAGAAGAAGTGTTATGGCGTGTTCCATCTGCCCCTATTGTCAGCATTGTCCAGGCAGTAACAGCACACTGTGTGACAGGTTGCATGTGAAAGCAACTCGACAGCATTTCCACAGATAAAACTTGCATCAGTGTGATTGGTTAAATCAGGCAAAACAAGACAAAGGGCGCTATTAAACTCCATTAAAGCTCCTGTGAGGAACTTTCGCTTTGTGTTAATGTTGATGCCCCCTGTCGACAAAGCAGTCTTAGCTTTTATCGTCAATTATCCAACATGCATCCCAGATCAAATGGAGCTCACCGTTACACATGAGGCTGCAGAATACGAGGTCTTTTGGACCCTTGAATGAGGTGTTGATGTCAAAACCACCCTTGGTGGTTTCACTCTAGTTATGAAACAGACCAAATTGATAGTGATGCCTCTAAGTGAGTTGGAGCAGCGTAAGGGCGCATCGGCAACAAGAGTGATCACTTCTTTGAAGTTATTTTTAATGCCTGAAACCGCAGCTACAGGATAAGTGTCAGACGGAGTGATTAATAGCATGCTGCAGCCTCAGTAGCTTTAGTAGAGATGCTCTGAAGCAACCGCTTCCACCAGAGACAGCCTCCATATGACTGTGTGTCCATTTTCCCCTTTTTTATTCTGCTATTTTGAGAAGATAGGACTGTGGATAGAGCAGGAAACAGGTAGGGAGAGTGGGGGGTGATGCCCTCCACTAACTGGGGCTGGTGCTGCAGATGGACTCAACATATAACTGTAATTTCTGGCCTATAAAAGTAACAATAATAATGATCAAAATGTTGGTTATTTGTTTGAATCTGGTCAAGACTAGTGAGGCTGATGCCACTTGATTGTTTACTGGACTAAACGTGCACATCCCCATTGCTGAGCGACACATTTGGCGGCTAAAAGAGAGCAGGATGACATTTTCGTGAAAAAATAAACACTTCTAAGACAGACAATACATCAGATCAAGTAAGCAAAGAGAGTGAAATGTTCAGATTTGTATTAAGGTTTGGCACAGATTGAACGATCCTTACAATGGCTTTAAATTTGAGTGTGAAATGTTCCATTTTTCTGTTAAACTTGTGAAAATAGAGCCTCATGTTTGCGTGAGAATGAATAACAAACGGTTCCTTTGTTCTAGTAGCAGTTGTACAAATGAGAAGCGACCGCCTCATACCTAATCAGGAATCTCAGTTTCATGCTGGTAATAGTAGTCATTCTGGGAGTGACGCCAGGAGGATGGGGAGGATTGGCAGATTTCCATTTTGTCATCATAAGCTCAATAAACAAGTGTTGTTCTCCATACTGTGGAAACCTCTCCATGTCTTCATCTAAAGTTATACACACTGACTAAAAATGTAGTAAGCCTGAATCAATCAAAGCCAGGTTCTTACTGTTTCATATTAAATAAAAAGTCCAGTGCGCATTTTATATCCAGGTATGTTTTTTTTAGATCTAATTAAAAATAAAGGTCACAGTATGTTTTCAGTTCTCATTGATTTTCTGTCCTTTGTTCATTTGTTCCTGCAGGTCGGGGTGATTGATTTCTCCATGTACCTCAAAGATGGAGGACACAGCAGTAAGAGTGCAGAGGGGTGAGTGCAGCCCTCCTAACCTTTCATCACACTGATTTTTGTTGTATATGTGCAAAACATGATAACTGTTTAAATGCTGAGTTACCATCAAGATCGTCTCATGGTGGTTGTGAAGTGCTACTGTAAGTTGTCTTATCGTCTTCATAATGTCAGAATTCTTTCAGTCATCAAAGTTATTGCTGAGTATGAAGGAATAGTTGCAGCTCTTCTGATTAGAGATGATCCAGAGTGACCTACCTTATGTCATGCCTGTGCTGGTCATGTCAGTTTCAATAGATACAGCCTACTGATGACTTAATCTCCATTTTCGCTGCACTATGACATGCTATCTGTCATCTGTGCTTGTTTACATCCAGGTAGTAGAGTATTGTGTCAGTAGCCGTTAGCCGGAGCTACAGGCCCTTTAAGTGACAGCATTTTAGGTCTACAATAATTAAGGTATTAAAAAAGTAGTTGAACTGTCTAGTAACACAGCTGGTATTTAATACAGAAAAGACTTTGAGCAGACTAAAAGAGTTCATGTGGACAAAATCTCAGACTCTGCTTGATGTTTCCTGTATTTTGAAACATGAATTTTTAGTTAGTTTACATCTAATTTTCATGTTTCAGCATGATTGTTTTGCTTATTTTAGGGAGGGAAACTTGAGTGAACACCACACTGACTCATACCTGCTTGTGTTTGCATACCTCCATTTATTTTTTATAGTAAAAGTGATTAAAAAGAAGCGTTATCTGTGACTTTAGGCTCATTGCTTACTGTGTTTTCCTACACTACCTCTCCTCTTTTTGCTGACTGTTGTTTCACACGTGTCCCTCTTCTCCCGCTCCTTCAGCGATGGTCAGATCACAGCGATCCTGGATCAGAAGAACTATGTGGAGGAGCTGAACAGACATTTAAGGTCAGTCAGTTGTTTTCTCCTTAAAGCAGCTTGTTTAAAAGGACTGATGATTTTCACATCATCAATTTTTCTGCCTGTCTACAGCGCATCAGTAAACAACCTCCAGGCCAAGGTGGACGCTCTGGAAAAGTCCAACACAAAGCTAACAGAAGAGGTGAGACACATCCAGCACTTACAGTAGAAGTACTTTCTTTTTCAAGTGTCTCCAGCCTCTCTGTTTCTGTGCAGCGCTGCAGTATTTAACGATGACAGACTCACTGCTGTCTTTTGTCTCCTCAGCTTGCAGTGGCAAATAACCGGATCATCACTTTACAAGAAGACGTGGAGCGAGTCAAGGAGGAGAGCTCATATCATCTAGAGTCCAGAAAGGTGAATTTATCACACATTTGCCCATTTTACTCAGAGAGTGAGTACGATACAGTAGTCCTTCCTGTATCCTTTACTTGGTACTATTTCATCAGAAATGTCCTCTAGATGCTGCAGTTTGAATATTTCTGTGTGGTAATGGCAAAATAGTTATTCGATAGGTTAATATGTTGATGTCAGCACAAGTCCAGCAAAGCCTGAAAAAGCCAAGACTTGACCACTGACACTACTCAAAAGCACGAGCAGCCTCTTCTACTCTACACTGAGAGGAAAGCATGGAACAAAAGGAAAATAGATTAATGAAAAAAGGAAAGTCATTTAAGCAAGATTTAAAAATGTTCAACCTCTAAAAGATCTTTCTAATGTTAGCCTTAAATGCTTCTAAAACAGATAAATAAATCGTGTTTTCCAGACCTGTACTGTGTAATTCTATCATTTTTATTCTTTTTCAGGCATCAAGAAGCGACTCAGTAGCAGACGGACAAGCACTGGGTGAAACACGCAAGCAGCTCAAAGAGGAAACTTCGCTTCGATTGGTAGGTTTCTTAATAGTTCCTTTTAGCTCCAATATTTTTATTTAGATATTGTCTCATACTGTTGTCACAGTGATACAATTAAATGATGCTCTACTGTTTAGTGTTATAATTCCTGTAGGAAATAGACTGTAACTGTGTAAAACTGACTGCCTGTGCCTGGCGCTGTAGGTAATGTGTGTGTGGTCTTCAGGTCCTATTTCTAAAGTTTAAACTGTCTTCTCTGCAGGATGTGGAGAAAGAGCTGGAGGTGCAGATCGGGATGAAGCAGGAGATGGAGTTGTCGATGAAGATGCTGGAGAAAGACATCTGTGAGAAGCAGGATGCTCTTGTGGAGCTGAGACAGCAGCTGGAAGACCTCCGTGTCATCAACCAACAGCTCAGCCACAAATCACAGGTGAGGCTGCGGTCCTGCTTCTTTAACTTTACTATATGAGAAAAAATACGGACAATAAGGTTTTGATTCTCGTTTATGTTTTGCTCTAAAGCAGCAAATACAGCTGGTGATGCACTGCTGTGACATTCTCTGCTAGTTCAGACTTCTTTAATGGACTATGGTGTGTCTTTATTGTCCTGGTCTTAGAAGTTTACCCACTGCCAAAGACATCTAGCTTTAATCTCTGACCTCTGAATTAAAAAATTTCAAATTTCAAATTAAAGCTTTGATCAAAGATATCCAGAGTCAGTTGCTTAAATAAAAAATTCTCTCACGTTTGAGTAATTTGCATGACAGCATCAAGACTGCTATTCTCTAAATGGCAAATCACATTTTTTGAACCCAGTGTTGATTGAGGTGTATTGTTTGCTTTCTCAATTTGCATTTGACACCATTGATCACTTTATTCCAGCTCATCGTGTAAAAAAATGGGTTGTTTTAAACCTTAGCTTCTTCTAAATTTACCCCTCCTACTACCTGTGGTGTTCCTCAAGGCTCCATCCTCAGCCCCCTTTTGTTGTACTTTTTCCCTGTGCCACATAAGGAAAACTCAGTGACATAAAACTCAGCTCAGCATCAGAACTTTAAAACACACAAAGACCACACCCTGGCTGCAGTTGCTCTAGTTATAGAAAAACACACAACAACACAGAACTGCAAATTTTGGTATGGCACTATTGTTCTATGCACTACTAAGTGTGTTGTTCTTATGCTTTGAAAAGGGGCTTTACTGATACAGCAAATAAAGTTCAGAGGCTGAATATTTGTTTTTTTTTGCATTGTTGATATCTGTGATGTTGTTTTATTGTAAAGTAGGTCTATGATCACTGTTACACAAAGCCAAGACTTGACAACCTTAAAATAAGGCAAAATAAGCATCAATTACATTTCTCAGCACAGTTTCTAAAGTAAAAACCTTACTTTTACAATATTTATATTGTGGCTATGAATATTATAACAATGTTGTATGCAGAGGGAAATCAACCCTCTAATAGTCCCTTATCTTGTCTAATTTTGACCAGGAAACCAAACTTGATAGTCGTGAATACTTCTGCCAAAACACAAATTGACCAGAGGACCCAGAGTCCTCCAGTTAAACTGTGAATAAAACAAACAGCACAGACTGAGTTCATGCTTTTTACCTCAGAGCGCAGAAGCAAGCTCCAAACAGAAGAGTGACGCCATCGCTCGCCTGGAGGAGAAAATCAACCAGATGACGGGGACTGTAAAACAGCTGGAGTCGAGGTAAAAACACTTCACTGCAGACATGATTACGCTATCAAAAAGTTCCAGCTATTATTTTTTATTTTCTCCTGAAACCACAGCCTTTTAATATCATGTTTGTTACTTTTCCCCCTCCTCTTTCATTGCCGTTTTCCTTCATTATCATTTAAATCATCAAATCAACAGTGAGAAACATTTGGTGAAGCAGGCCAGAAACCTGAACTCAGCTGCAGGAAAGCTGCTCCAGCTGCAGCAGTAGCAGCTCCCACCCCCCGCCTTCATAAATCTGATTACAAACATCCAACCCTGCCTAATATAGACATAACCAAACTAGGATGTTATCTTTTCTGTACGATGCTCCTTTGTTGTTGAAAATAAAGAAAAAAAATCCCACGACCTCCTGCAGTGGCTCTCCAGCATCAGCTTTGAGTAGTGTGGACTGAATTTAGCAGCCTTTCTTCCTTGTGTTCTCTGAATGATGTGTTTGCCACATCAGGTTTCTACTTTTCTTTGTAGGCATTTCTTACAGATACCCCATTAATGCTTTCAGGCAAAGGTAAAAGGAGAAGACCAGGGGAGAGTCCTGCAGTGGACTATTTAAAATATTACTGTGTTAGGGGACGTGTCCTGGAAATGTTGGAGGTAGAGGACTTGCTGTCATGTTATCCAAAGAATTCAACAACAACCAGAGACTGTGCTTAAATATTTCAGCCATCCGAGTCCAACAACATTAAAAAAAAAAGAGCAAACCTGAACTGATGTTCTGTGCAGGACAGGAGCAAGATCAAGTGAGAAGAAAAGGGCAAAATTAATTTATTAATTTTGAATTGTATGTGAACATAACATTGGTGTAAACTGTAGTAACCATTAGGCTAATAAAAGATTAAACAAACGCAGCCTGCTTCATCGTCTTTTGATAGATCTTCCTCATCGGGTTTCAGACTCTTCATCCTTCAATCTTCTTTTCTGTTTTTCATTTAAGTTGTAGTCGACATCCCTTTTAGACCGCTTTTCTTTCCATCGAGTTTTTGTTAGTTTTTTTTATCATAAGTTTTCCTGACATCCCCCCCTCCCCAAACCAGATACAAACAGGCCGAGAGAGAGAGGGATGTGGCGTTTGAGGCCAACCGGCTCTTCAAGCAGGAGTTTGGAGACAAAATCGAGAGTCTGCAGGAGGAGGTGGAGCAGCTCAGGAAGCACAGGTATGGTCTCAAGATTTGTTATGGAGTGCAGAATATTGGTAAAGACTTTTTTTTTTTTAAGAATATGGTTGGTCTGTTTTATATTTTTTCCTTTTTGCCAAGAAATGAGGAAAAAAGATACAAGACTCTACCATATGGTCTGCTTCTGTACAGCCGGAGTCTCTAAGATTTTTCCTCTGTGTCACTTAGGGCTCTATTTTTGTGAAAAAATATATATATAAAAAATCATCAGTGATTCACACTGCTGCACTATTTAAAATCACACATACACTGTAGATTTTATTTTTGTCCCATGTACCATTCTGCGCCCACAAGTTCACACAGCTGAGAATAGTCCCTGAAAACAGAAATTCCCCCTCACATTAGCATTAAGATATAGAGACAAAAGTAATCAGACTACTAAACCTTCAAAATAAGAAAACATTTGTAAGTATTTTTAAAAACTGCAAGTGTTTGGCATCTTGGGCCTTTGAAATTCTGCAGGGAGTCAAATCCAGTTTGTAGCCATGCCAGCAGGAGATTGTGTCTTTGTAAATCTAGCAGTTCACGTTTGCACTTTCATATCTGTCCCACAGGGATGTGATATTAATGTCCCACTGTGTGAATTCATAATGCCTCAGGACATCATGGTGACCCAGTGTTGCCCCTGTACTCCGTTCTGCTTTCTGGTGCTGGCACAGCACTGGGATGAATTGGTCCAACCATCACCCCTCTGTATCACTCACACTGAATGAGAGACATCACAGGGGAATAAATATCACCCTGAACTAGAACTACTACAAGAGTTACGGTAATCCGGGGGTTTACACGGAGAAAGATTTTAACAGAAGTAATAGCAAACACCCCTCACAGATTAATGTTTACATCTTATTCTTCATGGAAAGATACTTGCAGGTTTGCCCTGAAATGACAGACACTTTGGGCTTCACATTTCAGAGATGGGGACAAATCAAACCCAAGAAAGAGGGATAACTCAAGCCCATTCAAGAAAGAGAGTTACTGAAGCTCTGAGTCAGTTACTATGAAAACTGAGTCTATGAACCTGTTCCAGTTGGGAGCAAGTTTTCTTCAGCATACCCTGAGTTTTTTCTAATTTCCTCCGGCTTAAAAGACCTGAGAAGTTTCATTTCCACATTTATTTAGAAGTCTGTATCACATGATGTTTAAACCTTTGATAGGTTTATTATATCGATCTAATTTAAAGGTACCATTTTTTAAATTATCTTTGTGACATTTAACTGAAGAGCAGAGAGCAGACCCAAACTGCTGACTTCTGCTTGGTCCTCTTATTTGAATATCTAGTCATTTCTGATAAAGTGTTGCGTGTAGGAACTCCTGATCACCTCAGTTTGTTCTCCCTAAAGGTCGACTCTGGAGATGGAGCTGAAAAAGGAGCGAGAGCGGAGGGCAGAGCACCATCACGATGCTGTGTCAGCTCAGTCTGGCGCTCCTCAGAGGAAGAACTCGGAGAACATACCAAAGGTAAACTCACACTTCGATATCAGCCATCTTTCTGTATAGCTGTCATCTTTGTTTTCATGCAATGTGTTTTTTTTACCCACAGCATCACAGTGGAGCAGAGGACAAAACAAGTCAGAGCTCTAGCCTGTGAGTGCTTTAAATTATATGTATAAAAATTGGAGGAAATCCTGTTTGATTCCTTGTCCTTTAACAAGTCACCCTTTTTCCCCCTTTCAGGTCCTTATCACACCATGAGGAAGAACAGGTGAGATCTTAGAGGCTCTAAAAAGCATGTTTCTGTATCACAGCACAGATCTGCTTATGATATGTTTTACTTTGAAAATATGGGTCAAACTGAATTTAATCAAAGTATTATGGCGGGGTCATAAAGTCATGAATACAAATTTAATTACTTCTCATGCGAACAAGGAAAGAGATAACAGCTCGTCTTCATGATGGTTTTGTTTTTTTGCAGGAGGAGACACTCGTGGAGAACCGTCAGCCGACAATCTGCACCATGTGTGAGCAGGAGGACTCTCTCCTGAAAACAAAGGTACAAAAGTCATTGTTTGGTCATCTGCACTAAAAGCAGTAAGAGCCTGTGACCGAATAAAGACCACCTCTGATCCATCTGAAACTGAGAAAGTTCCCAAATGAAATGCCTGGCTTAAACAGACAGGATAGATAGGTTGGTATTAAACCATATGAACTTTGATACGGTTTCCAACAAGGCTGTGAAATTTCCTGACATGAAACCTAAGCTGAAGCATCAGTCCACACTGGCTGTGTTCACAGACCAGTTTTGTATGTTAAATTTCTTTTTGTGTAAGACGTGGGAATCGTTCTATGAAATACAACAGTGACGAGAGTTGACAGCAGACAACAAAACGAGCTGATGAAAACTGGCAAGTTTCACCAGCTTTCTCACAGGGTAAGATCGGAGTGATCAAGCCCGTCTTAGGCCAAGTTAAGATTTTCAAGATTAATAAACAAAACAATAGTTTTGTCAGGTTTAAAGAAAAAGTTAGTAACTTTTTCATCTTCAGACTCGTCCTTTTTAAGTTCAGAGAAAACAGTTTTCATGTGCTGAACCATTGTCCTGAATTTGTTTCAATTGCACAAATAAAAGTCACGATTTTATTCACAATAAAGACCTCAGATTGTCAGTCAAAGAGCCCTGACCCCTCTCTCAATATGTGTGTTTTTCTCTGTGCAGAAACAGTGTAAGAACTGCAGCGGGGTTTTCTGTGTGAGCTGCGTGTCCAACGAGCTGCCGTTACCTTCCTCCATCCTCCCAGAGACCGTGTGCTCCGCCTGCTACTCTCTGTTACTCCAACAATACGCTACGACACCTCCGTGAAAAGGCATTTTATAGAAACCCTCATCAAAGGTCACCTGGAAACCAGAGGCATTGAAAACTGACACTGCAGAAAAAGCACTTTCTGACTTCATGGGTTGAGACGTTGTTTGGGGAGCTGATGGAGTCCTGCAGGTTCTGAACCTGACAAATTGAAACGCAGTGTTGGAGCGTGTGTGCCATAAAGAGCTGTTTGATGCAGGTTTTCTTTTTAAAAATACTCCTGTAGCTGAAACTTTTCCTTTCTTGCTGAAAGTTTGAATGCTGAGCTGCTGCTGCTGTGGTGTTTCTTTTTAGTAAAATGTGCGTTATTTAAAAAGCTTGAAAATGCACCAGGCCGGAGGTTTCAGACCTAAAAAAGACGCCTTGAATCATCTCATGCATTTAAAAACGGCCTTTGCAGCCTCCACTAAGTGGATGATGAACCAACTGAGAATATTTTAACCTCAGTTTTAAAAGATAGAAATAAGAAAACTGGATTTTTTTCTCACAACCCTGATGTTTTTAAGAGTTATGCAGTGGGGAGTCATAAACATTCAAGAGTGCATGCTCACACTTTAGAGCTAAATGAGGCATTTTATTCAGGGTTACAATGAGAGAATCAAACATCTGAAACACCTTTGACCAAATACCCCATGATTGTATGATACTACGTTAGTGTCAGTGTTTTTGTTAGAGCTATATATGCTGTTAAAAGCTTCTTTTTACTGCAATAAACTATTTAATACCCTCTCATTTATAATGCACCCAGTCTTACAAGACAGCTGTAAAAATGTGATTGAATACCAGTAAATAAAGCTGGACTCTATTTAGTCTGCTATTACATATTTGGACATATCTTCAGTCTTTGGTGTTTAGGCTGCAGGAGAAAGTTCACCATTCTGTAGAAGCAGATTTGGTCCTCTTTGACTGACAGACAGTCTTAAAGCTAGGCCAGTGGTTCTCAAGTCCAGTCCTCGAGCCCCCCGTACTGCATGTTTTAGGTGTTTCCCTGCTCCAACACACCTGATTCAAATGATCAGCTCGTTATCAAGCTCTGGAATGGCTTAATAACGAGCTGATTATTTGAATCAGGTGTGTTGGAGCAGGGAAACACCTAAAACATGCAGTACGGGGGGCTCGAGGACTGGACTTGAGAACCACTGAGCTAGGCTAAGCTAACTGCCTGCAGGCTGTAGCTTCAAGTATAATGCACAGGTGTAAGAGTGGTTTACAATGTTGGGTATCCTGGGTTTAATATTTCTGTAAGAGTGGCTTTTTTGTTCTGCATTATTCAAGAGACAGGCTTAAAAATCATCCACTGTTTAAAGTTAACACTTGATTATATCAGAATTTCTGGTTTATTAGCAGCATTTATTTCACTGAATCATCAGAGACCTCTCTTTTGGACATTTGTACATATCCTAGCACTTTTACAAGCTCTGCTCTCAGCCTGCCTGGTTTGAAGTGTCAGTTCTATCATCAGCACATTTTTATTAAAGCTGTTTTTTATGTTCCATTGATTTATATGAAGGATTAGCTGAAGCTCTGTGTGATATTTAGATGTTCTTGTTGAAGCTTGTTAGCACATGAGATGGAATATGCTTCTAAAATCAATAAACTTTTACTCATTTTTTCTGGTGTCTGACTCTTTCATGTCTTTGTCAATGACCTCATTTCTCCCCTCCGGTTTTTGTGCTGTGAAGTTATTTTGGGGGCTGATGTCAATGTCAGTTGTTTTCTCCCTGCTGAATTTTTCATGTTATAGATTTTCGGGGGTGGGTGGTTAGCTTTTATGGGATAAAACTGCCTGAGGAGAAAGAGTGGGGGATGTATGCTTCCTATGCAGCATCTGGATAGCATACATTGCTGTAACACCAGTATACTGTATATTAGTCAGCATTAATAGGGTCTTCTCAGATGTGCTTGCTGTCCACGTCACGGGAACTTCCGCATCCTGTCCTCTTAAAAGCAGATGATGTAGCATCCAGGATTTTGAGAACAAATGCCAGACTCTGATCAGACCACAGGACAGTTTTCCACTTCACCTCAGTCCATCATAAACAGGCTCGGCTCCAGGAACATGTTTTTCTATGGTTTCCTCTTAGCATGGAACAGTTTGAGCCTGTGTTTGAGGCAAACTGGACATGAGTTTTAAGCCTATGCTGTGATTTCCACTACAGAGATATGTCACAAAGCCCCCTGGTATTGGTTCTAGACTTTGACCCTTTTTTAAATGACAAATTTTTGGGCTGATACAACAGCTTAAAGAAGAGGAGAGGGGGAATGACATGCACCAAATTATGTTGAGATCGATGTTGAAAATGAACAACAACTGACACCTTCTTTGGATAAAGACAGTAAAAGCAGCATTTCCTTGGACACTCTCTTTATTGTTGTTTGATGTACTTGTCAGGCAGGTGAATAAATACAGTAAATCTATCCGTGGGTTTGCCATCGTCTTCAAGTTGACATTTACCTGCAGGAAAAAAAAAAAGTTTCATCTTAAATCAAGATACTTGAATTTCCAACTCTGTACATCTCACTTTTTTTCTCACCTTGAATCACAATCTGGAGCAGAGTTCAGGAATAACTCAATGTATCTTTCTCCTAAAAATGAGAAGTTTAAAAAGTTCAGTAAAAGAGGAAAACAGACAAGACAAAATGAAGAGAAAGAGCTGCTCCTCCCCTTTAAGACAGTGTAAAATTTAAATATCTGGCCTTTTGTTTTTGTTGCATGTTCTCTGTTTACATATGATGAACCATTTAGGATGTATGACTTCACGAAGGCTGCACAAATAACTAAAAATGGCACCGATCATTTTAAATGTCAGATTTTCCATTAGTCTCACCGATGTAATGTTTGTTTTTGGTCATGGCAGCAGTGGCATCCCCGTGGCAGCTGAAGAAAATGTCTGCCTCTCCATTCGGCCACCCATCAGGACCGCATTCCATCAGGATCTTTGAGATGATAAAAGGAGAGAAGAACTGCAAGAGAAAAACAGAAAACATTTAAAATCAGACATGAGGGGCTTCTCCAGGAAGTTCTGCATCATGAAAAACCTGTTATCAGACATTTCTCAGTTTACCTTCACGATCTCTTCTGCAGAAATATGGAAGGGAAGTCCTCTTACGTGGATAAAATGGTGATCAGCAGCCGAGCTCTGAGGGGGTCCTGATGGAGAAGATGCATCAGTCCACTTACTAGGCCTTGTGACGGTCGCTGGAGCGGGCACAGTCCTGTTGTACAGTGTCTGATTGCTCATCTGCTGAGGAGGTAAACTGCTACTCCCCCTCCATTCTGTGTTAACCGCATCAGGCCTGCCGGGAAACACCTCGATGTATCTGCACATACAAAGAAAGAGCAGAAGATGAAGCTCAAATTAACACACTGAATATAAATAAGACAAGATTATGATGCTCCTGCATGTAACTGAACTATGCGGAGTCCTACCTGTTCCCAATGGACTGTCTGTCTCTCTGCAGAGCTTTATCTGCGGCTTCTTGCGTTGCAAAATGTACAACGGCCCTGCCAGAGTTCCTCCCTCTGCGGTCTAAGACTATAGTGACTCCGTCCTGGACGATATCCAAACCTTAAAGAGACAGAGCACAATTTAGCTTTGGTCTTTAAAATACAAAAATTATCCTTCACCGACTTTACCCTGTGTCATTTACACATCTCCCCCAATCATCACAGTAGCCCCTCCCTCCTCTTCAGCCTCCACCTCAACACAGACCTTTCCAGGCATGACTGTGGATCAGGTCAGAGGTCAGCTGAGGGAGACCAGACGAGGCGTGTCCTAGACTACTGAAGACCTCTGCTGCTGAAATGGGTAAATCGCTCTTAGGGCTATTCAACCTCAGCCTACAGCTGGGGAGAGTGCCCACCCTCTGGAAGACTTCCTGCACTGTTCCAGTTCCCAAGAATAACTGATGAAGACGATTGAGCGGCTCGTCCTCAGCCTTCTCAGACCCCAGGTGCAACACGCCCAGCAGTTTACATACAGAGCAGGTGTTTTTTTTGTGGAGGACGCCATTCTCTACTTGCTCTAGAGCCCACCCACATCTGGGTAAGGGGAGTAACAGGCAGCAGTACGTCAGGTTGAAGGACATCATGTCTGACACTCTGATAAGCAGCACCAGAGCACCTCAGAGGGCTGGCCCCCTCTTCTCTTCACCCTGTACACTGCGTACTTCTACTACAACTCTGAGCTGTGTCACATCAAGAGGTTCGCTGATGACACAGCTCATAGTTGGATGTATTAAGGACGACCGAGAGGAGGAGTACTATCTGGTGTCAAAGGAACCATCTGCACCTAAACACCTTGAAGACCACGGAGCTTTTCATTGACTTTGGGAGACCCAGGCCAAGGTGAAGACCAGTTCTGATGGCATCGAGGTGGAGGCTGTAGACTTATACAAGCACCTTGGACTGTGGCTGGTGTAGTCGTTGTCGTAAAACAGTAATTTGCAATGTCCAGAGCTTAAAATTTTACTTTTTATATATCAATACTTAAATTATCTGAAGTTTCTATTACATCTTTACTCCCTCTATATATTTGTATTTGATCATTCTTTTTTTCTTTTCTGTAAATTTGATGCTGCTGAGATTTTAACTTCCTTCAGGGAACCTTCCCAAAAGGACAAATAAAGTTGTATCTAATCTAATCTAATCTAATCTAATCTGATCTAACAACCTAGATTTGTTATAAACACAATTTAATTCAGTCATACAAGAATAAGAACTTGGAGAATAAGAAAGAATAGACAGGAAATTCTTGCAACAAATGCACCAAGCCTGCAGAGTGGCTGCACATTGTTTATTGTTAATGTCCATTTTTCTGTTATAATTACCGTAAATAGAGGCTGCACGAGTATGTGAAAAAGTCTTTTTTTGGTCGAACTTTAAGAGGGAAAATGGTTTAAACAGTGTTTTGTTTTTGAGGACCTTTATTACATTCAGCATCATGCATTTTCTATGCAGAGAGCTCTCCCTGGTGCCATCTGTTATCATAATGCTGCCAGCTTCCTGTGCAGTAGTTGAGCTCATCCTACAACAGTGCTGGTAGTTATGAGGTAAGGACAGACCCCCTGCTGAGCACCAATTAACAGAGACTCGCCACTCTCCCATCTGCTGGTCACTTGTCTTGCATTGGGGTCTTTTTTCAATCAAACTGTCGCTCCACAAGATCTATATATTGAATATTGAACCTCTGTTGGCTTGTTTGGGTTGTTTGAATAATAAAGACGGGGTTTCACTCATTGTACAGGGCTTCCTTAAAGTGTTTGTAGAGATGGGGCTGAGGAGGATGTACTTTCATGGGAATCACCAGCAGCAGATTCTTACCTGAGAAGAATTTCACAATATCAGTCTCAGTGCAGCTGTAGGGGAGACCCCTGAGCCGGACCATCCCCCCCTTTGCTGCAGTTTTGATGGATCTCTTCAGGATCTCTTCTGCATCTTTGTTTGTCACTTCAGAAACTGCAACAACACAAAGAGAGGCTCAGTTTACAGCTTAATACTTCATTACTAACTGTTCAAAACTCCATCAGCTTCTGTATTCTACATTTCAAGCAGCTCATTGACAAACCTTCTACATAGCGTGGTCCGAGATACTTCCTGTGCTTCTCCAGAGCTTTCCTGACATCCTCTTCATGCTCCATCTCTATGAAGGCTTGACCTGCTGACCTCCCTAGATGGTCTTCAATGAAATGGATCCCCTTCTCTCCATCACAGATCCTACACTCTGAAGTACAAAAAATGTGAGTGAATATTTGGTCATCTTTTGACAGTTGTAACATCATGACAACAAAACATAACAACGACACAAACATTTGTGGCTTGGATCTATGAATCTAACCACAAGTACTGGAAAATCCACGACTCTAAACAGTGCACTGCATCTGCACTTATCGTGGAAGGAGAGACGAAAGGTCGATGCTGAATGCCGTATCCCACCTTTCCTGCTATAGCTCACCTTAGTGTTAGTGTTCGTGTCACCTTAATGTTTCAGTCTAAAGAGGACTCTGTTGATGTGCAACAGGTGTGACAATTTACAAATATGTAAAACACACACCTGAGAAGAAGCGCAGGAGATCTTGAGTCGAACACGACCAGGGGAGGCCGTTTACCAGCACGATGTACACCTCCTTCTCTGCTTGTGGTTTGCCCTCATAAGCTGGCAGTGGAGGGTAATCATCTTCACACGATGATCCTGTCTGCAAGACAAGATGTAATAGGAGTGCTTTTTCAACAGCCCTAGCATAAACCCTTCTTTTAGGACGCTTCTGTATTTCTATTTTTGTTGATATTATTAGAAAGGTGAAGACTGTTCTTATTGCTGACATTTATTGCTGAAGTTGTTTTGGGGGTTTGTCAACTAGGGGAGAGTGGAGTAAGTTGAGCCAAAGGGTAAGTTGAGTCACCCCCTGTTGCTTGGAAATGGTTAAAGAAATTGATCATGTGACCAAATATTTACAGATGGAGATCAGTTCATGGAGTCTGTGAAGGTTAGAAGCACATGAGTGAAGTGGTTAGACATTTATTTCCAAAAAAACAGTTTTCACTCTTGAAAGTGAATTTAGTCTGTCATAAGTTTTATTAGAATTGTGTTCAGACCAAAAAAGATCATCTTAAATTCGTTTTATACAAAGTAGTAGGGCTACAGCTCAACTTACCCCGCTCCTATGGTCACCTTACCCCATACACGGGGAGACCGCTTTTTTTGGCATGCTATATTATCAAGACAGTTATGTTTACACTCATTGTGTTGGTTTGCAGGGATGCACAACATCTTGACATATATGCAGATACACTAGTTAGAGACAAAACTATGATTGCCTTGATGTAGTGATCTGAAATGTGAAAAATGGCTCATCTCACCCCAGTCTCCCCTACTGGAGGGCCCTTTGACCTAAAAACCTACAAGTTTTTCACCCGGACTTACATAAGGACTGTCACACAAGCTCAGTTCTGAAAAAAAGTCACTGCGGACTCATGTTACGTTCTCTGTGTAAAGCAGTGATTACTCACCTTTGTACAGAAGCCAGACAGACTGTGTTTCGCAGACAGGATCTCACTGAGTCTCTGCAGACAGACGGTCCTGGGTGATGATGATGATAACGATGTCAAAGATCTCTGCTGGATTAACCTGCCTGTTAAAACGCTGCTTCTTGTTTTGATCTCGTTTGAAACCGGTCCGTGTCTAACTGCGACACACCGCCGGAGTAAAAACAACAGAGACCTGCCGGTACCTGACATTTTAGTAAAGATCTACCGGGTGTTAAACAAGGAAAATACCACTTAAACAAAAAGATGTCTGGACAGTTTCTCTGGTTTTAGCTGCTTGAAAACCAGCTAGCAGCCGGTCCAGTGTGTCTCTAAAAGGCTAAACTGCCTCACGTGGGTCAGTCAAGGGCAGGTAGCACAGAGTTGTCAAGCTAAGGAAAAAAGGCACTGTACATTTCCGGTTTATTTCCGGGTTCGTGAACTATTTCATTTCATTTATTTTATTTGGGGTATTTTTTACATTACATTTTATCTTATCTAGTTTTTTTTAAGATAAAGAATCAAAAAATTTCAGAAAGAAAGTCCATTATTCTCCAAATCAAGCAGACAGGCGCTTAATGAAAACTCGATTTTGTTCCTGTGCAGGAACTGGAACAAAAAATGTCTATGAGAGTTTTGAATATGTTCTCATAAACTATTTGATTAAATAAACTATTTTGGATGCACTTATTTTTATGACTATTGTAGCCTTATTTTTATTACACCTCCACTGATTTAATGCTGCCATAAACAGTGCAAACATAACTCACCTGTGCAAATAATAAAAATCATGACATTTAAATTAAGAACAAGAAATTCTGAAAAAGACCAAATAAAACCCTAAATTGTAAGGATATGACATGATACAACACTTGTATATAAGATACAAAACAATTACACGGTAAAAACACAGCATGATACAATAAAATGTGACTTATGATACACTTCAATATCATATGATTTGATACAAAACAATTACGTACAATGTAAATGACAGGAAATACACACAACTGAATATGTTTTGTAATAATAATAGCCAAGGTACATGAATGTGTGATAATAAATCAGTATGGATACCAGTTCTTTATCAGCCATGGTAATATCTATCAAATATACAATTATATACTAGTGTAACTGGAAATATTTTGGAACCTATTGTACGAAATGCTAGAAGTAAACTAAATATATGAGAAAAGAGTGGGAATATGTAGGCCAACGATATGTAACTTGAGAGTATGGCCCAGTGGTGTAATTGTAATGTAATGTTCATGACCACATATGGTTCAAACGTAGTCTCGAATACTGAGGAAAAACGCAGAAACACGTTTGAGTCTCCAGAAAAATTAGACATCAAGGTGGATTAATCAATAATAATAATATGGCGCTACGTTTTAATTTTGTATTTTACAGGAACATGTGATTTTAATTACTCATGTACGCTTGACAATTATCTTCTCCCTAAAGTACTTCCCCTCTGTCGCTGTGTTCTGGTTCATGTGTCTCCTACACTGCCATCTAGAGGTCAGGATGACACAGCAAAGTCGTGAGTATGCAAGTAAAATGATTAAAATCACCCTGGTGCTCCGCTTTCACAGAGGAGTACTTACCTGGTTTCCATAGCATAAAGATGATCATCAAGAAAAAAGTTAAGATAGCCTACTACTGGTCCATGAGGATGATTCAAGTTAACTGGTAAATCAACAAATAACAGCAGTTTGAATACAACATGGGAAAGAATAAAGGGTCATTCCATCTATTAAGAGTCAGGATTCTAAGCGATTTTATACATACCAGTGAAATGATCAGTCAGTTAGCATGCTTTTGTAGTTACTCACCTGCTTATCTGCCAACCAGTAACCTCCACTGGAGGAAAAATTAGGCCAGTGCTGAGGGGCAATAATTTTAACTTCCTCAAACATCCACTTAAGACTGTCTCCAAAAGCCCCATGGAATCCACCTAAACCCCCATGTTAACATGCTTTTTTCTTTGGCAGGATTAGACATACTAATGAGAGTTATTTAAATTATTATTGAACATACTGACAAGGTGATAATAGAAAAAAATGTTTGGTCTTTAGAAGGTTTCAAAAGCCATAAAAACAGAACAGAGAGTAAATGTGTGACAAAGACAAAAGTGTGCAGACATTTAATCATAGTGGACTTCAGGATTTCATACCATCGTGCATATCATACACTTGTGTACTAGAGTGTCCATGTTGCTCAAAGGATTCAAATAAGTTTTATTTGTTATTCCAGTATACTAGAAAAAAGAACAAACTAGAACTGAGGACCCAATATCAGTCAAAAGAACATTAGATGGATAGATAGATAGATAGATAGATAGATAGATAGATAGATAGATAGATAGATAGATAGATAGATAGATAGATAGATAGATTCTTTATTTATCCCAGAAGGAAATTCAAATAATATATAATATATATCATTTGAATTTATATATTATATTATATATTATGTATTTAATTTATATAAATTATATATATATATATTATATATATTATTAAAATATATTATTATATAATATTAAGACAAATAAAAGAGAATAAAGTAAAAATGTAAATAAAAGAAATAAGTAAAAATGTAAATAAAAACCTAAAAGTATCTTAATAAAAATGACAATAATATTTAATTTGAAAATATAATGATAATATTTACAGCAACCTTAACCTTAATAACAATAACAATAATATTTACAATTAACCTAATCTAAAACACAGCACACACTGGAGTACAAAGCAGCAGAGTAAGTAGAGTGATTCAACAGATATTACTGACATTATTGCACATGTGGTGTCCGTCTCCCTGTATAAGCAGCTTACAGAGCAGTTCGATAGTTCAGCAGCCTCACAGTTGTTGGAAAGAAGCTGTTTTGAAGTCTGGTGGTCCTGCTCCAGATGCTCCTCAGCTGTCTCCCTGAGGGAAGAAGGACAAAAAGTGCATGTGCAGGGTAGGGTGCTCTGCTATACCTCACCTAAATGCTGACTGTCTGTACAATTTCTGCACTTGTTATCGCCCCAGTTGCTGGTTTGTGCACTAAGTTGGCATTTCCAGTATGGCAACTTGCCCTCAGAGTCTCCAGAACTCCACCAATGATTGACCTCACTGGGGCTATGCTATCACTAATAGTAAGAAAAGTGGCTTAGACTTTTTTACTGGCTGGTAACTTAGGAAAAAAATCAAAACCCAGATTTCCTCTTGTCATTGCCTTGCAAATCTGTTGCCAGTCTCGAAGGGGGCCCATCAGCTCCTTTTTGCCCCAGTACCTTTAGTAGTTTAATCCAGCTATGGCTATTGGTCAGGGATGAAAAAAAAAACTACAAAACTTGATAAATATTGAACAAACATTTAAAGTGAATTCTATGTACAATGTACAACATTTGTTGTATTTTTTAAATAATTCTCTCGACATTGTAAAGAGCTGTTTCCAGCCTGTTTGATCTACCTTCAAGTCACCTACTGCAGTACCTGAAGGCAACACTGTTCATCCCGGATGGAGAGAGAGAAAAGGGAAAGAGAAAAAAGGAAAACAGTAGATCACATGACCAGCTCTGCTTTTCCCTGCAGTAACAATTTCTCCTCCTCCTCCTCCGCTGCTCGCTCCTGCCTGCCTGCCTGCGACAGCACAGCAGTGGTGTGGTCGCTCTAACGCACGTTAACGGAAAGGAAAAACAGTCCGTACGTAGTGAAGGCCTCTGCCACACTGAAAACCTTTCAGCAGCCACAGCGACGACGGATAAAAACACTTACTATACATACTGGTAATCTGAGTTGCTGTTATTTTATTTAATAGCCGTGTAAAGAAAAAAAGGCAGTCTTCATAATGGCGACAGCTGCGGTGTCTGCCCCTGCTTGCAGCGGCCCCAGCCCCGGGCCGGGAACGGAGCTAGTCCGCGGGCAGGCCTTCGACGTCGGGCCTCGGTACAGCAACCTTTCCTACATCGGGGAAGGAGCCTACGGGATGGTGTGGTAAGTTTTCCACGAAGCGCTTTTCTACTTCGCCTTTTCAAACCACACACTTTATCACTATACACTTCTCATTTTAGCGCTTCACCTTCGCTAACTCTTCAAATTCCCGTCATTTAAAAACTAAATATCATGTTTAAGCTAGCAAGCAACAGTGCCAAAGCATCGGCGGTTAAACGACTACAGTGTCCGCTTGGAAGGAAAGATTCATGTCAAAGCTTCTTGTTTTTCGCTTATATTTGGTTTGGTTTTGTGTTGAAATGATCTTCGACTAGACGTTAATGTACTTAGCTTACCTGGAAATCCACTTAATTAGTCACTAACTTGCGCCGATAGGGAGCAGGTTTATAATGTTACATAAAACCTATCGTACATCCCTTTAAATGTCGGTTAAATTCTGTATGGAAGACTGAAAACGCGATTAAAAGCTTCAAGAATGAAGAAATTTGGCATTTTGTCAATAACATGTTTTCAACAGGCACCCAACAGGGTGTGTTCATCCTTCACTTTGGCTTTACAGTGATTTCAGCTTTACAATGCACAATGGTTTCTATCTGCTAAAGTACTTAATCATTACATTTCATACTGAATATATAGATTTTCAGCTGTTCCAACCAGTCACATTATCAACACAATATAAAAGCTGTACTATGGATTCTTCTTTAGCCTGTCAGATAGGTGATGTTTAGTTAAATCAAATGTTGAAGTTATAAACTGTGTTGATGGTCTACTGGAGTGCATTATATTGAAATGTACTCCCTCATGCTTGTTACTGAAGTGGATGAAATACCATTCAGTTAAACCACCACCCATCATATCTAACGTAGTGAATAAGTCCAATAATCATGGATCTGACCATGTTAACCAAAACTGGAAATCTGTGACGCTCCATTAAAGTAGAATTTATGATAGAGCTGATGTATTGCATTGTACTACATTGCCCATAATGTTAGAGCTAGTCGGTGTGTATTGCCCCAAACTGTTGTATCTCTGTGGACAAAATTTGGTCATGATCATATGAAAATCAGCTGCACATGTCGGTTTTGTGGATTTGCATAATTTGGAAATGCATTGCAGGAGGTGCCTCAAGGTGTTTCAGTTGTATGTTTATTCATTGCATGCCCGGTTACATGAAAGAATTTATTGAGAAAACTTGTGTACAAGTAGTTTTTTCAATTTGCAATGTTCTGATATGAATTTAGTGTAGGACTGCACAATATTGGAAACACTGGCATTGCAGCTTCTTTTTCTTGCAGTGATATGTACTGCAATGAGCACAAATACAGGATGGTAAACTAGTGTAAATAGAACTGGTTTAAAACTCTTAATCTTAGTGGACTCTATTCAGGCCTTCACCTGCAAATGTGACTCTAGGCCTGCATTATATGAAAAATATATAATGTGTGATAATTCGGCTTAACACTGTGGTATTTTCGTCTCTCAACAGGCTCAATTTGACTGCATCAAATTGACGTAAAGCACAGCTAATAATACCCATGCCTTCATCTCGCAGGTCAAATATACATGCTGAAGTAGAAAGCATTGGTTGTACACATTTTATAATTTTATATCATTGCTCTGCTATAAACTAAGATTTTTGGGACTTGTTGATTGCAAATACACATATTGCTATGTTGTTGCATTTGTGGTTTACTGTGCAGTCCTACCTTTTCCGTCAACGATATTTTCTCATGCTACTCTTGCCCAGCTGGTTTTTAGATTAAATTTGCATATTCGTGTGGAAATCTATTGCAGGAGACATTAAAGAGTTTCCTAAGAATTTTTGTTCCAGTAAATGGCAAATTGTACAATGTTTACATGAAACTGTATTAATAGAAACTCTCTCGAGGCAGTATTTCCCATCCCAGATTACATTCTTTCAGTGGAAGATAAATTCTTTAAAAGGCAATGTTTATGTATTTTGTTGCATGGCATTCAGTTAATTTTCTCCTTCTTTCATGGCCTGTCCCAAAATTACCTAACTCAATGTTTTGGCCCACAGATATCTTAACCAAACTGTTGGTGGTAAAATGGACACAGAATCCTTCGGCTGAATGGGACTGAATCGTGTTCGAAGCTAGTTTTGTTACTTCACATTTGCTTGAATTTTTACTAAAGCGATCCGACATTTGTGCAGTCCTCCACCAATAATTGTTCCTGTTTACAAAACTGGTATTATAATCGTGGTTCATACTTCACCTCTGAATATATAGGATTTTATTCATTCTCAATATTGAGTTTACAATGATCCAGTAGCATTACGTCTTAAGTCTTCTGCACTGTTTATTCGCTCTGATGCTCATATCTTATCACCCATGAAAGCTGCACTTCGGGTTTTGTTTGACATATTTGCATAATGTGTTGGAAATGAATTGCAGGAGGCACCTCGAGGGGTTTCCCTCTTATATTTGTTTTCGTGGTGGATGCTGATGCCCAGTTACACAATGTTCAGTATATGAAGGAATTAATACATAAGAAGCACTGTGGATGCTGAAGAAGCATTTTTCCCCACTCTTTTGTACATGATGTAAAGGAAGATTATTTATTATACAGAGCTTTTACCCCCCACTACTCCATTCTTATGTCATTTTCTCACACTCATCCTGCTGATTTACTTCAGAAAGTGACAAAAGAAATGTATTTTTAACAGCCTGAATTAAGAAAGCCTGCTTTCAAAACCCCGTAAGTCTTGTTGTTTCTTGAGGCTGTTGCAATGTAGCCGGCCTTAAATGTGCACACTGTACTATATTACATAATATATTGTCCTTGTGTCAAACAGCAGCAGAGTAGTTCTTTTTTTTTCCCCCCCTCTGTGGTGAGAGGAGCTGGGTTTTCTGAGAACACTGGTTCAACACAGAGCCTGCCTACAGTGCAGACACACAGCGAGGCGTTTAGCATCTTTTTGTCTGCAGAATGAAAAACCTACCAAAAACAAACAGCCCTGCTTGTTTCTTTTATGGGCCCTTATCAGCAAATAGACCACATAAAAACACGTGTAAGCTCAAGTGTTGTTCTGATAAACGCTGAATGCGTCCTGAAACATCAAATCAGACAGAATACAGCATGACGGTTGATGAATCAGTGAAGCTGCTTGTAAAGAATAAAAACACCATAAGTATACTGTGTACAGATATGCGTAAATAAATGGATTTGGTTGTTTTTTAAACTCATTCACTCAAAGACAATACTAACCTTTCAGAGTGGTTTAAACAGTCAAGAGATGGGCATTTTAAACAAATTAATAACAATATTAAATTTTTACTGGTAATTTTTCCCCAATTATTTGAATGTTTTGCCCAACTCTCAGCAGACATAAAGAAAGAGAGGCCCATTTAACGACTGCGCACAGTTGTTTTAGATATGTGTGAAAGTAGATATGCCAGTTTTACCTGGAAAGTTTGCACTTAACCTAATTCTTTTGTTCATTTCCTGGTCGGACTCTTTGGTGGCTGCAGAGGTCTACTTGTTTTTGTTTTGATTCTCACAGTGCCACACTAGGGTTGGGAATCGAGAATCGATGGGAATCGGGACTAAAACTTCGATTCTTCCGGTATCGTTCAAATATTAAAATTTCGATTCCAAGTTTCAATGCCAGAGTCCGCCGACCGGAAGAAATAGCCGCCGAAAATCAACGAAGAAGAAGCCGCTTAACACCAATGAGGACGGAGCATATGAGACAAAGCCACACAGAGAGAGGAGAGAGACAGAGAGAGAAAGTACATTGTAACCCACAGCAATGCAGCCGCTGTGGGTTACAATGTAATCCCTCTCTCTGTGTGGCTTCGTCTCATACGCTCCGTCCTCGTTGGTGTTCGGCAGCTTCTTCTTCGTTGGTCAAAAGTTTGGCTAACTTTAGCAGGAAGAATGAGCTCTTATCTCAATGCAACATTAGCAATACAGTTATATCATGTAAAGGAGGGTAAACGACCAACATGATTAAACACCTCAGGATTCATGGGGGAGAAATACCCGAGTGCTCGTCTTTGACGCGCTTCGCCGGTGTTGTGCCAGAGAATGCACCCCTGCTGTTGAATGCACCCCTGACGGGAGCGCGGTTGAAAGTACACAAGGCGAAACAATCCAAGTTTTTCTTACCGTTGAACGGAATCTAAAGCGTGTGCCTTTAATGATTTCATTCAGGCTATTCAGATATGCCGAAAACAATAGCCCTCTGATTCGGAATATTTACTGTCCTGAAAATATTATGTTCTCTACATTAACAGCTTACTCTACAGTTTGTATACCCAAGTACACCTTTATGTGTGCATTTTTGAGACACATACAAACAAAACGAAAGTTTACTGCTCCATTTGACACGTTTTCATGATCTAATACCCGTGTTTTATTAAATATGAGATCATATTTCTTCCACTAAGAAGCTAATCAGTGGAGGGGAGGCATTCTACGGCAGGGGTGCATTCTACAGCACAACACCTGTCTTCCGCTAACCAGTCAGGATCAGACAAGTGAAACAATAAATGACTTCTGTCCTCTGCTAACTTTGAAACGGTAAAGAAATTGAACTGTGTACGGTGAGTAAACTTAAATATCCATCTAACGTTAGCCCTTGTACTTTTTCATAGACAAACGACCTGAAAACAAAAATTGATATTTATATACTGGTTGAAAATAGCTCTGTGAGAAATCCATAGTAAAGTTCTTAAAAAGTTAATAGGATTTAAAAATTCATGGAGAAGTTCAGAAATTTCATCCAAAAAGAAGAGCCCCGGTTAGCACCCTCATTCAAACCATGCTTTTTTTTTTCTTTTTTCTTTTGCTTTTTGATATCCTGCCTTTTAAAAGAATCGAATTAGAGAATCGATAGGAATCGGAATCGAAATGAGGAATCGAAATTGGAATCGGAATCGTTCAAAATCAAACGATACCCAACCCTACCTGTTACTGGTAACTGGCACTTGCACTCTCTGTTCGTCTTGTTATTTAATGGGAGCACACTTCAGAAAGGTTCAGCAGGACTGAAATGTTGTTTTTACCTCTAATAAGTGGCAAAGCTGAGCAAGAGGAGTGAGCAGGGTTTTCTCTTTTCAAGGCTTTGGTTTCACATCCTGTGCACCTAGTTCATAAGACAGTTGGATGTGCACACACTTCCTCCAAAACGTAGTTTAATGGTGAAGAGTGAACTGTTTTCTGATGCCCCACTACGACTGTCTGGCGGTTGCACCACTAAATGAGTATACGAACATTCAAAAATCACAACTCCTTCCTGTAAAACCCCATCCATAGTAATCTGATGATCAACCTGTTGTGGCAGCTGATTGTCACACGATTTGCATTTGAACTCTTATAACTAAATATGCACACGTTTGTTTTGGCTTCTTCCTTGACTAACAGAAGGAAGCAGGTTCTGTCCTGCAGTGCTAGTAAGTTAAACTTGCTTTCTAATAGGGCTGCACGATATATCGTTTGAGCATCGCCATCGTGATGTACGTGTGCGCGATAGTCACATCGCAGAGCCTGCGATGTTGGCGTTAAATGAACTCATCTAATTTCAAGGGTAGCTGACTGAGATACACTGCATGTGCTGTGCAGCGATCCATCAATCACATTGGTTCTTTACTCAGTTGCCAATCAGACTACCCTGCCAGCCGTCAGTCAAAATCAGAGAGGAGGAAACCATGCCCCTGCACACTGCCCGCACATGGAGCGAGTCGCTGGCGCTGCCGGTGTTGTGCCAAGAATCGCGTGTCTGCTGAGAATTAGTTTCGAAACATAACTCCTCACTGTTGAGCCCAACAAATAAGAATTGTATGGGTTTTAAATTGTACATTTCTGTGGGCCACTCTACTATGAGCGGTGCGCATTTTTCGAGGTACATGCAATTCTCAGCGGGCATGTGTTTCTCGGCACAACACTGGTAACAACAACAATGATTGTTAAATGAGCAACAAATAAGAGAAAACCACTGTAAATGAATACTTGTTGCCAAAAAGAAAAGCAACATCAGTTATCTGGACTTATTTCGGTTACAAGAAGGATTATGTCGACCAAAACACGTGTTCTGTGTCGGCAGTGCCTTTCATCTGTTGCCACAATAACGTCCCAGCACAATAAAAGCAAGTTAAAAATATCTCTGAGACTGACAGAAGCCATTCTACTAACATTCACAAAAGAGGTAAGATAAGTGCAGGTTAACTGTCCACAAGATTTCAGCAGTGCTGCATAACATGGAGTACTATTCAGGTCATCTGGTGAAAATTTCTGTATTTTTTAATATCGCAATATATATCACAGATTGAAAAAAAAATTGCAATGTTTGTTTTTTCCAATATCCTGCAGCCTTACTTTCAAAGCACATTTACAAGATTTATGTTAACTGTCTTCTATGTATGTTGTTACACATGGATTAAAATCTTCCAAATATTATTAAGTTAAATATTTAACTAATGATGGGATCATAACCAGCCGCTGATCATAAAAACAGTGTAGAAATGAATGAAAGGACAAAGCTGGTTTTGATTGCCTGATAGCAGAACTGTTTGTTTTGGTGTTTTCAGAAGTTTCCATAACCAGGATCTGAAACGCTCCCAAGAACTCATGAAGACCGTCCACTCTGTGGCACGACTGTTAAAGCTTGTACTTAACATGCAGGCATAAGCAGATTTAGGTCAAGATTTGACTGTGTCTGCAGTGTTATGCCTGAAACAAAGAGTGTTTCTTGTTTATGTGAGTGAAACAGGGCACGCCAACTTTTTGTCATTAATGTCAAACTCGACACGCCACGGCTTGCAGATTTTCAGGTTTGTTGCATCTCCACTTCACCTTTCAGAGTTCATGAGAGTGAAACCGTGTGGGTCGTTCTCTGACGTTTTCGTAGTTAAACCTTCGTCTGACACCATTTCACTTTCTGTAAGCTGAGCTCTTTTCCTTATCTGTAAACTCACATCAGCTATCAGCGCTCCTTCAATTCAACAAGTGCTTTCTTCTTCTATTGTTGTTGTGAGTGCTGCTTCCTGTAATGTGCAGTGTATATGTAGAGGTATTTTTCCACCCGCAGTATTTATGCTCAACCTGCTGCAGTGTTGCATCACGTATCTTCAACTCCAATAATAGTCACTTGAATTGGAGGAAAAGTGGTTCAATCTTGGTTGATTTGGTTGCTCATTTGAAGGAAACATGTTGTGACCAGTTTGTGTCATTCTGGTATGTTTTAATCCATTTGTTTGGTTCTGTTGGGCGGATATGATCTGTGCCTTGCAGGTGATGCCAAAATCCCGGGCAGCTAACGTGCTTATTTAGGATTACAAGCACTGTATGGGAGTCAACTGTGGCCCATATGGTCAACCACACGAGCATTCAATGACCACAAAAAAGTTTCAGAAAATAAAGAATTAGATATCTAAGACAAAAGTAAAGAAAAAAAAAATGGTGAGTGCGGAAATGTTAAAAATGAATAATCTTATTATCACATGTAACACAAAAGCAAAAACAACATATATATTTCAGAAAACACAGCAATATTTCATGAAAACTGAATTTTTTTTTTTTACAAAATGAGAAAACTGCAAAAAGCAAAAAATCTATAGGAAACAAAAACATTTTTATAAATCAAAAATATTTTGCAACACATACATTTTTACAAAAAACACATTTTCAGTTTGACCTTCTTTTGTTAAACAGTTTGGATTTTTTATTTGAGATGTTTTTTTGCCTCATGAAATATTTGTGTACTCTGTCAAATGTTTTAGTCTTTTGGGTTTTTAGGAAAAGCTTTTTATTTTGTGAAATGTTGCTGTATTTTTTATTTTTTGGATTTCATGTTTGCGTTATGCGAAACGTTTGTTTCATGGCATATTCATAAAATGTTGTTTGTCCTTAAATGATTGTGCGGTTGACCTTCAGAGTCACTGCAAAAGAACATTGAACCACAAACAGCATGAGGAATAAGACACTCTAAACCAGCTACAGAAACAGAATATCACTGATCCATGAGTATAAAGGAGACACTCGTGTCTACTTTTATCTTATGTTCTTATTTAATACCAGGGATGATAGGTTTTAGCAGCAGGCATAGACACGTTCATCATGCTTGACTCAGGTTTCCAGGACTGGAGTTGTGTTTGTTTCGACTTCCAGTAAATCCCAGACCTCTGAGCTGGCAAAATGACAGACTGCTAAAGCTTTTGTGTCCATTGAATAGGACTGAGTTCCTGAACCCCTCTTTTTCCAGAGAGCAGTGTTGTCCATTTCTACTAATGTTCCCAAGAAGAAGTTTGAACATTGTAGGCCACTCTCCCCCTTGTTTGCAATAATTGCCGTGACTATTTCTGTCTTGCTGTTCTTAAGTAACCAGAACCACAGTAACCTTTTACCAGCAGCAAAAGCTATATAAACAGTCCTTTGCCCAACTCTCCGCTGTGGTGCTGTTTCTGTATTTGTGGCATGCTAAGAGGCAGTTGGAGTGGGCGATGTGTCAGCCTCCTTGCACTTGTCTCGTTCTGGTCTTTCTGAAACCTGTAGTTTGGAGTCTGTTGGTCATGTTGCTTTGATGTGCAGCTGCCAGAGAAAGTGGTGCAGGGTAGATTACACTCGCCCTTTGATTTGCATCAGAAGTATTTTTAAACAATATCAGGAAGTGCCTCTTTATTGCGTTTCTTGCAGTGATATTTTCCCATGTGCACCTGTGTCATCAGTTGCTTTTAGTTGCAAACTGCATGCATTTGGAGGCAGAAAAAGACAACTTATTATTTTTTGTTTGACTGTCCTCAGTGCACGCATGGTCACAAACATGAACTCACAATTTTTAAACAAAATTAAAAGGTTGCCAAAATACAGTAAGACGATTGTGTTGGCTGAAGAACTGCATCAAAAATATGCTTTTTCCAGAAGCTCTTGTTTGATATGTTGGTGGCTGGAATTATGCTTTTGCAGAGATGCTCTTGAACACTTGTGCATTATGTACTCAGAATATGTTACGTAGGTGCAGAGTACAAAGAAAAAGGGCTGCAAACAGAAAAAAAAAGAAAACTTTTGTGGAATGCAGGAAAATTAATGATAAACTGTAGACATGTTTAAAAGCGGCTTCGCAAAATCATAAGAACTGTTGGGAGAACAAATCACTTTAAGATGCTGTTTAAAGTTTCCACTCCTTTGTATCTAAAGTCCTGCTTCAGAGTGCAGCCCTGAAATGTTTTTATTGATAGTGCAGAGATGAAATAGATATAAATGAATGATATTGGAATTTTGCTGATACTGATGCAGATTTTGATACAGATACAGATTCTCATACCAATCCAAGTTTGTCATTATCCTGCAGACGCTGGCATCTTCCACCAGACTGAATGGCTGGTTATCTAGTGAAGAGAGAGTTTTAGTGATGTTTATGTTTTTAGGTGGTCAAGTTTTTGCTGACACAGTTGCACAATGAAATGACCATCCAAGTTATTAAACAATTATAAAAGACCAGGAAAAACTGAATGCACTGTATCATGGCATCTGTTCTGCTCACAGTCCACCCCACAGATGGTGATCACGTGACTGAACTCTCTCAGCAGATAATATGGCCACAGGCTAACAGCCAACAGCTCCAGCTCGGGACAATCCATGACCGTCTTTATGGAGACATGTCCTGGGTTACACCATCGGTTGTTAAGAGACATGACGAGTCCCCCACTTTTGCTTTTCCCACATGCTGTAGCGTCTCTGTCGGCAGGTCCACATTAGCATCCGGTACAAGGTGTGTTAGCCATGTCTGTAAAGATGAACAGGCTGCTTTCCGTATAAATCCTCTGGTTGTTCAGTGCAGACAGCTCGTCGATCTTGTTTCCCATGATCACAGATAGAATAGAGGGTTTGCAGCGCCTTCGGTTGTCTGCTAGCCTAGCTTTAACTTAACCCCAGCCTTGCACCCCCTGGGACTCCTCCTCAGCTCTCATATTGTGGTTCGTTCCATTTTTTTTTTTTGAGCCAGCAGCTCCTCTCTCTCCAATAAGCAAAAAAACTAAGTTTGAGTTGTTTATGATTTTTTTTTTTGGTGTGTAAATATCCATGGGAATAGTATAAGAAAACACACCAAAAAAAAGAGAAAAGGCAATAAAAGCACATTATGTCACTATAAAAAGACTAAAATGGGTTAAAAAGAAAAAAAGGTGACAGCAAGGTGAGAAATAGGTTTAAAGGTTTTAAGCACTGAGTACTGTAGAGCTACTGGAGAGGCAGCCGTCTCCTACAGCGCCATGGCAACATGCCTGCTGTGTCATTTTCAGACTCGGCCTATTTTTGTTTACAACAGCCTCTTGTTGAGGCTAAGGCTTTTCATGTCAGGGTTGTCTAGTGGCTGAGCCTCTTAACACGATCCTCAGTTCGTGCGCACCGTCTGCTTACACAATCCCGAGATACTGTATCACCCTCTGTGATGATGTTCAGAGGCTGCCGTGGTGGTGTACTCTACCTCTTCAACTCGCCCACAGTCAAAGTGAGATCATGGGGGAATTCAGCTGAAGTAGCATGTGTTTATAAAAAGTTCTGTATCTCAAACACTCGAGTTGGTTGGTCAGTTTTTCTCTGGTGTTCATGATGAATTCATCAACAGTGGGTTGGCAGTCATTGCCTTTGCTGTGTTGTTGTTTGAAGGTGTTTGGTGTTCGATGGCAGAAAGCTGTTTTTACACCAGACTTGCAGATCTTTCTCATTGCCTCTGCTGATATGAAAAACTCGTCCTCTTCCTCTTTAAATTGTAAGAACCAAAAGCAGGAAAAAATGACTTTCCTGAGCAATTGTATAACATTTCTATTGACCTTAGTGCTCCAATAATCAAATAGTTTAGTGACTGAGTATCATATTGAGTATTCTGCGATTAATACGCAAGTGAATTCTTTACTGATTGGCATTAGTCTCCCACATTTTGATGACAATAAAGTTCAAAGGAAACTTAAACCACACTGAGTGACAGAGAAGACTCTCCTGCTTGTGCTGGCTCTAAAGATGGAAATAAATGTGGAAGTTACTATGAAAACTGTGAGCCTCTAAAGGGGGCATAAAAGCCCTCCAGTGTTAGCTGATTGAAGTCATTCTTAGAGTTGGAAAATATTCACCCCACACAGTTATTCTGGAGAGAGGAGTGAGGTATAGGTGTCACAGTGATGAACAGCCTGTGGTGTTAAAACGCACTCCAAAAAACAGCCACTTACAGTTTTAAGGGTTTATTTCCAAAAAATTGAAATTTCGACTAAAGCTTAATATTAAAATGAAAGGTAATGAAAGTTGTGCTTTAACTAAGTAACAAGAAAATATACACGTGTGGTCAAAAACTGTGTAAAATCAACGCCTTCACCTGCCTGACACTAGCATCATGACACCACCAGCCGTGACGTGTGACCACAATCATGTGACCAAACTGATAACGTCAGAAATACCAACCAATGAATCAACTCTGCTTAGATCTAACCAGACAAAAAAGACGTCAACCATAAATTGTGTTTTCAAATATGAAATGGCTACAACAATAGGTATCAAATCTGTTAGTTTGACCCATGGTACCACGTTTCCATCAGCTGTGAAATGAAGGCTCTTAAATATGAGCTCTAATAGGATTTCCTCAGCTTTTTGAGACAGCCCCTCATAGATACTAGAGTTGACTGCAGTTTTTTGCACTTCTGCACTAGCTTCATTTTTAAATCCGGGGGTTGCTGTTTGGTTTGTACAAAAAATTATTTAGTTTTTTCTTACCTCTGAAGTGAAACTGACGCCACCTCAACAGCATTAAGACTCCCATTATGCATCACCCTAAAGCCTCCAAAGCAGGTTGCAATTACACATTGTTTATTTATTTATATGTTGAGTGGTCGTAGAGTTGAAGCAAAGCTCACCACAGCATTTTGCTTGGATTTTATTTTCCAGATTGAAGACAGAGTTACTTTCCTCGTTGTAAAGGATATATTTTTGCCACTTGTACTTTCAACTCAAAGTGATACTAGAATTTGTTGCCAGTTAAACATTTTTTTATGTGTTCAACTCATTGGAGGTGATAATCTTATCTAAAATCGGACGTTTAGTGTATCTGTCGTTTTCCTTCGTCTAATGACTCTCTTTATCTTGATCTGGGCTCCTTGACCCGCCTGATTCCCAACCATTGCTGATGCTCTGCTTCATTCTGCCATGAGCCGTCCTCTTGAAATGCCACCGTGGCGCCCATCTCCATGGCAACCCCTCTGCCTCTGACATCAGTACCACCACTCCACAGCCAATGGGAGCGGGAGAGAGAGAAATGAGAGCCTTGACACTCTGAAATCCTGTTGTGCAATTCACAAGGAGATTTGGGTGATTACGCCTGCAAAGACGAACACAGCGTCTTCTGCTTCAACAAATAAGCTGAAGATCTATGCACTCTGCTGCGTGTTGCATTGAAGCCCATATCAAACGCTCATCATCAGAGCCTGACGGAAGCATCTTATCTCTTAACCGCTGCCGCTGCATGACAGCCTTTCACATGTTGCGTCCCCATATTTATCAGGAAACAAAATACTGTGAATGAGCACAAACCCTCCTGATTAAGTTAGATAACCGTGTTCGGCAATGACGCTGATGTTACTCAAAGTTAAATATGCAGAAGCAGTCTGGTGGCTTTGATAATATCTATCTGAAACTCTTATCTTTATATCAAAGTGTGCTCGCAGGAATTTAAGTTGCATTGAGTTTAAACACACAGGAGGGCTTTCATGATCAACATTACAGTTTTGGACTCATTTGTACTTAAACTGCAGTCTTATTTCTGTAACCGCAAAGCTTTGGTGTTAAATTTACACCATTGGCTAGTTCACAGAGCTATTTTCTCCATACTAGGGCTGATTTTCGACGTGCTCCGTGCGTGTTTCTCTGCAGCCTTGACTATTGTGCAATGTCAAGGCAAAGGAAAGATGTCCCTCCCTCCGCCTTGACCCACCATAAGTATATAACCAGCATAGATTACAAATCCCCAGTGTGCATATTCTCAGTCTATATATTAACAGGTTGATGGTATAGTCATTAAACATGTTTAATTTGATTTCTCTGTAGGTTTGTGCAGGTGTAGTAGCAACCATGTATGGATATTTTATGATGTTAAACTTCAGACCAGCTGTTATTTTTATCATTGTATGTTTGATTGGAGTGATTATATTGATTCAGTATTTTGACGACCAGTCTTGAGGGTACAGTTTGCTCAAGAAGTGACAGCAAGATCAGGGTTAACTGTACCAAACCGTACCAAGCTGTACTGAAGCAATCCAGACTGCTGGGTGCAAACTCACCATATATCTGTATTACTGGTCATTTAAAGGTATCCCTGCCTTTAACTGAAAAGATTTTGATCATGCAAGATAAAGTCAGCTCGATCTTGGTGGATGTAGAGACTCCCCCGGCTGTAAAATCCACCACCCTGCTGTAGCTGATAACAAGCTCAAACAGAGAGACAAAGGTCTTCGAGGGCTGGACGTCATTCAGCAGTTAGATCTGGGAGTGGCAGAGTACGTACAGACAGAGAGATACATTTAAAAAAAGAGAGGTGCTTTTTTGTTGAAGGGCTACTTGATATTAAAGGGTATTATTAAGAGTATTCATCTCTGTGGGTTAACCACAACTGATGGGCCTCAATCAGCAAACCTCTGTTTACATTTCAGCGCTCTGTCGAAAAGAAATCTGTATTGAGCGGTGTATCAGGTAGAGTGTACATAGCTGTTTCAGCATGCACAAAGAGACCATTTAGTCTTCTCTTAGTGGACACAGCTGTTATTTACACTGTGATTCTTTTAGTTTGCATTCAGAGTGTGATTAAACTGGCTGTACAAGCAAGTTTACTCACTAACATCTAACCTCATGCCATGTTGTGTGTCGTGATGCGGGTTGAAGCTAAAAAAGTAGAGGAAAAAGAAGAGTGTATTTTTGTCAAATAACTAGCTTGCTTTGGATCAAACGAAAGAGGTCTTCAGTATTTGTGTAAACTCTGTTGTGTAATCATGTAGCTGCTTGAAGAAACAGGAAAAGGGAAAACTTTATTTGTACACGATGCAAGTACAATATTCATACTGTTCATTTGGGCTGGTAAAGATCTGTATACATCTGTTGAGTGCAGAGATATGAAGAAAATTAAACAAAGGTGCTGCTCATAAAATGTAGTGATGTCTGATTCTCTAAGCAGATTGAATATATATGATAAAGCTGTTAGGTTTTATTAGTCACATAATGTATCCCTAACAAAATGAAATTCATTATTGTGTTTGAAATATTCTAAGGCCTCTGATTTGAGATTTCTATACTTTTGTACAGCTGTAAACTGAATATATAAAGGTTGCAACCATAGATATAGACTGTATATTGAATGGATGCCATCTTCCTCCTTGCTGGGTGATAACAGCACCCTTTGGTGACGGGCTGCAGTATAGGTCATAAATCCCACCTCCTTTAGCCACCCCTATGGAGTTGTGGACAAACTTTAGAAATTAATTACACAGAACATAAATTTTTCTCACCACTGCTTGCAATGTTGACATGTAGTTACAGTAAGACTGGTTTGTGTTTAAGTCCTCTTTTTTTTTCGTGCAGCTCTTTTTTTTTTTTAAAAGTTATTAGGGGGTTCATGTTTTCTATGATTGACACCTGATACAGCCTTATGGACATACAAAGATTGCATAGCTCACCTGACAGATACGCTGTTTGAGCCGAGTGTCAAAACAGCGACTCTCACCCTGAGTACATGCGATGCTACTGCGCAAGTAGTGGTTCCAGGAATTGGAGAAAATCCTAGAAATACCAAGAGCAATATGGCTTTATCTCCGTGTAATGACGGAGGGGGAGCCAAGTTGTGCATAGTATATACAGTCTATGGTTTCAACCCAAGCAAGACATTATATGCCAATTTCCTTTATTAATTGGACTAGAAGCTAAGTCATTGATGTTGATAGAAGATTATAGACTGATCAATTAACAACAGTCATGGATCGATCTCTAATCGGCTCCAAAGTCTGATATTTTTCACCTAATTGGTGAATAATAATATCAGCATAATTTTAATGTCATCTACCAATAAATTTTTTAAAAGCTATTTATCCGTATCAGCAGGAAGGAAGATTTCCGCCTGTGTGCAGCAAAGATGATGCATTAATTATGCACATGAGACGATGGCTTCGTTGAGTAAGCCAACAACAAGCTCCCACATGTCCACTGTATAGAAGTATTTGGAAGTGGTGTACAGCTGCGTTTTATAGCTGTGTGTGATACAAGGTGCAAAACTACTCTCCTTCAGCTCCACAGATTAAATTGTACATCTCAAGAAATGTCACCATGCATAAGAAATATAGCAGCGACCTTATTTTTCGGTGTGTGTTTTTGAAAGAGATTACATTTATTAACTATGGTTTCATCAAATGCTGTCTATTAGGTTTTGAATTCTTAGATTTGATCTCAAAAAGTGTGCAGTAAACTGTTAGTGAAGCCATAAACAGGCTCTCTGTCATTATTAAGCCAAATAATTCAGCCAAAGAAGTGGACAGCCTGAATCCTGATGAGTCTTTGCTGTGAATAGTTGTTGTTGGTTTTTTTGTATAGGAATAGAAGAAATGCTTTTTGGAGTTATGATTGTTACTGACCAGGACAAGTTTTATGTGTTTATGATGTTAAACATTTACAGTTTCTTCCTCGCTAAACGGTAGTGTAAAAGCTTTCTTTCCTTCAGTCTCTTTTCTGGTGCAAAGCTGCATTTTTGGCAAGTTCACACCAATCTGTTGATCAGGGGAATGGTGTGAAAGCTTTGGCAGTTTTACTGAGGAAGAGAAACAAAAAGTGAACCTTTCTACAACACGAGTCCATTTCCTCAGAGACTTGGTTCTCTGTGTGTATAAACACCTCTGCTTTTTTTCTGTTCTGGTTAATTTTTTATTTTTACAGGAGTGTATACATTTTTTATGGTGTTTGCAGAGTTGTTGAGTGTTTCAGCCCAGACGGGTCCGTCTCAGCTGTGAAACACAGCAGGAGACAAACGGGCGCACAGTGCAAGAAGGGAAATGTTGCTTCATCAGAGTCACTTCCTGAAGTTTCCTCACCTTCTTTGCTTAAAGTGACAGAGACCTTTGCTTTCTCTTTTTTTTTTTTTTTGTATTTTGCAGTTTTCTTTGCGTGATAGTTCTCATCACTAAAAGTAAACTTTGGGTAATTTGTGTATCATGTTAATGTCAAAAGAAGGTCACTAGGTGTTAGGGAAAGATTGAGTGTTTCAGGACTTCACAGAGCTAGTTTGAAACATAAATCTAATTTTTATCATAAAGCAGTTCAAGTTTGTGTGTGAAGCTCATATTCACACTGACACTTCACATTTCGTTTGCTTGTAACAGGTTATTGTGGTTATCATGCACAGAAGCAGGAAATGCATTATGATGAATAAAGGCACAGAAGAACACTGTGTCTATAATGTGTGATTGTACCATGTTTAAGACCCCCATGCTGGAAACCTTTTTTTTTTTTTTTCCACACTTGGCTAAGAAGGCCACATTGTGTGAACTCTTGTGGGCGATAGTGAGTGAAGCCTGAGGCTCTACTACAGAAACCCAGACGACAAATGATGCTTTTTCAATTCTACGAAACAGACCAAATTTAAGATTAAAGAAAGAAAAATGAATCTTTTAAGTGGCAGATAAATGAAAACAGATTTGAGAACAAGTGAGTAAAAGTTACAGAATCAAGACTGAATATAAAGCAACATAGACACGGATATTAGAGCCGCAAAAACTGCAGGTAATCAACAGTTGAATCTTGTGATTTTATCTGTTATGAGAAACAAAACCATCTATTTGTAACTTTCCTAGTGCTAGTTGCTATCTGTTATAAAAGAGAGAAGACAGCAAACAGCCAATCATGATAGTGACAGCGATTGTGATAAAAATCAAAATTAGCAGAATTTGTTTTTATGGTGATAATGTTTTTGGTAAAAACCACCCAGCTAGAACTGGGCGATTATATGATCGTGATCGATGATCGTCATAAATTTAAGTTCGATCACTGTGATCAGCTGAGAGCATATTTATGCGATCAAACATAGAGAAAACGTGCGTCACAACAGCCAATCAGAGACGAGCTGTTCCTGCTTACTTCTGTAAGTTGCCGGAGAAGTAAACAGGAGAAGTGAACAGAATGACCAAACATGGAGCTAAACGCGGAGCTGAGGGCAGCAAGATAGTTGTCAGCTGTGACTTTGAGTCATCCTCCGAAGATGATATTGTTGACAAGTTATTCAACGTCAGTTGTATGGTGGTGGTTCAGGTATCTCCAAAGTGACGTCGAGTAATTAAGCCGATGAGCATGGTATGTCCACGATCGGTGTCCTCAAAAACCAGCAACACAACAAATCTGTGTAATCATTTGAAGAAGTACCTCCCCAATGATTATGCAGAAAGCATGAAAATGTGGGCGGAGTCTGCACAGCGTGTCACTGCTGACGACATGAGTAGCATTAGCAGTTTAGCCACACCAGACCTAGGCAGCAATTAATCATATCATCTACGTTTACATCATCTAATGTTTATATTTAAGGCGTCTTTATTATCTCTGAGGGGGCGATTTGTTTATTTTGGGTCTTGCATACCTGCAAAAACACTCAGGACTGTAAACTAGTTCACTTTATTATTTAGTATTTAACTACACTTATTGTACTGTTGAGTTAAAATTGTTTTTTTTTTATATATTTTGCGGCCTATTCACTTTGCTTTGTTATTTACTTTGTATGTAAATAAAATGTTGAACTAATGTCTAGTTTCTTTAGTTTTTAGTACAGATGCTTTAAAACAGGCAGTTAGAAAAAAATCGTGATAATAATCGAGATCGGACGATATGACAAAATATATTGTGATCATTTTTTTTGCCAAATCGCCCAGGCCTCCACCCAGGCCCTAGTCTCTAAACTCATGTTTTGTCTAACCAGTAGTCCAGATTTCAAAGATATTTCATCAACATTTACAAACCATGGTAAAGTTGCAGGGCTGTTACAACCAAAGAATTTCGTATGATTGATAAAAAAAATGTGAAAATGTTGTTGGTAACAGGAAACTATCAGGAGCCACGAGCCAGTTCATGCAGAATATGTGTCTAGATCAGATAAGTTCATCAGATTTCAAAAAGTGCGTTCATACAGTCAAAAATAATCTGTATTCATATAGCATGAAGAGAATGTGATGAACTCTATGAAACCATGTTAAAGACTAATAACATGATGGATCAGAGTTGTGTTTCACTCTGCAGAGTGGATGCTGAATTCCACTGAAACAGAGTGAACAATCAGTGATGTGACTAATACTCAGTGTGACTCCATGTCACGCCACATTAGTTAATGTAAATATAAGACTGTACTGTAAATAGCATAATGTAAGGACCCTTTAATCCCCCTGTACCAATGCTTAACACTCGCTCTTTCCTGCACAGCGGCCTGCTGTGTGTGTGTGTGTGTGTGTGTGTGTGTGTGTGTGTGTGTGTGTGTGTGTGTGTGTGTGTGTGTGTGTGTGTGTGTCTGCTGTTTGAAAACCTGTCCTTTCACTTTGAGCTGCTTTCAAATCCTTCCCAAAACGCCGCACTCGATCACGTCTGTCTGTGTGTGGTGTGTGTGCGCACGGACGGTCATATCTGCACTCTCTCTGTACACGTTGCCCTTAAGCATAGTGAACTTCTCCCCTTCTTCCTTCAACCCAACCCCTTGAACATTGTCATGGTAACAGCCCTATTGCATAACACAGCGGCTGCAGTGTAAAGCCTTGTATTTCCATCTCCTTGGAAACAGACCCCCCCCTTCACTCTCTCTTAAACCCCCCCCTCCCTCTCCTCTGTGCGCCTTCCTGGGCACTGAGCATGCTCAGACAACAATGCAGAAGCAGAGGAAACAGGAAAGGCAGCTCAGAGCAGATTCACTGTTGCATACCAGAGCCTGCAGTCTGTATTAAGATAAGCGCAGAGATACAAGTGCTGGATCACATCATAAGAACAGAAAATCAGATGAATATTGTGTGTGCATTAGTAAAGATGTGTGTTGTTGAGGTTTTTAGGGCTACATTTACCCAGATTATCAGGGTTTAGTTGGCATGTTTTGTGCTGCATCATTCCTTCACAACCACTCCTGAGAAATTTGACCTTGTACGCGTTTATAGCTGAAAAAGACGAACATTTTCACCCTTCACAGACATGCCGATTATTATCTTGTACAAAAATTGAATCTTCGATCAATAAAAAATTGCAAAATTTCCAATTAAAGTCACTCAGAATTAAAAAGTAACACATTTTCTGTCGTAGAATAAAAGAAAAAATGTGTATCTGTTTGTGAAGCTGGGCTATTTATCTTTGTGGGCTATTATCTTTTCAACTCATTATCTAGTTGTTGTACACACCTCCCTTTTGTGTTAAATACAAGTGCCCTGCCAGTGTTTGTGCAGTTACAAATCATGGCCAGACGCTGTAGACGGGTGTCACTGTCAGCTGGCTCTCAGTATTTATCCCAGTGTTGTTTCCAGCAAATTCATGCAATCAAAACCAACGAAAAAGTAGACTTCATAAGTCCTGAGTGTTAGCAGATGTTTAAGTCCACCCTGCACTGATAAAGCCGAATAAGTCAAGGGTCTCATAGTAGTCACACACAGACACTTGAATACTACACACCAACGTTGGTGTACTTTGTACTTCCTCAAAAAGTTTGTGCTTTCACACGTCTGGACAAACTAATAAGGAACTGAAGGGCTTGTCTTAGTAAACACTATAAAATGAGGAGTTCACAGAGATGGTCTTCACCTTTTCTGCACCAACGTTAGATGAACCTCCTTCTGCAACATCCAACACAGACTCCTTTACATTTTCTATATTTTGAAAGGCTCTTGTAAAGGGTTACTGCCAGCAACGAAATCATTATCCTTTGTCCGAATGTAGAACAGTTTCGTAAATCATTCTGGACACATGGAGACTGCTAAGACATCTTGCTTATGCGTTTACTCAGAGCATGAGAAAAAAGTCCTGCAGGCTGTATCATTGTCTGTTCTAAAAACAATCCCATGGTCTGTCGGTGCCAAACTGGCTCTGCTCCGGATCAGATCTTCTTCGCTCTGATGAATAAGTCTTGTAGCAGCTCCGTGCTCCTCTCTCCACCAGGGTATCTGCTGCTGCTTCTGCTGCAGTACAACAGTTACATGGAGGACTTTTTTTTTTTTTTTTTTCCTCCCACACACACACATTCCTCTCACACAAGTGGAAAGGAAGGTCACTCATATTTCCCTCACAGAAGGCTGGCACACTTGTGTTTACATTTCAGTCCCTTCACCACCATCACTATAGCAACTCCTTTTCTTATTCTGTCGTACCGTGTGGGCGGTCTTCTGTCATTCCTGTTGTTTGTAATGTGCAGAAAATAAAATAAAATCACACTTGGCTCGATGTAAATGAGGCTGCTCAAGAACTTCAGGAAACCATTAGCATGCATGTTTTCTCTCTTATTATTTACCCTTGGTTGAGATTTAGCTTTTGTGATGGCAGCAAATTCTGATTCAGATCAGACCACCTAGAAATAAGTTTTTGTAGTATGAAGCAGTTCTTTGCAAATCTCATGAGTCAGCTCATGATGTGTTGATTGGGCTTTGGTTTTGATGCCCCAGTTGCTGTTAGCTGATAATGTCTGGCTAGTTTGCAGACCACATCCGGACTGATGTTTGTGGCTCTGAAATAAGTGGCATGAATAACCTGTTCATGTTTCTCACAGCACTCAGAGGAAATGTCAGAGGACCTTTTTATTTGCATTTAGTGGCTTTCAAAATAGAGATCATTAAATTTAGTCGCCAGTTTTAGCCTCAATAGTGTTGGATTTAAAAATATCTCAACCTGAGTTGGAGTGAGGAAGTGAAAACAGGCAGAGAAGAGTGCGAGAAAGTCAACAGTAGACATGTCTGTACCTGGGAAAGTGTGGAGGAGTGGAACTGAACAATTAGTCTGCTGGGTGTAGACGCCCTCCAACAATCAGCCAGACATTTTCTCACACCTGAAACTGTATTTTTATTTCTCTTAATTTTACTGCACCGTGCTTCATTTGTGGAAAAGGGCTCTATTACAGTATAATCTAATTCTCCTGATACAAAAACTCTCAATTATAGTCATTGGCTATCATCCTGTCGTATTGGCAGACTCATTAAAGGCACCTGAACCTTCCAGCTGTTAGGAAGCTGCTGTCTCAGCACAGCGGTAGAGCACAGAAAACAATTAAAATAGTGCAGAGTGAACAAGAAAAAGGAAATAATTGCAGTGATCATTAAACATGTTGGTGCTTGATGGTGCAAACTGGTCCAAGCTTTGCCCCTAAAAGAAAAGACCTGCAGGCAAAAACATGTAGCCTACAGCTCTTATTCATTCAGCTAAAGGCTTAGTGCGTATGAATAGATGTAATTGTTTATTTCTGACGCGAGATAATGTTGGTAACTCATTTACTTTTTCTGTTCCATCAAATATAGACGCCTTAAATGTCTTTTGAGCCTGAATATAAGATGTTATTTTGTAGAATGATGTCTAAAAAAGTTTGATTATCTGATATTCCGTCTCTCACTTTTACCCTGACACCTGTCTTGACTCAAAGGTGCTGCTGCTGCTTCTTGGTTGGAGAGTCTGGCTGTTCTCTGAAGTGTCAGAACAGATCAAGCACAGGACTGGGATTCAGTCTACAGTGTTGTTGGTCACTGATCACTCTGATACTCTGCTTTTTTTAACCCACCACAACGTCTGCTCTGGTGTTAGAGGAAGTACATCTCTATTGCATGAGCACCAGAACTAAAATATGTGTGTGGCAATAACAAAACAAGTGTGTAAACGCATGATGATAATACGGTGAGTCCTTGTCATGGCAGATTAGCTATTCTTGGGTAATTTTTACTCGTATTGTGTGTGAAGTGATCATGTTAAATCAAAATGTCAGCAAACTATGGTTGCAGACTACTACTACTACTACTTTTAGAATCATTTTTGAAAATACCTCCTTTCTATTTTAGAAAACAGTATTTTAGTCTGGAAACATAAATAATTTTTTATGCTTTAATTTTCATTTCCCATACTTTTTACACCTGGAAATTGGTCAAATTTATTTCCATACTTTTCCAAACTTCTGTGGGAATCCTGTCAAATACTAAGTAATTCTCTTAGCCTTAAAGCTCACATTTGATTTAATACTCAGTTACTACAGAATATGACTTTAAGGTAAATGATTTACTGCTGGTTAAACTTATAGTTCACAGAGCTTTTCTTTTGAACCCTTTTGTGTTTTTTTTGTAGTTTTTTTTATTTTTTTACCTTTAAGATATTTCTACATTTTGATTAATTTGAAACCACCAACATTAGTATTTGAGCCCTGGTCTGAAGTTGTACAGCTCCAGTCTTAGGAAGGGTTATACTGCGAACTCTGCCTGTAATGGTGTGGGAAACCAAAGTCAGGCCGGGTTTATCTTGATCAGGAAGTGAGAGCTCTTTGTCTCTCTCCCTCTGGCGTGCTGCAGCACACTTGAGGTGCATTGTGGTGTGCTGCACAGGGGCATGGCCTCGTCATATTTAATTTCACTGCATCCTCTCTGCTGACTTGCAATAGTTTGGACCTGTTCTGGCCTCTGATTCAGCTGAGCTGTGTCATCATGCTAAACTGGTCAGGTATCATTGCTTGGGAGTTTTGTTTCACTCCTACATTCCTGATCCTTTGTTTATCATGCAGATACTGCAGCAGTCTAACTGCTTACATCAGAGGTGTGTTTTATGTGTTTGAAGACACTGATAACACAAACCCAACTTTTCCTGCTCGATTCTTTCACAGTAAAAGCTCTTCAACAAACCAACAAAAGGGAGTGTTATCTGTCAGGGTTAGTTTCTGATCAGTCAAACTTTCTCAGCACAGCAAAACATGAATTAGATTTTCCTGCTCTTATGATCATAGCAGTGAAAACAAACCTGCTAAATGTCATCAAGCTGTTAAACCTTTGCTTTGGATTTCTGGTTCAGTGAACAGAACTGCATCACATGATACAGGGGCCAGGCACAGCTTTGTGTCACACTCCAACTTTTTGCAGCTTTTTTTTTTTTTTCTTAGCAAAGGTCTGTTAGTAATAGTAAAACTGATTTATTTGCCACATCAGATGCTGTTCAGAGAACAAAAAAACAACAACATGCAACAGGAGATTAAAACATATGCATCACTATTTTTATAGCTGAAACTATGTCAAGAATGGGTGGAAACTGCATGGTGACGCAGATCATGGTCCCTGTGGAGCTTTAAAGTCTAAAATGAAATGTTTTAAGTTTAAGGCCTTCACAAGTCTTCACTGTTATGTGTTTTAGTACTTAATCAAACCTACTCTCCACAGTTAATATTTGATGATATTAAATTAAAGGTTAATCTGTTTGGGGCTCTGTCATTATGATTGAATTTATTTATTTATTTAACTTATTTTTTCTATTTTATTTTTTCCAAACATGTGCGTGCAACACAAGAAAGTAAACTGAAAACAGACAAACAAACAAAAGCAATGAAAATATTCAAAACAACACTAACAATAATCAAAGCAAAGATAAACAAACTACTACTAATAATAATGTGAACCCAATATGTCTGAAAAGTAGTAGGATGAAGCATTATGCTTATTTCAGTCTACCCCTTTACATTACATGTACAAAAAATAGAAAATAAATAGAGTAATATAATGGAGTAAATAAAAAATATCAATTTTTAGCATCAGCAAAACAGTAACTGTATGGGACAACAGACTGCAGTATTGATATGTGCAGTGCTCTTTAATGTCAGGTGTCATCCTTTTCTGGATCATGGCGTCTAATCTTCGGCTTTTGTGTCTCCTTAAACCTCTAGCTCTGCCTATGACCGGGACAACAAGATCCGTGTGGCCATCAAGAAGATCAGCCCCTTTGAGCACCAGACGTACTGCCAACGCACCCTGAGAGAGATCAAAATCCTGCTGCGCTTCAAACATGAGAACATCATCGGAATCAACGACATCATCCGCACACCCACCATCGACCAGATGAAGGATGTGTATCCTTTCGACCCAGGATCAGATCCAGATTATACAGTCAGAGACGTCAGGACATGGTCTGATTGTTTCACTGTGTAATGATCATTTAGTTTCTCATGGTTTACCACAGACGCTGTGTTTTATGCTAATATTTTCAACAGTCAGAATGACTTCTTTGTGCTGCCAGTGAATTGGTCTCACACTTTGGTGTTTGTAGTTCATTCTTGTTTTTCAGTTGTATTTCATTACGTAATGGCCACCTGTCACCTTGTATTTGGCAGGGACACGCTTCGCTGTTGCCCAGAAACAACAGTGGCAAACTGGTTTGAGCCCATAGTTACTGTCAGTTTCATAAATCACCGTGGGAAGTTCTATACTCCTCTTTACCTAAAGGAAATATCTGTGACTTTAGCTCTCGGCTAATCATCTCACGCTTCCTGCTTTCGTGATAACTCAAGCTATCACCCACAAACCCCTCCAGATACAGTATCTTTCTGTCACAGAGATAATGTCTCCTCTGAGAGGTGGCAGAACATACTTTCAGCATGTTGTAGCTGTAGGAACAACACGTTTAACCACCATTACACCTTCAGACAGGAAGATTTCAAGGTTGTCTGAAAGACGAGTCTGCTCGAGTCAGAACTGATGTACTTCTTGAAAAGTTGTAAGCCCATTGCTGATGAAATCCATCATGAACAAGCCAGTACAACGTTTTTATAGGTTGGCTGCTACGGCTCAGGATTACAGGATCAGTAAATCATGGGCTATTCCTTGCATTTCAAACAACTTTATTAATCCCTTTAGGAGCAAATGATTTGTAGCAGCTTGTTTATAACAGGCATAAATAAGTACAGAGAATTATAGACAACAGGAAATTATACATAGGGGCTAAAATGAGAAATTGAATTTACAATGAATACTGATATTTAACTGACTGATCAATCAACAAATGAAGAGAACAATAAAAAGGAATACACTTTCAAAGAAGTGAATCACTGATATGACGACAATCTAAGTTGCTCAAGTGTAAAATTTTGGCTGGTTTAACTTCTGCGCTCTGATTGTCTACATAAAGATCCCACATTGTAGAACAAAACTATACAAGCCTGATAAAGGCAGTATGTGAATGTGTTGATTCAGAGTGCATTGGTCATGTATTTCCTTAACTCAGCTGCGTGCAGATATATCGTCCAGGATCTCATGGAGACAGACCTGTACAAGCTCCTGAAGACTCAACACCTGAGCAACGACCACATCTGCTACTTCCTCTACCAGATCCTCCGAGGGCTTAAGTACATCCACTCTGCCAACGTCCTGCACCGTGACCTCAAGCCCTCCAACCTTCTGCTCAACACCACCTGTGATCTCAAGGTAGAAGCTCAAAGAGACGCCAACATGATTAAAACCTGTAATCAGTGACTGATAATCCCGAGTTATATAAATGATTCTGAAGTTTAGCGTTGAACCTTGTTGTTTTATATCAGAGCGAAACGTTCAATGAGCCGCTTGTCATTTCATGGACAGTGAAAAACTGATTGTTCTGTAACTCCTCCTCCTGCAGATCTGTGATTTCGGTTTGGCTCGTGTGGCTGATCCTGACCACGATCACACCGGTTTCCTAACAGAGTATGTAGCCACTCGTTGGTACCGAGCACCTGAGATCATGCTCAACTCCAAGGTGAGAGTCTTAACCTGCCTGAAGTTTAACATCGGCTCTCTGTGATAAAAGGATGATCGAGCTTTGTGTTTCTTTGTCTGTCGGTTTACTAACGATTATAATGTGTTATGTACTACAGTTGATCTTTTTAAAGAGTGAGGCACCTACACTGTGCTGGCTTAACTTGGAACTTAGTTTTTCATCAATGAAATAATGCTAATTATATTGTAGACATAATTTAACTGGTTTTTAATTATGACTGCTTTATACTGAAGTCGTCACTGTCTCTCTCTCTCTTTTTATTTCTCTCTCTCAGGGCTACACCAAGTCCATAGACATCTGGTCAGTGGGTTGCATCCTGGCTGAAATGTTGTCTAACAGGCCAATCTTTCCGGGGAAGCACTACTTGGATCAGCTCAACCATATTTTGGGTAATTTATTTTTTAATATCTGGTGTTTTTAGGATTGCTGTGGTGCTGCTGTAGTGTGATGATTCACCAAGTTCAAAGTCAAATTTCTGTAAATTAAAATTTGCATAATTGCAGAAGTGTTCACAAGTACTCTCGGGCTGTGTCTGAAAGTTCACTTTATCTCTGCTCATGTTTTCTTGGGTAATGGATTAAGCTGGGGTAAAAGTCGGTCAGTTAGAGCTTTCAAAAGCCATCCTCTTTTGTCTCAGATAATCAGATTACCTTTCAGGATTTGAGAAACCAGAGATAGTCACATTTAAAAAGCTTGAATTCTGAATACTTAATTTGTTGTCTGTCCTCTCTCAGGCCTGTCTGTGGACCATTATTATGTCATATGCTTATTCCATGTGTCTTTTTTCTGTGATCGGACTGACATTTTTTCACATGAAAACCTTCAAACGTGGCTAAAAACTTAGAATGAGAGCTTTGTGAAACAGTGACCAGCACAGTAACTGTCGTGGTTTTAATCCTCTGCAAAAACTGCTCTTCTATCTTCAGGGGTCCTGGGTTCTCCCTGTCAGGAGGATCTCAACTGCATCATCAACATCAAGGCCAGGAACTATCTTCTGTCGCTGCCTTCACGCACCAAAGTGCCGTGGAGCCGCCTCTTCAACAATGCCGATCCCAAAGGTCAGCGTCTCTTCATATACGCACGATTTCGACCTGCCTTTAAATTCCAGTGATATTAGAAATCTGTCCACTGGTCAGAGCTCTCCTTCGTCTGCACACAACTGCTCATCATTTCCTCCGAGGATTCCTGGACAGAATCTCATTTTATTTGGAGAGTGCAGGGACAAATCCGACCACTAGAACAGCCAAACAAAATTAAAGCCCTGTTCACATCCCTGCCTCCAAGAAATTTCAAGACATGATGTAAAAGAACATAGTGACCATGCTGTGTTAATGTGTCCTTTTTTTTTAATGGTGGGTGAAGTAAAGTGTAATGCTTTGATGATCAGTTATTCCCTTGCCTGCCCCTGATGTTTGCCTGGACTGTCTTGCCTGGACTTTCTTTCTGGTTTTTATTGACACATGCAGCTCAAAAGAGGCAAAAACGGTGTCAGGTCGAAGCAGGCATGATGTTTTAGTGTAGCTAAGTAGGACTAAGGAGAATACGAAGCAATTTTCACACTCTTTCAGTTCAACCTGTCACTGGCAGGTACACAGAAATATCAACAGTTTTGATGATATGTTTTTGTTTCCTGTAATGCTAAGATGTAAGGAGTGACAGTCAAGATACAGTGCAGCAGGTAGCTTCAAGATAATGATAATAATAATAACAACAACTTTATTTATATATCACCTTATAAATGAAACAAACCAAGGCAGAGACAGACAAAGGAAAATTGACAGTTGAAAATGGACAGCTAAATATTGGCGGTTGATGGTTGACGGCATTACATCAGGAAGGTGAAAAAGAAGAAGGTGGATAGAGGACAGATAAAAGAGAGAGAAAAAAATACATAGATAATAAAATAAGATAAGGTAAAATAAGAGTAATAATTAAAAGAGAGGGAATGTTACGGCAGCGTAGAGCTGCCAGACCAAAAAAATAAAAACCGAGAGGCTCAGTATCACGTAATTACGTGAAAGTTTATTGTTATAACAATATCGTTTCACGTTAGAACGTAAAAATATCACGTAATTTCATGATATGAAGTTTTCATGTTATAACGTTAAAGTATCGCGTTATTTCAAGATATATTTTCACGTTATAACGTGAAAGTATCACGTTATTTCATAATATGAAGTTTTCATGTTATAACGTGAAAGTATCACATTATTTTACTGTCTGCTGGCCATCTGTAAATCATGGCTCCTTTACATTATGCCATTAGATTGAGGCTTGAGACATGGTGAGATTTTAGAGTTATTGGGCTCAGTGGATGAGATTTATATAAGCATGCGTACCCTGAGAAGAATTTTGAAAACAATGGGGTTATACCGGAGGAAAAACGAGTCGGACCCTCTTGAGGTAGCGTCATTCCTCATTGATCAGCTGGAGGGACACGGCCGGCTGCATGGATACAAGCTCCATCACCTCAACTGCATCCAAGCTGAAATAACGCGATACTTCCACGTTATAACATGAAAACTTCATATCATGAAATAACCTGATATTTTTACGTTCTAACGTGAAAAGATATTGTTATAACAATAAACTTTTCACGTAATTACGTGATAATGAGCCCCCATTTTTTTTCTCTCGATGTGGCAGCACCACGCTTCCATAGAATGTATTAAAACATGAGAAAATGGTAAAAACAGGATTAAAATTAATACTAATAAGATAAATAACTGAGAAGGTTAAACAAGAGGTATGCAGGCAATAAATAAATCATGCGTCATGGAAAGGCATCATGTAAAAGCAAGTCTAAAAAAGTGAGTTTGAAGATTTGTTTCAAAAGATGTGACTGATTGATGTTTTCATTTTGAACTTGCAGCCAAAGATTGATCACGTAGCATGACACTTTTTCTCATTTCTGCACAAAAGGTCATGAACAGATCGTGTGCACCTGCTGAGATATTCCCCTCTTTTCAGAGCACAAAACTTAGTTTGGTCAGTTTTCACAAGCACTCCATCTCTTGAGTAATTTTGCAAGTTGTGTTGTAGTGATTTCATAAATACTTATAAATTTGAAGAACTGTTTTGAACCTCCAAAAATAAAATCCACAGTCACCCTGGGTGTGATAGCGTCCTCTAGTGGACAGGAAAGCTCAGTATGGTTCCGAAACCACCTTGGATAAACAAAGCCTTATCCTTGTCTCGTGTTCTCATCCTTGTGTGGCAGCTCTGGACCTACTGGACAAGATGTTGACCTTCAACCCTCACAAGAGGATCGAGGTGGAGGAGGCTCTGGCGCACCCCTACCTGGAGCAATATTACGACCCCACAGATGAGGTGAGACTTTTGTGTGAGAGGCCCTGAGAAGACATGAACAATTAAGACAGCATCTTTATAGTTTAAAGAGTTTACAAGTCTCCGCTGTGTGTGTAAAACAATATGTCCTCTTTCCTGTCTCTCTGTGCAGCCTGTTGCTGAGGCCCCCTTCAAGTTTGACATGGAGCTGGATGACCTACCCAAAGAGACACTGAAGGAGCTGATCTTTGAAGAAACTGCACGTTTCCAGCCCGGTTTTAGGTCCTAACGTCTCACACAGGTGAGCCCAGGTCCCTGCAGACTGCAACATAAACAGAGAGACAGAGAGAGAGAATATTTATAACTACAGCCGAAAAACAATGTTGTCATAGGCTGCACTGAAGTCTTCAAACTACCCAACTTTTAAATGTCAAAAAGATCAGGATGATTCTCGCCGCAGTCCCACCTCCACTACTTAAAAAAACACAGCAGCGTTGAGTGTCCATCATGAAAACTACTTTGAGCTCAAAAACATGGAGTGAGTGGTGTTCAGCTTCAAAAACGACTGATTCAGTCCTGCTAAATTTAACAACTCACCGCATAAGAGCCAAAGTAAAGACCTCACTGAGGACACACAATATAGATTTGAATTTTGCTTTTGCAGAGTGTGAGAAAGAGGCTCTTCAGCGGGATAAAAGCACTTTGAAAAACACCTATCTAAACTGGTACTCTAGAGGAAAACCATCAAGAATCATCTGCTTTAGAAACTGCAGTAGTGCTGGAGTTTACATAGTTCAGACACGAGAGGATGAGCCAGTGTTTTAATTTTAGAGTAACTTAAATATAACCTCTGAGGTAATAAACCTCCTCCTTTAACTGTGTAATGTGTAATGTTGTGATAAACTAATCTAAGACAAACATCACTTATCAGTTGAATTGTCCGAAAACTTACTCATTGACTCCAGAAAGCATAGATTTCTGGAGTAACAGGTCATTGTTTATCTTGATTGAAGCCTTGCAGATGAGGTTTCCCTTATTTACAGTGCTGTCAAGAGAAGAGAAATGCTCAATCACAACAAATAAGGCACAACCAAAATCATATTTTTTAAAGGTCAGAGTGAACATAAGGGACCTTAAATGTGAGTAAGTTTTGTAAGGGTACACTGGTTCAGTTTAGGACGGATACAGGTGTTCAAACATGTGGATCCATCTGTGTTGTCTTGTTATGTTCATAGCATCAAATATGACTGAAAACTTACAATCTTTCCATCACCAGTTAGTTTTGCTTGTGATGAACGTAGGAACAAAATATCAACAAAAAGACGAGCCACTTTCTGTGCAGGCATTAAACAACCAAGATGTCGCGGACATTTACTGTTACAAAGGTCAGAATCTAAAAGAGCATTAAGCGATAACGTCATCATTTCCTGCAGTAATGACACTCCTCAGATGACGTGTCCATCCCCCCAATCTTGACTAACCACCAGCTGCTCGCTGTCAGGGCCTGTGCCTGTGATAATAACCATCAGTGATGTGTTTCATAGCCTGTAATCTGCTTTGTGTCCGAGTATGCAATTACTGTTTCCCCTCTGCAGGGCTTCAATCTGTAACAGTAGTCCCCTTAAAAAGAAAAGCAAGTGTGGCGTCCAGTAAATGAGAACATCAGAAGTTACGTTTGTTTGTGCAGCTTGAACATGTTTTCAGTTCTTGATCAGTTATTTCTCTATCTTTGAGCTCTGTGTACCTTCGACTCGACAAACAGGCAAGAGTTTTCAGCTGTAGTTTGATTGTAATCTAATCTAATCTAATCCAAGTGCAGATGAACCAAAGGTTAGAAGCACTGCAGCTCCAGAGAGCAGATAAAGAAGTGTCTGACCAATCTGACAACATGAGGGCATCTGTAGAACAAAGAGAAAATACGGAAACACTTCAGAAAAAAGGAGACAAAAAGACTTTAAGGAGACAGTAAAAAGTGATGCTCACAACTGGAACAAACGGGAGGTATCTATGGAGGACAGGGAGCTCAAGAGCAGAGTTACAGAAACCTGCTTTATAGACTATTTGACGCCTTGTTAGACGCTGATAATGTCAGCAACTTCAGCACATTGAATAAAGTACTGGATAAACCCAAATTCAGGCTTTACGCTTAAAAGTGAAGTAATTGTTTCAGCTCATCCCTTTATCTCTGTTTCTTCTCGTTACAGATGACTCTGTGGACTGGCTTCTGCGTTGCCACTGCTCCTCCCCGCCTCCACACTGTTGCTGTGATGGTTTTCCTTTCTTTTTTTTTTGTCTTTTTTTTTTCCCCTCTCCTGTTGTCCACATCACCTGGATTCCTTGGGTCTCACTTGTCAAGTCCACTTTGCTCAGGAATGGCGTCAGGAATCAATCAATCAAATGATCATCCTCTGCCTCTCTATCTTTCTCTTCTCTCTCTCTTTGTCTTTCTTTGAGGTGAGGGGGGAAGGGGAGGAGATGGAGGGTGGGTTTTCACGTCACAGCTTACAGTGTGTGTGTGTGAGGGGGGTGAATTTGTGTTTTAAGCCAAGATAAACAATTTGTGTGTGTGTCTCAAAGGCGTTTGGCTCTGGCTATTCCTATACAAGACCTTCTCTGTCCGGTTGAATGACAGTGATAGATTAGCTGTTGTGTTTTCGGTGCCGCTGTCGTGGTTATAACTCTGCCTGCATTGCACAAAAACATCAGACGATTACTTAAAAGAATCATCCATCATTAAAAAAAAAAAGGAAAAAAAAAAAAAGAGGTCTTTTGAATTTTCTAACCTTTGTCGCACTGTTACAAGGGATACCTTGCCTCTGTCTTTACTCTCTCTTTGGAAAAGGTAAAATCCCAAATTGATTTATGCAATGAAATCACATAATCAAGCAGATACTTTGCAGGCCACAAGCCATCACTTAACCTTTTACTTTAATTCTTAACACATACACACTCACACTTACACACACACACACACAAAGACCCAAATGCAAGTATATACATATAAATATAAAAATAATTATAAAAATACATATAAATATATATCTATAGCCCAAAGAGTCTTAACATATTATAAAGGCAAAAGTGATGATAGATGGTTAATCAGACGAGTTTATAACCTTTTTTTCTTTGTACTAAAAACAAAAAAAAAGCCCGTTTTCATTCCTCATCGGCTTCAGTGAGGCGTCAGTCTGTGTATAAGTGCGTAAAAATGGAAAGGTTTCCCCTCTTGTGTCTGCCTTAGCCATGAGAAACTATAAGGAAAAGTCTGTTTAACTCCTTCAAGTCTGTATGTACAGTAAGATATGTTCATAAAGGGTAAAATTAAGATGATCACAGATCTTGTTTCGTCTGGAGGAAGTGTTGTCAGGCCTCCCTCCTCGTTCCGTTCCACGTTTTTCTTTCTCTCCTTCAGTCTCCGTTTATCTCTCTCTCGCCTTGTTAGAAGAAAACTGTGCCCTTTGCATGACTGTTATAAGCTCTGTATACAAAGACGACCATGTTAAAGTGCCACAGACCGAACCAGGAGAAGAGCGCCCAGGCTCTTTGTGTTCCAGCTTTTGTGGTATATCACACGCAACAATCACATGGTGCTTTTTGTTTCTCCTTTCTTTCGCTTCAGCGCTCACTTTTTTAATCATTTTCTGTCGTTGGAGTGTACAGATGTCAGTCCCCTTGGCTTTAGCTCAGCCTCTATCTGCATGCTGACGTCATCTTGTGGTTGCAAACAGGAGGGCGACTCTGTACTGTCTCTATTTGTAACATTTGTTTCCCCGACCAGAGAAAAGTTATGCTTAAAGCTTAACAGGTCATGTTTTCAGTTTAATCTATATGGACATGTCATTGCTTTAAATTACACATTTTTACTCTGAAGACATTTGGCAAGTTTTGGTACCAGCAGACAAACGCAGTAGAGTTTCAAAAGGACAGAACTTGAAATGAAAGTAAAACCATATTTTGAATTCTTGACTGTTGAATTTTAAAGATTTTCTTTCAAGCGAGAAACACCGAGCTGCATCAAACAATGGTGTCCCACAACCTTAGCGTCACTGCAGCCTTCAAAAGCTGCCATTTGATTTTAACAACAAGGGCCTCAAATACTGTATATCTTCATCGTTCACTTAGCCTAGTCTGTATCTAAACATCAAAAGTTCATTTGGTTATGTTTGAGTGATACATTTATTGAAACTAAGAGGTATTATTTTGAACATTAAAGCGTCTTTTAGTCATATAAAATTCAAATCTACCTAAATCACTTCAAAAAATTTTGCTGGCACTTAAAGAAACTAGGGATTGAAACCTGTAATAAGACCTTAAAACTACTATCAAGATGCTTCTTCAAAAATGACATTATGTGGACTGTGATCAAAGTGTTGGTCAAGTTTTTAACTCAAGAAATTAATGTTTCTGTAAGATTAAATGTAACCCCAAACTCAAGTTTTTGTACTTCTTCAACGTCTGCAAACACATCCACAAGCACATTTGAGTTCTACATTTGTTTCTCGGAGGGCCAAGCCGCTCTTGTCAGTTGAAATCCCAGTGGACAGAGCCAAAGATCTACAGTGTAATGTCATGTTTACTTCCTTTTCTTTTTGGCTGAATAATGTTGACTCAGACTGAGTGGGAAAGTAGGGGCTAACGGAGCATGCTAATGCTCTGCTGTTTTGCTCTCAAGCCATAATGGGTCAGTCAGTTACTCTGCTGCACCTCTGACCACGCCCACCAGTTATGTCACTGTGTTCTGACACGCCCTACATCACTGCAGCCAAGTGAGACTTTAAACCTCTGAAAATGAGCAAAAACAGGAGTCAAGGATGAACTATAGCTCTTAAAAACGAAGCTGTTATTAATTTAGTAAGCCAGCTGATTTATTTTTCTGTAAATGTTTATCATTCCCAGCTTGATTTTATGAAAGAGCTATGTAATTTGGTACTAAATCTAAGTAAATTAGAGCCTATCTTTAATAGGGCTGAAACAAAGGATAACTTTTGTCTCTGTTCAGTGTGAGGATTATCACACAAAAAAATACTAAGTCGGAGTCCAAGCTGAAAATATGTGTTGATAACCTTTTTCTAATCCCAGCAACAGACAAAAACAAAGATATCATAGAAGCAGTCGTAGAAACAAGTATTGTAGGAATCCCTAACTAGCTAATGCCTCTCAGTTCAATGGAGGACTTGTCGTTTTTAATTTTTAGTCAATGAAAGATCAACTTTTTCTTGTTCAATTAGTCCATTTCTGTGATAAATTCCACATACCAGACTATGGTCCCATGGCAGTCATCTTTTTTGTGACATCTGGAAGAGCTTATATATTGTTAACATATTTCTTAATCTTAAAGCTGTTTCGGGCTCGTACATTTTATCAACATCAATAATCTGACAAACTGCTGTCTTTTCACTGCTCCCTGATTAATTAGCAGCAAATGGATAATGAGAATCCAGAGTCACATCAAGCCATGTTGTAACGCTCCTGTGAGGAACTTTTGGTTTGTGTTGATTCTGGCGCCCCCTGTGGACAAAAATATACCTCTTATTTCTTTACCAGTTTTGTCCTGTTTGAGTGCGGTTCTTTTATTACATTCAGGCGTAGTGTTCATTAAAAATCTTTGCCGTGGACAATGCAAGCGGCCTTTCACTCTGACACCTACCCCTGCCAGCGATTTAGACGTTAAAATGAACCTCTTTGAAATAGTGTCTCTTTGCCTCTTCAGGAGCTGAAAAAGCTAACTAGACCACTGACATCACTATTGGTTTAAGTCTGTTTTTAACCAGTTTAAAACTACTTACCGGAGCTTTAAGTTAAAAAAAAAAAAATAATAACTTTAAAACCCCACTAATATTTGCATTCAGCCACAACCAGGTCAACAACTACATTTCTGAGCGACAACTATGTGTCAGATGGTTGATGTTTGTATGACTTGGGATACAGCAGTGAGACATGATAGCATTATTACAGCTACCCACTGTTAAAGTGGAGTTACAAAACAGCGGCCACCATGGAAATATAGCCTGTCTATAGACTACATAGACTCATAGACTACATAGTTCTATTAAAACAATAAACTCCTAGCCAGATCATTGTCAAAAAATTTTTGATTTGATTGATAAATTTTATTCCAAAAACCAACCAGTTTTGTTGAGCTGGTGCAATTTAAACACCTGCCTTTTAACTATCTTTCAGTGATACATTACTTACAAATTTCCCTGTGCTTTCTGGGAAACATTCAAAAATGAATCTGGATCATATCCACCTGGAAAAAAAAACAAAAACAGTTCTGTTGACTGACATTCAACTTATCTATGAGACATCTGATGACTTTTGAAAACAGATTAAACCTCTATTGCAGAAATAACGGTTTTACACTCATGAATTTCCTCACACTCTGTACACCTGTCTGTCACACACATCTACGATTTGAAATGCACTTGCTTCTACAGTAGTTGGGATGGGAGTTGTAATCCAAGGTGCCTGCCGGGACTTGACTTACCTGTAGATAGACTTTTTGGGGGATTTAGTTTGAACATTTAGGGCACTGGAAACCTTACTGGGATTAGTTGTATAAAAAAAGCTTCTGCTGAGTTCTTTGTGCGACCTGTCTGTTTGTGCCTTTTTTGATAGTCTTGATATCCAAGATTTTGATGTGCAGCTTTTGTTTAGTCGGGAATCCGTTGTAATTGCAGTATACGCTCTTTAAAATGAACACAATCAAGTCTGTGGGTTTTGGGCGGGATCGCGGGTGGGTCTCCTTTCTTTTCTTTCAGTTAATGTAAATTTTAAAGAGATTTGTTGCCACAGCTGTGTGATTTGTGACTGTATTGAAAAGATGAAAAGCAAACATTTATATTTTTTGCGTTACCCTTTTTCCTTGAGCCTTTTTTTTCTTTTTTGGATGTTTTTGTGCAGATATTTTTATTGTAAAATGAATGTTATGTTTCTATCAGACACTAATCTTGTTTGAGTTGTCTCCAGTGGAACTACTTCACTCTGTATGTTTTGATCAGTATAAACCTTTAATTGTGTAGTTAAACATTTCTGAAAGAGATAAAAATGAATAAAAAATAAAAAAGATCCTTGGTTGTATTTTAAAGGTTCCTGTTTGAACTGCCATAGAAACTGCTTAAAGCGGTCAGTCAGTTTTATTTCGCTGTCGTTTGAAAGATCCGACCTGAACGAGGCATTTCTATAAAGGACTGACTGCCACTTAGAAAAAATCATTTTTTTTTTTATTTCTAAAAGCTTTTCTTTCTTTCTTTCTTTTTTTTTTTTTTGTTGTTGTTTGTTTTGCATCTCTGCCATGACATTTCAATAGACGTTCATTGAAGACACTGTACCTTCATTAACATCTCTGAAGTCTCTGTGTTGAAGACACGACTGGCATGTTCACAACAGTAAGCATTTGAGACAACTTCTGTACCTGCTGTCTGCATCTATCCTTACATACAAGAGTGCAAAATAAAAGTTTCATGGAGCGACACAGTATACAATTAAATGTGTTTAATGAAATGACTGAAAATTCTTAATAAAAATGCTGTATTACTCCAAAAACATTAAGTGGAGTTTTTCTTTTCAACCACCTTCAGTTTTCTCCATATTAAAGAATAACTGTACATCATTGGAAAGGCTTACTTTGCTTTTGCGTGGCAAATTTTGAAGAAATTTGATGCACAGTGATATTTCTACTCTCAAAATGAGTTTACTTACACAGATAGCTTAAACAAAATCTGAGTCTGGGCCTCTTTGGACAAATACACATCGCTGCCAATCTGGTACCCACATCTCAAGGTAGTGTATTCTGATAAAACTCTCCTCTTTTTTGACATGAAATACGGCTTACTGTGTATATTTCTGTAGATAACGTAAAATGTTGCTGTTTAATGGTTGTTGAGTGGTTACGCTACTCAAAGGTTTGTTAGCACATGCAGCATATTTATCGTGTTCCTGTACTTAGCTAACTGTAAACCAGCTTATTGGGTTATTTTTCAGTTGACAGTCATTTTTATCGACATGTCTGTTCTTCCAAGACTCTGTCTTCATGTGTGAACAAAAAGTAAATACACATAAACTGAGCTAATTTAAGAAAATATGAGCAAACAACTGCATGTTGTAGTTTCGAGCTGTTGAGGTTATATCTCCTTGGGAATGCGAGAGGTCGTTTCCATGACAACAGAGCTAAACAAGAGGAGATGTTTTGCTGCCAACCCTTTAAAAAAACAGTAAGAATCAGCTCTCTTTTGCACAACTAAAGATAAATGCAGCTTAATAGAATAGTTTGAGTAACTTTGTGTGCGAGAAGAAAACTATAAAGCTCATATATATCATGATAATGTATTGTTTCTGCTTTTATTAAGGCAAAGTTATTGAGTGGTGTAAAGATGAGACTTAATTTCTTCAGGCTGCATCCTAAAGGCTAAACTAAAAGTCTTTCAATTGAGGCTTTAGGATTTTGAATTAGCCAAATATGTTGAAAAAGATCTGAAAATAACCTCCAAACTTACCTGTTATAGAAACTTGTGGCTGCTATTTCTAAATATTTTTTGCTGACCCTCACTCCTAACCCTCACTCCTAACATCAATCATATACTCAAAAATTTTAACCTCAATATTGGCACATCAGTTATCCATCAAAATCCAACCCCAATTTAGTCAAAGTTGGGTCACTGTGTAAAATATTGAAAACAGAATCTGATTATCCAAAATTATTTAAAACCTTTAATTTGTAGTTGTTCGAAGATGGCACTCCAAATGTTGAGACTAAAAGTTCAATGGTAATAATATCAATATTGAAATATTTGATGCTAAGATAAAGTTTGAATAAACTGGTGACAGAAGCATGTCACTGTAAACATTTGGGAAAGCAGAACAAACTAGGGGATCCCTCTTCAGAGCACAGAATGCCCATCCATGATTTACAAAAAGAATGTCAAGTTTTGACTCATCAGACTGCATGACTGTTCTCCACTTCGCCTGGGGGTCAAGTAGTCAGCATTTCTTGATTAAGTCTATAAATGGTTTCTTCCTGCACAGTAAAGTTTGTAGACGCAGTAACAAAGTGTATTCACAAACAGAGTTTTTTGGAAGTGGTTTGAAGCCCATGCAGTGATTTCCACCACAGAGTCAGGAAGTAAAAATCACCCCAGAGCCCAAAGATCAAGAGGGGGTTTTATTGCCATTGTCAATGAACAGGATTCACAGACTAGGATTTTTTTACGGCGTGATGGTGCAACATTAAACAGAGAAAAGTATATAAAATACTAGAATAAACTATCACAACTATCCAGTAATGTTTTTTGGCCTTGGTCCTTTTATTTGAAAATCTCTTGATTCTTATTACACTAATGTGTATTAAGTGATGAACTCCTCTAATCCTTCGCAATATTATGCAAATTAACCTAATTAGATGGTAAATGGTGTTTTCCTTAGCATTACACAACTTGTGTTGCTGGCCTCATATTTTAAATTAGAATGTATTTCCATAATAGCATTACATTTTTCATTTTCAAGATTCAAAATGCAACATTTACACCATTTTCAACTGAATGATGCGAACAATCAAACTCTGTTTATTATTTACGCTTGTCCTCATGGTCCACAATTAACTATTTCGCTGATTGAAAGTGCTGACAGAGTGACCTCATGAGGGCGCTAATGTATTGGCTAATCAGTTCCACTGCAGCGTGTCCTATATCCACTCGGCAGCCTGATTCATAAATTAGAGCCATTCATAATTGTAGCCTCAAAGCTTGAACAATGTCACAGTTTAATGACTGTTTTACTTTTAAATTTGACGGCACTCTGTCTGGTTAAGGATACTATCACTATTGAGGGATCGTGAATCGTTTTATTGGAATAAATTCATCTCTATCACCCCGCTACAGCGACAAAGACATAAAAATGTCAGTATTTTTGCTTCGTAGACACAGTTGAAAATACATTTAAAAATGCGATGATGGCCCATCAAGAAAAAAGTCGTTGAAAAATAAAAAAAAACTAGAGTAATTTATCTCTACATTGAATTTATATACAATGTATAAAGTGTATTTTTCAACAATAAGCTCGACAGATGTGATGACCATACGACAAACAGCAGTACTAACCATCAATCAACTGTATTGATTTCGGGGGGGTTTGTTTACCTGCTACTCTTGACCACGTGCTCGCAATGCGGCCACGCATGCGCTTTAGAGACTTTGCTTTTGGCACGCGTCTGTGTCGGTGGCGCGCACAGCTAAAAACAAGTTCCATCCCCGCGAGCGCGCTGTCGAGAGCTTCACCTCATGCTGATTGGCCGTTGAGCTTAGCCCCGCCTTTTATTACAGCGGATTGGTTAGACGGGGATTTTCCTGCTCACTGATTGGATGCTATTTGTGGAACCGGCTGTGTAGCTAGGCTACTGTTGCCTTCAAGTGTATCTCCAAAAATCAAATTTAAGATAAGTTGAAGATAACGCTCTGTCTTTGTTAGTTTTTCTGTCAGAAAGCACAGTTTGACGATATCGAGCAGACTTAACGTTTCGGAAGGTGTTGAAAGTTCGCTTCCAGTTGAGTCTTATGGAAATGACAAGATTAACGTGTAGCTGCTGCTGGTGTAGATGAGAAGATAAATTCTGACTTGAGCTTTGAGAGAAAATGATTAAATCTACTTCAATCATGTCATGGGTGTTTCTGTTTTGTTTTTACAGTGTCGAGACTCACTTGGGAGCCTAAAACACAAGACTCATCCCAGAGAAGAAACAGTTTTAGGAAAAGTATGGACTAATTCTAAAGTAGTTCAGTTCTACCAACTAAAGTTTCTCTATTAATGAGCTCATCTGTGTTTTTTTTACATTATAAAAAGAAACCTGGTTAGCATTTCATTGACCACAAAGAAGCTCTATCTACAAACAAAACAACTCTTCTTAAGCTGTTCTTTATTTTCTTTTTCAAGTTTTTGTTGAAAGTTTTCAAAAGAAAGTGCCCAACATTTTGACATGTGCGCCAAGGAAACTAACTGTTGCGCAATCCTGTGTTGATAACACTGTTATTTTTAAAGGATTTCTTTTTTATGCTAAAGACTATCTTGTGTGCCCAATTTGATTAACTTAACTAAACAGGTCAATACCCCATGAGGCAATATAATCATCTTGTGTGCACAAGAGGATACATTTTCTCTATAAGATACCTGTAATGTGTGCACAAAATCATAACTTGTGCCTACAGAAAATAATCATCTGATACATACCGATAAATGTGCACAGTAGATAATTTGCACATTTTGGAGGAACAAATGATTATCTTGTGGGCACAAGGTAAGAATTGTACACAGGATATGTACTTGTGTAGTCAAGATAAAATCTTGGTCATACAGTGTGAGTTTTTCTGCACACAGGATAGTTAACAGATGTATAAATTGAGCACGAAGCATAGGTATCTTGTTGGAACAACTTCTCATCATGTGGGCACAAGACAAGTTATGTTTGTGAACACACGTTTTGATCTTGTCTCACAGTTTTAGAATTTGACTTTCCAGGACTTCAGGGGCCCCCTGGAGTAACTGTTGAACACATATCCTGACAAGCTTCAACTCCATATTGAGCGGGGTATGTGTTTATTGGTGATTTATGTGGTGATAAGCTGACTGCTGGACAAAGTTTTCCTTTAAGATGATGACAAGCCAACAGATGAATTTGTTGAGACATGTTCCATGTTATTGGTCACTCTGAAGTCTCTGATTTCCAACAGCACGCAAAGGTAGCACTGGTGGATGAAATTAAACACAGCTTTTCTGCTGTTTTACTTTATGTTTTTACTCGAACATATGTCCACAGAGTTGATTCTCTTTAAGAAAAAACACCCTTATCCAGTGGTGACCCTCTCCTTAGACGGGCCTGGTTTAGTGAGCGTGTTTGTGCATTATTCAAAGCGCGCTGCGCATCACAGAGCTAATTAGGATTTCAGTATAAATAAGGCCGCAGACGGGACAGCTCGGCCTGTCCTGCCGCTGATGTCGGAGAGCTGAAGATATAGTTAGAGGTTAAAACGCTTCCAAAACCTGCAGGCTGCTCCATCATGCTCTGACCCGCCGTACGGATGGGACTCTTCTCAAACCGGACCTATTCGGAGCAATCCCTCAGATTTCACGCGTTACCACACTGACTCTTCGGTTCAGAAACATCAAGCGAGAAGATTTGATGTTTGGGAGGACTTTTTAATGGCACTCGGCCCGAGCTAGACAGGCTGCTGCTGCTGCTACCTTTATGGGACGGTGAAGGTGTCTATTTTTCCTTTCCTTTAAGCTGGCATCCAGACTCCTGCAGCTCCAGCGGGGAAACAGCTCTCCTCTCCGGGTTGTTTTGGTTACCGATGGAGGGAAGGCGACGTGTTTTTGGGGTAAGTGCAGAGCCAGTGACCTGCTGGAGGACACGCGTGCGTCCGTCAGCTAGACGAGGTGAACAACTGAATTACTGCTTTATTATCATCTGAGTGCTTTTAAAGTGTGGCTGTGTTGCGTTTTGTGTCTTATATTGTGTCATATTTTGGGTGTATGTTTGATGCACATAGGGGTTTGTAGTTTCTCTTTATTTATATCGTATAAATTCACCATAGGATTAGGCTGTTTGTGTTGTGGATGCGCGCAAAGCCTCTTGGATTTTGCCATGCATGAAAACCCTTTGATATCAAAGGAATAATCCCTAACATCTGCGTGATCTTCCCACAGAAATTCAAACACGGATATGGTTTGTGATCATTTAAGCCTTTAAAGTTGGAGTTATACAAATGCAGGTCTGTCAAAACGCTCCTGAATTGATGATAAGCCCACAACATCCCTTACATGACTTTTGCAATTTGATCTTCCGTGTTGCATTCAAGATCCAAACACCAGTGTGTTGTGCAGCTCCATTCAGCTGATCGTTAGCGCGATCTCTGTTATGGTCGTCGCCGTCATTATGAGCGCGCGTCTTTGGCTGCAGATCTCGGTTAGTGTTTTTTTTTTTTTTTTTTTTTTTTTTTGGAGGGGGGGGCTTATGATGCCACGTGAACAAGCGACAAAAACACAGTGAAAGGATGGATTTCATAACGCTCACGCGCACAGACTGGTTGCACCTTTGAGGGAAGCTGCGGTGTGTAAATGTTGTGTTTACATGTTTCCTTTGGTGAAGCAACACTTGAGTTTAAAGGTATTACAACATAACGGTGCTGAATGATTTTCTTTATGCGAGCAGCAAAATAAAGAAGCACATGAATTGTTGTTAATGTAGTTTTCAGGCTGAGGCGCGTGCCCGGCATCAGGACAGCAAAGGTAGAATGAGGTTAGGGGTACCAGCTATAAAATCTATATTTCCTCGAAAGGGTTAAACACCTTTTTTTTTTTTTTAATGTCATCAGACGGAAAAACATTTCAGTCGTGGATGTGTTCAGTGTCAAGATGATGCAATGCTGACACTCAAACAGTGCAGCAGCAGCAGAAGGAGGAGGTGGTGGTGGAGGAGGTGGGGGTGATCCGCTGCTCCTAATGTTTGTTTTTCAGTATTTAAAAAAGAAATAAGCTCATTCTTTCACCACAGAGCTCAGGGAAAAAAAGTAACCGAGGATTGCATTGATCTTTTTCTAAAATTGACAGACAGGGTCGCGCTTGTTTTGGTGCAAAATCTCTGAGTTGTTGGCTGTGTTTCAGGAAAAAATTAATCCTTCGTGGTTCCTTCTCCTGCCTTATTTTGACATTTTATGCTTTCAAGTGTTCCTACACCCATAATACGATGGTGAGGGTTACATTTAGCCGTGTTTGAATTCATCTCAAAGCCTCTGATTTGAACCCCGTATGCTCCTGAAAGAAGACAGGTAAACCTCAAATTAGCCCAAATAATCATTTATCTGTTAATTTGAGTTAAAGTTGAGCAGACATCCAAGAGAAATATTTTTGTTCAATACACAGAGCTACAGGTGGGACAAAAACACAACAAACAGGCGATGTCATAATTTTCATGTCAGAAAAAGCAGAGGAGGCAGATTCATATTCTCATCTTGTATTTATTTACACATCCGGGTGTCTGCGCGCTCCCTCCCTCCTGCGATGGCGCGTTCAGGCCGCATGGGAAATAATCTCTCCAGCATAACAAAGCAATAACATTTCAGAGATGACTTATTATTACCTTTTCTGTGACTTTGAATCCATAATTTGCTACTTTGTAAGGCTTGGATGCAGACACTGTATATGTAAAGTTTTTAAACAGACTAAAATTATCAGGAAAATTAGTGCTTTAAGGAGCTTGAAAATAGTTTGACATGTATCTTGAATTCTTTCTTTCTTCTTCTTCAATGTCCAAAGCCAACAGCTCAAACCTGGATTAGATTTTTTGTTTTCTTTTTTTCCTCTGTGCAAGGAGAACCGGGGGGGGGGGGGGGGGGGGGGGGGGGGGGGGTGGGGGGGTGTTCATTCATATAATGCACAAAAGAGTCACTGTTGTGGTGTCATGAACAGAGAAATAACTGAACTGAAAACACAGCCCTGAGCTACACAAACTCTAAAGTAAGCTCTCCAATGAATCCTGAGGTTGGAAAAAAAATGTTGCTATTTATAGTAGAAAATAGCCTCAATATAAAGAGAGACAAATGGCCCTGTGAAAGAAATTTAATAAACAGATATTGGTCAAAAAAATTTGGACCAACCACATAATGATATAGAACCAACCACAGAATCTAATATTTACGTTGTGATACATCAAGAACGTATTTGTCTTGCTTAAATCTATGCGTAACCTACAATATGCCACTCCAGAGCAACAGAGCTAACCATTGATAAAAATTAAATAATTGTGGGAACTACACCAAGGGAGAATATATAAAATTATATTAAGACAGAATTTAAAAAATCTAGATAAAAATATATATTTTATTACCGAGTTATTTCAACTCATAACCTGATTTCCATCTTTCCCACGGGAGCCTGAAGGCAACGCTGCCACCCGTTGGCCGGCCTGCCTGTCAATCCCAGGTCCATCTCCCTCCCACGTGGTGACGTTTCCGTACCAAAGTAACGAGGCCAGTCCATTACGCACACAAAAGACACAACAAAAGCCCGTGTTGGGAAAAATGAGAACCGTCAGCACCCAAAGGACACAACAATAAGTTCCCATCTGGTAGCATCACCCATGGACCAGAGCCGGGGACGACGACAATCATTAATTTAACTCTAAAAAACAAAAACATCTCTCTTTCTCCAGCAGGCAGTTTTCCACCAAGCTGCGTTCTGCTCAGATCTGACCCAGGTGGTGAGTACAGCAGCAGGGCAATGTTTACCTCCAAACAAAGATCCGAAATGTTGTTCGAAAAGCTGCAAACGTGGTTCTGGTGTCGTGCTGGATTCACAGACTGTAGAAGGCACGGGGAAAACTAACATTGAAAAAGCAGCCAGCACAGCGACACTGTTGCACTTGAGCTGGCGTCGTGCTCTTTGTTGAGGATAAACACGTTTTGAGGAAAGGATGGAGGAGAGAGACAGCAGTGACAGACACTGTTTTAAGATGTCAGGGGATAATCTACGTGTTTGGAATAGACAAATGTCTGTAAAACGCATGTTGTTTTGTGAGAATACTGCTTTTTTGGCTGGATTCAGTGGAGTCCTTTGTCTGGACACTCTTCTTCCTGTTAGTGGTTACCAGAGACGCACGGTGTGCTGCCTCTTTGTTTTCACTTTGCTCAGTTTGAACATCAGCTGTTCCTGCCGTGTTACCTGTCCACTCGACTATTGTCACCTTAATATGAAGCTTTTCTTAACAAAACCTCTGAAATATCGTCGTTTAAAGCAAAAATGTTAAGCTGTTACCAGGTGCTGGAGAAATCTCAAACAAAGAGACATCAACTTAAGATCTAGGAATGAACTTTTCAGCCCTAAATTAGCAGTTTGAAAGTGTTTTTCAGATAGTATGTGTAGAGAAAGGGATAAAAACTGGTTACATAAAACTAAAAAGTGATTTCAGTGAAGACCATGTGCTGTCAGATGCCATAACTTGTCATTGCATGACACCTAAACATGTTGAAACAGCTCAGACAAATGTTTTCTTGTCCTTATTTGGCTTTAATAAGTACACGATCAAAGTGTGCGTCATGTCTTGCTTTAAGAGTGTGTGCGTGTGTGTGTGTGTGCGTGCGCGCATGGGGGGGGGGGGGGGGTTAAATGCAAATGACAGCATGCTATTGTCTGTTTGCATGTGTGTGTGTGAATGACAGCCTCTTCTCCAAAGGGATGCACTGCTCAAAGCTGATTTAATCACTTCTGTTGATGATGCTGAGAGTGACACACATACTTGTGCGTGTGTGTCTGTAAGTGTGTGTTTACCTTTCCACTGTGCACATGCAGCTGAGGTTAAACTGGGCTAATTCAGAGAGGGGATTTTGTCTTTTTCATGCAGGGATTAAACCTGGCGCACCTGTCCAGATTATACAGCATGTATGTAAATATGGCTCTTCTGGGGCCACAGGGTTGAGCTGCCTGTTGTCACCTCTGCACCCTCCAAGCCGTGTAAGAGTGTGTGTGTGTGTGTGTGTGCCTGTTTGAGTGTATGCGGATACATATATGTGTGTGTGTGTTTGCAAAGCAGCCATGCGTCACGTCACGGCTGCTTCCTGTTGAGTCGCGGAAGCTCCTTTGTTTTCTCGTCTGGCTGCTGGCTGCTGTCTCGGCGCTGCTCTTCCTGTTGCAGCACATTGAGCTCGACTGGAAACTTCTGGAGCCGCTGAAGCTGCTTTTCTTTGTTTTGTCACTCTCAGGGATGCAGCAGGCTTGTTGTTATTTTGTGACAAGGTGCAATCCTTTGTTCAAGTGTGTTGCTGGTAACACTGGCTGCTGAGCCTGTGGGTATTTCTAGAGAATGTATTTCTTTTGGACAAAGAGGCTCATTTTTCAGGGACAACAGGTAGTTTTTCCCTGTTCAGAAGATAAAACTGAAACCCTTTCCTTTGTCTGAGGATGTAAATACTCTTTCAATAAAGTTTAAGACTGCAAATTATGGCTGTCACAGTAAGATTGTGTTAATAACCTCCAAATCAAGCTCATCTCTGTCTATTTGACACTGAAATGTTGACTCTTGCACCCGCATTTGTGTCTAAATTATCTGTACATGAAGAAAAGATCACTATCAACCCTCAAAATAGCATGTTTTAGGATATGTAAAACTACACCACTGAAGTTGTGCATAGGATAAACTGCTCCACCTATAGGCTGCTTAATTTCTATCAATAATAAAGGACACAAGACGTCATAGTCCCGCCCACACCACTTGACTGACAGGCGATCCATAGCAACAGCACAACCATTCATCTGCTGTCATTGGTGGAAAAACTCATAAGGTGCTTCTTTTAAAAAGGTAAACAAATGAGTTCTTGCATGGAGATAAGCTGAAGTTCAATATTGACACATACTAGTACACTGACATTGAGAGGTGTAACTGCTGTGTAGCGAACTGAACCAACTAACAAAGTTAATCATGCAAACGCCTGTGTAAAGTAAAGATTAAGAAGGTTATGTGGAGAAGAGTCAATATAACTTGTCACTTTTTGAAACTTAAGGTGTTTTGTAATTAACAGAAAAAGGGCAAACATCTTCATACAGTGAGATAAGATATTCACACACACTATGAAGCTATGAAGGCCTTCTAGCTTTAAGGCCATTACTGTGCCGGTCAGGAGGGTGAGTTATAAATATTCCTGCTCAACAAAGACATCTTTTTTTATTACACAACCATATTAAAGTTAGCTGAACTGATGTGAAACTTTTTAACTACTAAAGTGCCATGTGTATTTTGATCCCATCCCATTAAAAGCAGCTGAAACATATCTGCATGTATGTAAAAGCTTTTCAAGGTAAAAACTAAACCTAAATCAGGAGAAATGTATGTGTTTATTTTAAGTATGTGAACATTAAATGACTAAAATACCTCAGTGTGTTCCTTCTACTTTCTAACCCTCTGCATATTTCAGCGTTTTAGCTTTAGCTGATCTTATTATAGAACCTCTTGGTTTTTTAATGGCTTGTTTCAATAACTTTTTAATGCCCTCTTGTAATGCGTCTCATTTGTCCTTTATCTTTATCTTTTGTGTCTTGTGTGAAGCACTTTAAATTGCCTGATTGCTGTAATGTGCTTCACTAATAAATGGCCTTGCCCTGCCAAATGATGCACGAGTGTTTGCCAACACTTTCGCTGCACTGTTCAGCCTTAGCAGGGCCTGTGGTAGGTCAACCCCTGAGAAACCTGAAAAATCAATTAAAGCAACTTAATCAGTCAATCAATTTTAATGCATGCTGCAGTTTTTGCTCAGTGTGGTGCTCGTCAAAGGGATAAGCCAATAAAAAGACAGTTAAGATGTGAAGGATTTATTAGCGTCAGAGCTAGGATTGAACACAGTATAAAGTAGATAAAGGCAATAAGGTTAAAAACAGACAAGAGGCAGTAAAATAGTTCAAAACAGGTAGAGTTAAACGGCTTTTAAAGGTAGCCTACTGTACTTAAGAGACTGTGGAGTAACTTGATTAAATCAGACAAGATCAAATCACTTTTAACTTAATTCGAACAGTGCCTTTTCAACAAGAGGTACACAAAGACAGGAAAATTGATCCCTACTCATGAACCAACACAACAGTAACAAACCACAGAAAAACAAAGTGTAACAGGCAAACAAACCTCTGCAGCCTCAAACCCCAGAGTCCACTTAAAGCCACCAAACAGCCATCAACTCTGAGCGCAGAGAGCAACAGGAACAACACCAGTGTGAAATATTTCCTCTGACAGCTGAGCCTTTTAGTTCCCGCTCGCTGTAAACCACCAACACAAACACACAAATAAAATGATTAATTAGGATAATTCAGCTGGGGAGAGAAATGAAGGGGTTGTTAAAGGCAGCAATGAGACAAAGACAGACATGTAGAAATGAAGCAGATAGATGTGATATTTGTAATAGGAACAATGGAGTTTATAAGAGATCCATTTGCATATAGCTCTTTATGTACAGCAGTGCAGTAGAGTAGGTGTGCACTCTGCTGAATTTCTGTGCTGGTGTTACACCTGCACAGTTGTTATTGTCAATCACAGCCTCTTTTGAAAAGGTTGCATATTCATTGTGTCTTGTCTGCATTGTGTCATCACCCGTTCTGGTCTGTCCTGTATATGAACTGAGCCGGTATGCATTTGTTACTGTAGAGCTGGATCTCCGGCAGGCCTGCCACATTCATCTCAGCCTGTCAGGAGATATTTTTGGACTTTTTATACAGTTATAATCTCTGATTTCCCCTTCCGCTCTTTTCCTTTTGTTAGTGTGAACTTTAAGATGATTTTAGCCTTTATAACTGGAGTCTTGTTATTGATGTGGGGTATTTTTGAAGTTTTGTTCATGGTTTCTGTCTAAAAGCGGTCCTGTGATGGGACAGATTATACACAAACCCTGAAGTTCAAACCAAGACAAACAGCAGAGTTATTAGTCTCACCGTCTGTTTTCAACTTATATTAACAATTTACAGACTCATATCATGGATCACTCACTGACCTGCTGGACTTTCTGCAGCTGTGAGTTTCCCTGAATGGAGCAATTGAGGAGCTCTAACTTTTAGTTTTACCTCCAACGGTGTGGTTTGGATCAAGTGACTCAGCTGTTGGTTTGTTTACAACTCATCCCGTTGTCAAAACAGTCCTGATACTCACTGAGGCCAACTTTGTCTGTGTGATGTAACCAAATAAATAAAAAAAAAGATCAAGAATAAACGGTGGAAAGTTCATAAAAAACAGATTTTTTTTAGAATAATATCCACAAACTAACTGCTGAACACAATGAGTTTTTATTCAGACGCTGGTTTACATCAATTAGGATCATATCTTTAAGCGATTAAAAGCAGATTTACGAGACATGAACTGAGATTGTAAAAAACACTGAATGGAAACTTTTGTCACAAGTTGGCGAGAAAATTTGGGAAAATGAAAGAAACAGATCAATCTCTGGGTCTTTGTGACTTCTTTTCAGGATCCTCCTGACGGGAAAACAATAAACAGGTTTTAGCTGAGCTTCAGTTATCTGCTCCTGTATCCATTCAAAACCAACTCTTGTCATAAACTGAATGATAAAGCTTTGAAAAATGTCAATGTGGTTTTGTTTGGCATCTCATAAATATAAGTTGCATCAGCACTCAGCCATGTTGGTAGTCAACAACATGCCATTGTAATCACATAATAGATCACTGTAATCAAATGATTGCTCAAGCTAACGAGATGTGTTTATGTTGGAAATGCAATCAAGATCATGAGCTCTAAAAATAGGACATATGGAGCATGTGCCTCACCATATCTCCTCCCTCTCCTTCTCCTCCCCCCCTGCAGGTTTGATTTTCTCCTGTGGTGTCTGTGTGGAGCGTGCCACACACCCACTCCACAACAACGACGGCTTTTGCTTGCATCTTCCAGTGTTTCTTCTGTCAGCAAGTCCAGCAGAGCTGCAACTCTTCCAGTGCCAGCCCTGACACCAGCGAGGAGCCCTGCCCCACTGACATGGTGAAGATGACCAAGTCGAAGACCTTCCAGGCTTACCTGCCCTCCTGCCATCGCACCTACAGCTGCATCCACTGCCGGGCGCACCTGGCCAACCACGACGAGCTCATCTCAAAGGTACGACGTTGACAGATGCACACCAGTTCACAGCTCTTCCAGTCTTTCCTGTCCTTCACTTCTGACACCCTGCAGCGTTTCACGTGCTCTTCAATGTGTCTGTCTTTATTTATATACATGAAAAAGGCTACAGGGCACTTTGTAGTTATGTCATAAATCTCCTGGCAGCTATGTCAGTTGACATCAAGAAGGTCAAGGAGAAAAGTAATATGTAAATGTGAAAGATCCGCAAAATGGTAGAATAAAATTGTAGCTGTAACAAACCATTTATAAGATTAAAGTCAAGAGGAGAAATTTGCGTTACTGCAAACTTGTAAATGTAATAAACTGTGTTAGCATCCAGGCTAGCTCTCTAAAGCCAGTCCACATATTCTTTGTCATAATAACGCCCGAATATTTCCTGTTTAAAAGCCCTTTTAATGTATTTTTAGGAGTTTTAAGCACATTAGCAATTAGATCACCAATTTAAGCCATCTAGTTTAACAGCTAATCCTTCAACTCACCACATAATCCAACTTCTTGTACCTTATTTTGTGTGAGCCGAGGCCGTTTTGGCAAACTATGTTGTCTTTAAAGATTAAATGCAGTATATATAAGTTCCTGTTTTAAGCTTCAGCCTGATCAGCAACCTTGTTTAGCTGATATATTCTCTAATATTTAACTGCCACAGGCAAATTTTTCTATTTCAAGCTGAATAAATTGTGTACAATAGATTTTATTTTCTTAAGACAGAGAGTAATGTATCCTAAAACTCAATGATTAAATACAAGACACTATGAATCTAAAACTCAATGAGTAAATATAAAACACTATGAATCTTATTAGAGCCACAGATCTGACTTATAGTGTTACAAGGTTTTCTTTCTACCAGCTACACCCTCTTCATTCAAAATAAACATCTGATTCAGTGCTGATAACAGAAATATTGATCGATGCAGCTTTGAGATAAATGGTTTATGAGTACGGTCGGAAGAAAACACACAAACACAAGCTGTCATCGCCTGAGTTTGTCAGCTATTCCATGAAACTTTTATGGGCCTGTGAAGGTTTATCCAGCCTCTCATTATTCAGATCGGCTCTTGATACATTCGCAGACACCTCTGGATGTGAAAGTGATTATCTTCGTCTCATTAATCATGTGTTGGGCGACATTATAAGCCATGATGATCAAATTTGACAGTGTCTGGGTAATATTTGGAAATGAATAAATCTGTGCTTAGCCTAACCGTGGGTTTTACTCAGCGGAGACTCTGCAGTGATTGAGTGTTTCTCTCTAGTATTAGTCCTAGCAAATGGCACTTTGCCTCGACAGCAGTGTGATTTTATGATACGCATACCTGCCTTATTTCACCTCTAAAACTCCTGTACCTGTCTGCTTTCAAGTCTGGGGTTTATTAAATTCTCAAAAGACTCACGCGACAGCCGCAGTCAGCGTTCTCACTGATGATGCTTCTGCTGCGCACAAAGGAGGCGGTCAGTCCTTTAAAGCGTGGCTGCCTTCGCTATTTTTGTTTCCTGTCTTTGTTTTTAAACCACATTTGAAAATGTGAAAGCACTGCTGCAGCTGACCGCAGCGTCAGAGGGTTTATTTACAAAATATGACACGAAAAATCATGACAGTCTTGTTTCAGATCTCCCTCACAGCCCACGTGTTTCCTTTAGTGTGTGTGTGTTTTGGTTTGCCATACAGTTATCTATAGGTACCAAATACAACTCAGTTTAGAGGCAAGGAGTGTCTTCAGTGTCTTGTTGTTCCACTATACGATAATGCATAAATATATGCTCCAATGCATCATGCAGGATTTTTAAAACCCTTCTCATTGTCTAGAAAATCATGAATTTGTCCATTAAATCAAAGGATTTAGTCCTTTACTCTTATATTCTCTGTATATGTTTATTCTAGACACACACATCAGTATCAGAAAGAAAATTATATAACAAGTCAATAAAATAATGAGAAGAAGAGTTGCGAGAAGTCAAATGAGGGACATTAACGCTGAAAAAAAGTTTGGTGTTTCATTGAATTAAATCACCTGAAACTTAAAGCTACTGTAAGTAACTCTTGAGTTTGTGTCAACATTAGTGCCCCCTTGTGGACAGTCACCTACATATCCAAGTAGTGTCTTCTGATATAGAAATCTCACTTTTGACAGTCAAATGCATTGTTGAGTAGGATTATTTTCTCTTCTGACACCTCCCCCCTCGCACAGTTTTCAGGTATTAAAAATTAGGATATATGAATCGTCAGTCTCATTCCTGATGGTTTTGTCTGCTTTTGTTTACCATAAAGTAGCGTCCTTTTAAAGTTCAGGCTGTTTCCAAACTTCCAACTTTACAAAAAAAAAACCTTACTTGAGCGTCAAACTGTGTTTTAAGTTTCTGTTCCCTTTGCCGTTCCGAGTTGAAATTACTCTCAAAAAGCAGCTTGCTCTGAGGAAAAACACGTGTTATGACTTGTTTTATGATCAGAGGATCACTGTGGTGAATAATTCTAAGGCTCCACGTCTCCTTCGAATGTAAACACTCCAGAAAAAATGTCATCATCATCATCGTTACCATCTGCACCAATAATCCCTCGCCGGCTGTGCAGGAACATTTCTGGATTCACAGAAAATATGGCGTGTGACTTATTTAATGCAGTGCTGCTGTCAGGCGGCTGACAGAGATATTTGTGACCTGAAGTGACTTCAGATGACATCAAAAGGTTTTGGCAGCACTCATGTGGATTTAGATGAGTTCTCCTTAAATGAATATTCCATGATAATGTCTTAAAAGGCATACTGGAGCTTAAAAGGCATCAGAAAAGAGTTGGAATACTTTTATGAACAATCCTTAAGATTGACCTCTTATTTAAAACCTCTATTCCGAAGTAATGCTTCACGTTCAATAATGCAGACATTTAGAAAGCCGCAAGAGAAATAAAAAAGTGGAAAAGAGTCACTTCTCATTTGTGGCGCTGCTGTTAAGTGTCCCATTGTGACTCGCTTCAGCGTTTAAGTTCATTGTCGTTCACTTTCAGACTTTGCTTTGAGAAAAAAATGAAGCGAGCCATATTTTTGCAAATGAATACCAATGCAGGACTAAGTTATAAAAACTGATGTTTCAAAAGAGAAAATGCAACTATGGTCCATAAAGAACAATTTTTCTACAGGACCTTAAAGTCGTAGTGCTTGCAAAACTTTTATATCCAGCTATCACTCACCAATACAGGCCTCAACTCCACCAGAAAGGCCCAAACATGATAAAAGAGTGGCTGTGTCAGCAGAGAGCTGCTGTTGGGTGAGGGTGTAACTCTGTCAGGAGCTTTTCTATACCCTCATACAGAGGGAGACGAGCCTGAACTCTGATTCTGTTCAACTATTCTTCTTTTAATTTGAGCAAAATGGACATGTAGGTTATTTAGGGTGTGAGTGATAGAGAAGTCCTTGTTGTAGAAAAGTCCTATGTATACCACTTTTAGCAGCTGTTTTTCCACTGTCAGATTGTGGTCGAGGTAGCTGCAATACCTCATTCAGCCACTACCCCACAAACCCTGCACAGCCTGCTGTTGTTCCTGGAGGCTCTTCAGCCAGGTGTTTTGATCCGCCAATCAGGAAGTTTAATTTTTGACGCAGCAAATCGTTACTCAATGCAGAATGATTTATTTAGCTTGACTTGATATGTATGCTTTTGTTTTTGAAAAACACTAATCTTATTTAATAAATTCTTATTATGAATGGTGCTCTGTATTGGACTTTTTGCAGGTATATACAAACTGTTTTTCACTCCCCTCCTATACCAGAATTGACCTTGTACTCTTATCGTGAAAGTCAGTTTTTATAAGAAATAAACATCAAACAATGCAAACAAGAGCGTACCATAAAGGGTTATTCCCTCTTTTTTATGTGAAGACATCTAGAGAAATGTCCTCTGTCTACTTCTGACACTCTAAATTACTTCCATGCAGTTGACATGCTGTCATGTGTGTACATAATTACTGCACCATCTTATCAAACATAACAAATTGGCAGAAATTGTAACACAGTATGTGCTGATACCAAAGATAACCCTCTTAAGTTTCTCATCTGCCATGTTCAGATAGTATTCTACATCACTAATGATCACGTGACTTCCAGTAAGGCCTTACTTTCTATGAAGACTTCAAAGATTTGTCACATGCTCTGACAGATAGGCGGTGAAACTACACTACTGCAAGGCCATGCCATAAAAACACGACAGTATACACTCTGAAAGATGAATAGATGCAGTAAAACACGATGATTAAAGTGTCATAGTAAAGACAGTGTGCAAGGAATCCTACCTCAAGTTTCTTGAAGCTTTGAACTAACTTTATTTTTGAAGTTTATGTCCTGGCCAAACTTGGGTGAGGAACTTTAAGGCTAATGCTTTTTAAACTCATACTTCTGGGGTCATAAATGCCTCTTGTGTGATTTATGTCAGACGTTTACAAAAAGGATTAGAGTTGTACCTTTTGGGCTTTACTGTGCTTTTATTTTATTCATTAAGGTTGCAAGGCAACCAAAATAATCCACATACTTTTATTGTTTATGCCTTGAAGTCGAGGTGCCACCACTTTTTTATTAGAGCACCACCTAAGCATGAGTTTATCATGAACGTTTAGTGACATTGCCCTCCTAGATGTTTGCCATGAATCTATAAAACGCTTGAAGCAGGTGTTTGAAATAGTTATAAATGTGCCTGTTTTTCCTCTCTTATAATAAAGTTGATGAATTTGCACTTGAAGGTGTTTCTTGAAATGAAAAGCATACAAGAACTGCAGGTTTTTTCCATCATCACATTTCTTCCAGTACAAAGCTGCTTGTCATAAACCAGCACTACATTTTTAACTTTAGAGTGAAATTTCTGCTTATGAACAGCTTCTGAGAGATGTTGGCATCCTGCTTGTGAACCTTCTGCATCCTGTGGTCTGTGGTAGTTTTTCGTTCCAGCAGAGGCAAATGAACAAAAAAGCAACATTAACAACTCCATTTGCAGTCCAATCCCACAGCAGGGCGGCATTTTCCTAATATAAAATTGTCTTGTTTTTGGTCATGAATGTGTCCTTGCTGCATCTTCTGGTTTCTCTTAAAGCACGACTGTGTCCACAAATGGGATTTCTGGGTATTGAAGTCCAATTGTCCAAACAGTTGCTGACATTTTGAGCCTCAGAATCATACAGCGCTGCCAGACTGCTGCTTTAATCGACAGCTGCTGAGCAAAGAGTGAGCGAAGTTTCCGTATTATCAGATGACCCGGAGCCGCAGCGACCTTTCTGTGTCATAATAACACAGTGACTGCGCGCTCCCCGTGCACTGCATTCTCACCACACACTAAGCTGATTATTCAAATGGCAAAGATGATCAATCTGCTCCGCTCGGCATCTCCATGTCCAAATGCATCTCCCTCCTGCTGCGCAGAGTTTTGGAAGCTCACAGCTTGTTAGTGCAAGCAGGAAGGAGAGCTCGGTAAACAGACAATGCTGTTCCTCTGCAGCCTCAAGATGGTAATTTTGTTGCTGTGAAGTCTGCACAACAAGGACTTCACAGGGTTTTAATTGTTAAACACTGTCATAAATCACACTGATGTGACTCTGGCTGAAGAGAGGGACTGTCCTTGTTCATCTTCACCTCACTTAACACGTCCACACTCATGTTGGGATGTGAAGATTTATTGTCACTGCAATCTCTGTGACGAGGCAGAACGAGGTGTTTTATGATGAAAGTTTTGGATGCTGTGGGGTTTTATTGGCTCCTGCTGCTTTGGAAGTAAAAACGCTGCAGCAGCAGGTTTTACCTGGAAGCAAAGGAGGGAAAATGGAAAAGGAAAGAAGTCTGTCAAAAGGAGATAATGCAAATATCTGTAGAGCAGAGGAAAAGAGACCTGCATAAACACTAGCACAGAGGATACACTTGGTTCGAGCTTGAAGTTTCAGACGGAGTGTTAGTATTGTTTTGTTTCACTCTCTGTGATTCACATCCTCTTTTGCTGCAGACAGAAAGTTCACCAGTTTGACACTTGACATAGATAAGGAAGGACAATAATAGAGAGCGAGGAAACACCAGCAGTGACAGTAATAAAACTTATATAACAGAGTTCAAACAAAGAATGTGTCCAAAAGTGTCTTCAGAAAAGAGGATCTCTAACGTCTGAGTGAGCATGCAATTAAATACAGAGACAGGTATAAAACCAGTCTAGGTGTCAGTGGAGGAGATTTTAATTTGACTGACTCAGAGTCACTGGAAAAAGAAGAGGTGAAATTGTTAAGAGTTATTTTAAAATGACACAAAAGGAGTTTGAGAGAGAAAAGAAACATTTGAAATTGTAATAAAATGCAAATGTAATAGATTTTTTAGACTCTCCCCACTGGTATTCTTGAGCTATTTTAGTTTTATGACTTAATATTTGAAGGAACAGAGTGTAGCGGCATTTAGCCGAACATGCTTGGAAGAAATAGAATATAATATTCATAAATTTGAATTTGAATGAGTGTGTAATCAGTGTCACTTAATTAGTGACTTAGAACAAGTCTTTATATCTACATAGGAGCAGGTTCCCCCCCACAGAGGCTGCTGTCTGGCTCTGCCATGTTTCTACAGAAGTACAGAATGGAAAAAATTGTAAGGGCCATTTTTAAGGGTTTGTGCCAACGGAGATGAAGAAGAGAGAGGTAGTTGTGTAAAAAAATTTCTTTTGATGGTAAAAACCTCACAAAGGCATCACAGGAGGTTTTTGTCCTTTAAGGCCACCATCAGACGGGAGGGGTGAGCAAGAGGGGGGTTTCAATCAAATTTGGCCTCTGTATATCACTGAATACTCCCATTTCTAACCAGTCTACATATAGAGTATTACAGATTGATTGAAAAAGTGTGTTTTTTCCCTCTGTCATTTGGTGTAAAATTCAAATTAAAGCTCCTATAAGGGACTTTACCGTTTCGTTACGGATGGGGCCTTTTTTGTGGCACCTAGCCCCCTTGTCCTGATTGCTTTCAATCAGAAACACCCTACAGAAATAGTCATGGTTTTTGCTGATTGTCTTGTTTGCCATGATGGACCAAAGAGAAGTTTCTTTTTTAATTCCAGTCTGTTTTTATAGTGGCTGAAAATTTCATACTGGAGCTTTTAAATAAACTAGTTTCATTCAGTATCAACACAAAGCAAAGCTGGGAAGTTCACTTTTTGAGAACTTTGAGCTCAAAATTCTGCACTTATCTGCTGAATAAATGTTCATAACCAATCGGTGAAAGATTGAATTAGCCATCAGAAGTAGTGTATTTTTATTTACTGCAACTTAAGCTGTGCAGAAAAGCAAAATAACGGTTTAAAGTTTTCCTTCAATTAGACAGAACACACTTTTAGTGCTCATAAACACTCTGTTATCCCACTTTCAGTAATTACACTGTTTAATAATAGCCCTGGAAACATTCATTAACAATCACTTGTGATCTGGTCTCCAGTTAAAGTTTTGTGTTTATAGTGTGTGATAGAGATGAAGTGAGGCAGACTGAACAGTGAATCGTTGGACACAGTTTAATCCTCAGAGCGTCTCTCCATCACTGCAGGTTAGCATGTTTTTGAAGTGCAACACTTCATTTTGTCTGTCTTTTGCTTCCACATGGCCGAGGATGAAAAGATGAGCATGTCGAGAGGAAAAGAGGAAATGTTTTTACAGATTATTGGCTGTGATGCAGCCAAGTGAAGTCCATCTGCAGTCGACAATTAAGCCAGTGCCAAAACACCAAGTGGAGGTTAAATGTCAGCTTGTAAATGAGGTTTTTCTGGAAGATTTCAGAGTCAGCTGGGATATATTTGGGAATGCTTACTGTACTGATGACCTGTGTGCCTCAGACTCACTCTGAGATTAGATTTGGTGCAGAAAATCAGATGGTGTTTGATGCAAAGAAGATGCAAGTCTGATTTTTAGGCTGCTAAACTGTTGTTACTTTGCATATCAAACAAATTTATTCTGATTGCAGAATCAAAAGGCTTAACGCTCTTTTGGCAACATTGTGTTAATTTTTCAAAACCATTTCCACAAGGATTGATTTTGAACAAAACTGTTACTTCATCACAATTTAAAAACCCCATTAGCAAAAAAGTTGGTACAGCTTGCAAAATTAAAATGCAATATAAAGTGGTGGTGTGATGAGCCAAACAGGACTTTGGATGAAACCATTGATGATGCATCCTTGCCTCACATTCCAAACACCAGCATCTTTGGGACATTGCTGGACTAATAGTCTAAGCGTCTGTCCCATTGATGGAGGTTACGCCTCAGGTGGGTGGGCAAAGTTAGATTCCAGCTTGTAACTTCTCATGTCACTTCTTGTCCTCTTTACCTGTTTCTGCTCGCTCAATGGTATAGAGGATGGCACGGGTAACTTGCAAGTCTTTGAATGTGAGGCAAAATTTAAAGATCATGCGTCCTTCTCAGTTCAGGATGTGGTTTGGCAATGTCGTGTTGAAATATGCATCCACATGGCTCTGCAGTGGGACAGTTTGGACCCTAAACTGGCGTGCCTGCAGTGAAAATGTTAGCTGCATTATGAAACTTTAAGTATGTCAAAGTTTTCTTGAGCTGATGAGCAGCTCAGATCGTGTTGGTAATCCTTGGTGTTTCCAAACACTTTGAGTGTTGTTAAAAGTAAAGGTGATGCAACACGGTAGTAAACATGACCCTGTGCCAACTTTTCTGAAAGGTGCTGCTGGTGTCAAATTCAGAATGAGCCTATGAATTTCTAAAGAAGACATATCTCATTTTGACTGTTGATCATGGGTGGTTTTCATCTAAATGTGGTGTTTAATAATAAGCTAAGGTTTCTTTTTATAATTTAAACAGTGTTGCGACTTGTTTTAATGGTCATTGGAGTGCGTCTTTGCCTATGTGAGCGTAGATTTTGAGATGCGTAGAGATGCATACAGAGTGAACTGAATCTTTGAAAGGGTTGTCTTTGCAAATTTAATTTGTCCACATGACTTCGACCACAACAAACCAAACACAGCCAGTTACAACCAGATGCTAATGAGTTTTGGTGTCTTATCAAGACAGACAGCAGGAGTTAAAAAAACAACTTATTAAGAATAGCAATGTGAAAATAATGCACCACAAGAGAGCAGGAGTTTAATTTATTCTTCTGCAAATAGAAACCATAAACCAAGCTGGGCCACTTCCCAAACATGGCTGATTGTTTCAACTCCCAGAGCTGCAGCTTCTGAGCAGCAGTAAATCTAATCCATTCACATCTCCCAGTTTGAAGCGCTCTGGTGTTACTGGTTTCTCAGCATTCCTGCTCCCAGTGTCAGCTGTGAGGAGTCTCCGAAAAACAGTGTGGCGTGACTCTGAGAGAACAAACACACAAACACAACAGCCTTTAGCTTTTTCAGCCTCTCCCTCGGTGACCTGAGGAGCACCGACGCCCGGGAGCAGAAATATCTCGCTCTCATCTAATTATCTGTCACTTAGAGAGCGACAGATAATAAGTCAAAGTCACACTGAAGAGGAGGAAGAAGAGTAACTTCAAGAGTAGAGGAAGAAAGCTGGATTCTTTTGGCATATTTATGTTGTCATTTAATAGTCCTGAGGGGGAGAAAGTGACAAATGACATTAATCTGTCACCAGTGTTAGTTTTTTTTCAGGCTGGGAATGACTTTTTAAAACAGAGCTCTTTGATGGATATGAACTAATTGCTGCTGAATCCAAACGAGACAATAATATGTATTATTAAATGTCAAAGCAGACAAATACAGACTTTAATGAATGTAATATAACAGAACCATATGACATAGTACATCGCTGTACAGAACAATACGATACTGAACAACACAATACGATACCATACAAGACTGAGGTCATTTCATTTTCTACCACCCTGCTACCAAAAAAAGTCAAAATACGACACTCTAGGGCTGGGAAAGAAACCAAAAATTTACCGATACCAAAATTTACGACAGTGTCAAAAAAAATAAATAAATAAAAGTTGGTTTTGGATGTGTGTAGATAGGCTATGTTCTCATGTCCCTTTAAGACACTGTCCTACGTCAGAGACGTGACTCTACCCCATCCAGTCCGTAACAAAGAGGGAAAGACAGGTGAGGAGCTGGAGGATGTTTCAAAAATTGTTGCGGATGGAGTCGCGGCTGAAGTAGATGAAGTTAATGTGGAAGGGGGTGAGCAGCTTGTGGAGTAGTTATCGTCCATTTAGCGTTATTGAGGTGAACTGCTCAATATATTGTGATATTGATTTGAGGCCATATCACCCAGCCCTACAACATTCTTTTTGGAAACCATGGTCTCTATGTCCTCTGCTCGAGTAGAGGAGAGGGACCATCCAGCTTGTTATCATAACAAAGTTCAAGAGCCGGCGCTGAATCCCAATTAGAAGTGTAAAAATGCGTGAGGTGGTTAGAAAGACTGGAAAACAAGACCATAGGTAACTGTGGCGCGGAAAACTGTATTATCCTGCAGAAAGCTAAACTAGAACCACATTGACTGGTGAGCAGCCATCCTCCTTTGTTTCATGGCTCTTCTTTTCTATCATTGCGTGTTGCTGAAACTGTTATCCACGCATCTGTAACTTTTTAACTTGATTATTTAAAGGTCCTCTTCTCTGGTCTTCATAGTTTTGCAATGAGAAGTCTCCAGTTCGTGCAGGATGCTGCAGCAAAAATTAGAAAACATGACAACTGCTGGGCTGGAATTTCACTGTTCAAACTCCACAGCAGCTTGGTAACCAGTGCTGCAGCCACCGTGTGTCTGTTTGTGTTGACTTCAGGATTCCCCAAGTGTAATTGGCTCTGTTGGCCTTTGGGGAAGTTTAGGTAAATGTCTCACCTCTCTGCAACTTTTGTCTTTGTTTCTGTGTCTCAGACCAGCTTCACCCGACATAAACACATCAGTCTGGACAGCTTGGACAGATTCGTACTCTTTGAAAAGGTCTCATGAGGTATCACTATCGCTTTAAGGGGGAAATTGGAAACGCTTTCCGCTCAAAAATGACAGGAGCTGCTATTCATCGTGTAGAGTGTGTATTCATATTATCTGGATGTTTTTGGGGTTTTTTAACTCGGGGAAATTTGTCGTTTTATCAAATGTAGTGGTGTATTTCATCAAGCTGACAGTCCCGTTGGAAAAACAGATAATGTGTCAGTGAGTAAGAAGAGAAGTGAGCAAAATGTTCAAGATTTTCAGATTATTGTGTTTGGGTTCATGTCAAGTATTAAGATTTTAGATTAAATGTGGTAAAGAGCATTTTTTATGCCCAAGTTCTAGCTACTCAAGGAATTTGCTGACTACTGTGATTGAAGACTTTGACACACTGAATACATTTGTTTTTGGGCCAACTGGTTCGACAACTTTGCGGTTACCTGGTTAGTGTTTCCTTGTTTATTGGATCGATGCCATGAGGTGACTCCCGGCAAACAATCTCCTTTAATAATAAGTGGATTTAATTAAAGGATCTTCTCTGAAGCGTCTGCCTGTCTCCTGGAGGATTCACACAGTAAACATCAGATGTTTGTGGCTTTGATACAGAAACGCGTCACGTTCCATAACTGTCTGATGACATCTTATAGGCGATTTATTTAACAGACTTACAGACAGGTGTGGCTCAGGTCAGGAGATCATAGAGTTTATAGAGTGGTATGAAAACTTTGCTGTTTATTTTAACCAACAGGATTTTGTTTCCTCGTAATCTTAATCGAGACTCTTTTTCCTTTAATCCAAACCAAACAGGGACCACTTTCACAGCTGTAATCACTGCATAAAACAAGAGAAAAAAGACACCAAAACATCCAAGAAATGTGATACTAAAAAAAAACATATGCCCTTCTAGATCAGGGAAAAGCATCTTTTATACCATTAAGGATAGGATTATATTGTAGTTTTTTCCAGGCTGTACTTGCACTTTTTCCCCAATGCTAGTCAGAAGTTACTTCAACCAAAAATGGAAATAAAATAAACATAATTGAAAGTGTTAAAATGAATAAACTCTTAGCAAGGGCGGAAAAAATGATGTCCAGAATAAGCAAAAGTGAAAGTTGGGTCATAAAACACAGGTGCAGTTACCACTTTTTGCCACAGGTGCCGCCAAAGAGATGGACACCAAGATCTGTGAAATTGTTGGTTTAAAAGCAGGTGTGCCTTAATTTTAGTCTTTACTATAATATGTTTTTATTTTGCTATATTTTCTAATCCAAAATAATCTGAGTAAACTTTATCAACTGCAGTAATTCTACTAGTGCATATTGTGTCTAAATTTATTATAAGGGCCTGTGTCTACTGAGAGCATTTCTACACTGGCACAATTATAAGCTCTTCTTTTTTAGCACAGTTTTTTTGCTGGGAAAGTTATCTCAAACTACTTCCATTTCTCTTGGGTTTGACTGCTGTGTCTGTTTGAAATTGCTCTGTAAGGACTTTCTTCCTCATAAGGACGTTTTACAGAAGAAAAACGCTCAAAGAAGTGAGAGGAATCATATCCGAGCAACAGCTTGGAGATTGTGCCGCTTCAAAAATAGTCAGGTTGGTTCCTCTTCTGCTGTTGTTGTTGTTGTTGTTGTTGTTGACAAAGTTTAAACAAGTCCTGCCTCATCCTTATCTTTACTGGTCAGATAGGGTGACGTGAGATTGACAAGCCCTGTGAGGTTCTTCTAGTGGACACAGGCCCTAGGACTTAGACTCTGCTTTTCACTCCTATGAGTGTGTGACATATAGAGGTTTTGAACAAATATGTCTAACTTCTTGTTTTATCTTCATAAATATATTCGTAAATATATTTAAGTTAAATTTGTAATTAAAGAGGATCCTCAAACTCAATAGCTGTAGTCTGTGATAATTGATTATATAAGGTCAACTGTTTAGATAGCTGGTTGGATACAGTAATGTCTTGAAATAATTTTGACCACATTGCTCAGGGGTGTATTAATAAGCTCTGTGCGCTCTGCCACGCCTGGTTAGCGTCTGTGTGTTCAGAAGTCCACAGTAGCATCGCGGTCCTCAGCATCAAGCCTTCTAAGCCGATTATGTTACTTAGGAGAAGATGACACCGTAGTCTGGTGTTTTCCACCACACACTGCCAAGGCCACTCGCCTTGTCCACGATTGATTTTCATCCCACGTGAAAATTGTAAAATGTTCTCCTCCAGCTCCACATTTGTCTTTGAGTCACTTTCTTTGTGAGTTAAAAAAGGAAAAACTAGCTCAAAAAAACTACACACAGGTTTTGGAGGAGCTCTGGAGGCTCTGGCACATTTTCTCCCACAGTTGCAGTTTTTCAAGCTGGAAGTCTCCTGAGCCAGGTGTAAAAAAAACGTCTCCTCTTCCCAAGCTCATGCACAGAGTCTTCCAGGCATGCCAGCCGGTGAGTGAAAGATGCAGATGGAGCAGCAGAAAGAGAGGATTAACCTGAGCACATAGGCCAGAGGGGAAGTGTGGCAGGCACGGTGCCTCCTGACTGCCCCGCCCTGCTGACCTCAAAGTCTGAACTTAATATGGGAGGCTTAAGGCCTCCACACGTAGGCTGGTATTTAAAAAAAAGAGGTTTCCCTTCTTTGTCTTCAAAAAAGGTTGAAAATGCATGACAAACTAAATTAGGTGGAGATAATGTGTAATCAGTCTATGACGTCAAACACTGTAGAAGAACAATGTGTGCATTGGTATTGAGCATACCTACATTGTACACACAGAGTAGGGAATAAACTATTTGCCCTTGCACCTCAACACAATGATGAAGAACAACCAGTTTTTCCTATAAACATGTAATTAAACAAAGTAGCGAGCAGATGTCGGTCGGTAGCTTGTCATCTTGGCATACATAAATACAATAAATGCCATGTGAAAGTTAAGGTCATGACACCAGCATTTTCTTAAACTTTCTTAAACACACAGAGAATAAAGTATTTATAAATCTTACGTTTGGAAGCGTTAAAAAGAACTCAAATTTCAGTGGCCTAAAGCTCTATCAGGCAAAAATGCACAGAAAAAGACACATTTTAGAAAATGCCCACATACGTGTGGACTTCGCAGAAGTTTTACTGCTGCACACCTGAGTGGAGGATGGAAAAGTTTTCCCTTTCCTTCTAAATTTCCTCAGAAATTTGAACTAATGATGAATATTGTCAAGGCTTGGTGGTCTTGATACTCCTCTGAAAATGCTAATAACTGTATGGCTCTACTTTAGATATAGTCGAACAGCACTACATTTGTTATCCTGTTAACTGTTGATTTGTCCTGTAAATGCTGGAAAAAGGTACATTTTTGAAATTTTCTAATTATATTCTTATACAGCCAACAGCCTGTTGCCCTAATCTGTCATTGATTAAATGTTACAGGGCACTGGCAGTGTGATGCATGATTTCTGCTAAAAGTTGAGAAAGCATCTCTTAAATCGCCACTATCATCTTTAAGTTTCAAAATTCCTCTTGAGAAACTATTGGAAGGTGTCACTGAGACTCAGACTACATCTATAGGTAGAATTGCCATCATTGTTGTTAGTCTTTGTTTGTTTTGATCTTGGTTCTGCATTTTTCTTTTGAAAATGCGCGTAATAGTCCTTTAACAAAGCTGAGCACAGTCTGCAGACTATGCTATGTGTTCTCTAATGTGTTGCTGGAAAGAGTTATGTGCTTTGTTAGCTCTACTTCGAAATTTGACATAATAATGGAAAGGGACTCTTGTTGTTGCCATGGCAACCACACAGTAAATTTCCAAACTTGACACTTGCTCCAAAAGAAATTGAATTAAATCTATACAAAGTTTGTTCTCAAAGGACTGGGTCAGAGGACCCAGATTTCCATCCCCTGAGCGCTGTTGCGAGTTGATTGCTTCATAGTGTGGAAAGACCTCTATGGCCCAGAATGCACTTGGTTTAATTATGATATTAAATATGAGAGAGTGGGGAACAGTAAACTGGCTCTTCTGTCAATCACATGTAAACCATCAGCCTGTTGGCTCCCTCCCAGCTGAAACTAGACCAAAACGGATCAGCGACTGTTGATGCTGATAAAAAAAAAAAAAAAAAAAGAAAGCAGTGTGATCATCCATCAGAGGGTCCTCATCAGCCTGATGGGTGGGCCGACGCCAAGGTGCTGAATAAAACAGTCTTCCTCCCCTCCTCAGTATTCAGGCGGCGTGTCGTGGCTGGAGGAGCACGTTCACACTGCAGGCCTTCACGCTCGGCTCTCTCTGCTGCTCACTGCCAGCTGATTCAGGACGTCGCTCCTGTCTGCTGCAGGATGTAACTCTAAATCTGACAGAAATATAAAGTGACAGTGATGCAGAGAAGATGCCGCGTGCTCAGGATGACAATAACAACTGATGCCAGATCTGATTTGGGGCATGCACTTGTTGTTTTCAGCATGTTTTGGGGTAAAACATTGAACAGAATTGCCACCGACTGAGAGTGTAACCTTCTCTGTATTTAACTCTTATGTGACACAAAACTGCAACCAAGTTTTCAAATAGTTGTTTAGCTCGATTTAAAAGTTGCTCACTACTTTTTGTTTGTCTAAGTAGGCTTCATTTCCACATCCTTAAAGCCTAAACTCTAGTGACAGTGAAATGTCCCATTCTTGTCTGATGAAGGTGTTCAGCTACTCAATAGTTCAGGGTCTCCTTTGTCTTATTTTTTATTTGATGTCATGTCAAATGCTTCCAACAAATGACATGTCTGGATTGTAGGCAGATGAGTTTAGCACCTAGACTCTTCATGCTGTTGTAATACATGCAGGATGTGGTTTAGCATTGTCCTAAAAAAATGTATTGTCTTCAGTGGAAAATCATAGTCTGGATGGCAGCATTTGTTGCTCAGTCCATCTTACGTGGGGCTCTGACCTGAAGAATCACTGGCGCCTCTGGATCATGTTTACAAATGGCTTCTTCTTTAAATGGCAGAGTTTAACATGATTTTGGAAGTGATTTTGAGACCCATGTGGCAACTTCCACTACAGAGTCATGTCTGTATGTCATGCAGTGCTACCTGCCTCTTTTGTATGGAGATTTCTGCAAATTCTCTGAATCTTGTAATGATTGGACAGAGATAAAGTTGGGGGTGACATCCCCACATTTTTGACCTTGTTACACTGGAGGAGATGATTTTTCTGTTGAGTCACGCAGTCTCTCACAGAGCGGTAAACCTCCTCCTATCCTCACCGCAGAGAGACTCAGCCTCTCCTTAGCGCTCAGTCCTGTTGTAACCTGTTGCAAATTGACCGAGTTAGTGGTGAGATGTTCCCCCAGGTGTCTATTACTAATGACTGATGTACTTTTAATCAGGTTACTATCACTGTAAGCAAAAGTTTTGACCCTCATATGGGAAAGTAGATTATTGAGTATTTATACACAGCTCTTCATATGGTAAAGAGCAAAACTTACCAATATAACAAATCTCTCTCACCCAGTGAATCAGTTGTTACATAATCACAGAAGACTTTGGGAACATGTTTTTTTACACATAGATGCTGATATATAAAGCAGTCAGACATAAGTGACGCAGGATGTGTGTGTCGTTGTAAGATGTGTAATCCTTTAAAACAGTTTTCCTCACTCTGACTGTACACTGAGCTTTTGGGTTTATCAGGATGCGTTTAAGTTGGTGTTGAACCCTCGGCTAACGCAGCCGGCATCTGTTGAGACAGATGGCAAACGACAAGTCGACCTCAGCAGGTTTGTTAATAGCTTTAATCTTTATGTCACAACTCTGTCTGTGGCACACATTTAGAAAAAAAAAAGAAAAAAGCCAAATAAAATCCTGGTTGTGTTTTCTGGCGATGCAGTTTTGTCAGCCTGTGAGAACTCTCTGCTCTGTACAGATGAAACGTTTCTGCCTCTCGGGCTGGATTTGTATTTTGTGTGTTTGGCTTGAAGGAGGCGGATTTTTCTGAGCGAGGTATTGTTTCCTTCAGTCCCGCGTGGTCAAGAGGATTCGGGGATTTTGAGATTTGCTTTGTAGAATTCATTTCTCGGGTACAAGCGCTTTTTTAAAACTAGTGCAATCGCGGCGGCTTAAGAAAACGAGCTGTGTAACCACACTCCTTCCATCGCTCATGTTTTATTAAGCAGCTGAAACCTGTGGGAGTTCTCCCACAATGCATCTCTCTTGCTGCACTGTTACATTTTGGAAAAAGCAGGATCCTGTTGGGTTGCTAATAGGATTGTTGGGAGTCTGGAGGATTTTTTGCAGCCCCCAAAAATCAGTCAAGCTGGCGTCAGCTGTAACAAAACATGATCTAGTTCCTTTTGTCTTTTTGGAACATGTCTTACAGGATTTTGGTGTAAGAATTAAAGGGGGCTAAAACATGGCAAGCATCCTTCTGATGAAAATGTTTTTGTAGCCGAGTGATCTACATCGAAGCCGCCCGTCTAAAAGAAAAAAACACAGAGCCCAAGTAAAAATAGACTGTGGGAAAGAGATAAGGGCTGCAGAGACAGAGCCGTCCCTTTCTGCCAGGGGTTTGGTTGATGGTTGGAGCCCAGATTTGACACCCAGCTCTCATCACATGGAGTGCCCCCCCACCCCTCTCACCCTCCTCTCTGGACTGCAGAGAGGACTTGTTGTTGACTCTGCGGGGATCGACCTAGTTCCCTCACGCAGCTAAAGGTCACATGTCTTGTTGCTCTGGACTACATGAGTGTGTATGTGTATGAGTGTGTGTGTGTGTGTGTGGACTTGACTTCAAACACAAACAGTGGAGCTGAAGATGTAACAGTGAGACTGTAACACCCACAGAGACCAGAGAAAAAATAGTTCCCCCAAAATAAGACAAAATAAACTTTATTATCCTCCAGTTTGGGTAGTTTGTCTTGGAGCAGCAGATCTGGGGATCATAATTAGAAGGAGACACCATGACAACAATAATAATAATGATAGTAGAAGATAACTATTAATAATAGAAATAAGTCGATAAAAACAACAAAAGCAAGAGCAACAAAAAGTCTACAAACACACAAATTACAGCTTTTCTTTTCTCCTCTTTTCCCTGTTCCTCTTATTCTTGGTCTTTTCTCTCTCATTGTCTTCCCTCCTTTTTCTCCTGCTACTTCTCTTCTTCTCCTTTTCTACATGTTCTTTATCTCTCCTCAGTCTTCTTCTTTTCTCATCTTCTCTGTCCTCTTTCTTTTTCTTACTTAAAGATCCAGTGAGTAACTTTTGGTTTGTGTCGTTTTGGCTCCCCCTGTGGACAAAGTGATCCCTCCCATGTTTTATTTTGTAAACATGAAAGTTGTGTATTCATACGAGAAACTCATCTTGTGGTCTTTAAAGGTGAAAGGCATCTATTGTTGTGAATGGTTGCCATGGAAAAAGTATTAAAAAACTGGTTGTTCAGGTTCCTGTCAATCATCTGGTCTGGCCCCTCCCCCTTACAGTAGTTGGCATTGATAAATAGTGAAATTTTCAACCTTGATGCTGATGGTTTATTTTCTGGTTCTTCATCTTCTTTGTCTTCTTGGTCTATTTGTGTTCCTCTTCCTCTTTATTGTCATTGTCCTCTTTGTCTTTCTACTCTTCTTGATCTTTCCTTCATTTTCTTCCTGTTTTCTGATTTGTCTCCTTCTTTCTCTGTCTGGTCCAGGCTCTCTCTTGATTTCCCTTGGTCTGTTTCTCCCTTCTTTCCTCTTCTAAACAGAATAATAAGAAGACATAATCAGCACTTTTTATAAGACTTAAAGTCGATAAACACTTCACTGTCATTTAATTTGAGCTAATAAAAGACGATCTTATTTAGCAGCATAAAAATGCCTTTGTGCGAACCCTATACAACCAGAGGTTTTAATGCTTAAACTAAACATGCATTACTGTGAAACGCAGTCGCGTCAAGCTGACACTTCAACATTGAAGCCAACGGCAGTAAAAGGTTATTTAATAAAGAGCTGAAATATAGTCTTTTTCATATTAAAATGTTGCTCTCCTTTAGTAATAATAAAATGAGAATAGTGCAGTTTTGATCAAAGCTAACACGACTGCTCCCCTGTGTCTCTGTGGTCGGTGCTGTGTGGTGTTTGGTGTCTGTGGTCAGCGGAGGACGAGGCAGCTGGTGCTCTTATTAGGTGGTATTAGCTCAGCGCCCTCGACCGCAGCCACAAACTTATCTGCCGCACTCATTTGCAATGGAAAAAGCAGCAAAGCCGATTGGGGCCTGTCTGCTGGCCGAGGATGACGAGGGTGAAGGAGGAGAGGAGTGGGGAGGAGAGGAAAGCAGGCTGCAGGACTCTGTCGTCGCCTGCTGTGACCGCTCTGCCTCTCTCTCTCTGTTTATATTCATCTACAGGACCGCCATGTGTAGACGGGTTATTTATATACCCGCTACATGTCTGCTTTTAGATTATACAGTTCATGTCGTATGTTTTTCTAGTTTGACCTCTCTGTGAAGCTCTTTATCAACAATTTTTGTTTTTAAATATATATTTCAACTTCAGATTTAGTTTGGAATAAACAAGAGAGAGGAAAGTGGGCTGGCTGTGTTCAAGAAATACACATAATATTCTTTTTCTGTGGATTTTCAGATAATTTTTTAGTTATCAGCTAACTGCAGAATGTTTGGCATGATATTTTTAAGCAGATTTGTTCTTTCTGCTGCACATCTTGCTGTTCTTGTTCATATTTTTCCCTGACCTGTCGCCATTTACTTTTGGGAGCTTAACATTTTGACCCACGACATGTACGCAGACTCATTCCAGCCATTCCAGAGAGCATACTTGTTTGGAGCGGCTATGAGAAAAAAAACACATCAAGAGAAATAGCTGTAGTCGAGCTTTCTTTACAGAATATTTTTTTTGTGCCTTTTTGTTTGGCTTTGCCTGAGAAACCCTTCATGAATTTCTGAAGACGGCAACAAGAAAAAACATTTACCGGCAATCAGGAACTCTGTGCTGTGCAGCAATGACTCATCCACAAGCTTTGAAAAATACAAAACAAAAGTACACCAAGATAACTTTGAAAAATCTTCAACTTATCATGCTTGTCAACCTTTGAGTCCATGTTTTAGCCATGTTTTCCTTTACCCAGCTGGTTTACAGGGTTGTTGCACAGTGGTTCCCTTGCTGAACAAGGGTTCCTAGTTTGAATCCAGCTGAACTTGCGTGGCGGGAGCCTTTACGATGTGGATGCATGTTCTCCTGGTGCATGCGTGGGAGATCCAGTTTCCTCCCATTATCCTAAGACATGTTCGTTAGTTACAGTAAATTGCCCGTAGATGTGAGTGTGTGCGAATGGTTGTTTGTCTCTCCGTGTTAGCACAGTGATAGATAAGCAGCCTCTCTCTTGATGACAGCTAGGTTTGAGTCCAGTCCTGGATAGGACAGGCGATAAAGAGGGTAGATGGATGGAATAACTATAGAAACATGAATGGAGTTTGTGTTAAGTCATGATAATCTAAAAGTGGATCATTAGCTGCACTTGCATGTCGATATCTATGTGCAAAAGCAAACAAGACTATTAGGAACAAGGCTGAAATTTTCTTAGTTGGGATTTATAGTGAGAAGTTTTAAACAGCTTTGTCCAAAATCAACACAAGGAGCTTAAAAAAGGCGGAACACTTAAAGACTGTCTCAGGTTTAAAAATATGCCAAATTCCCATCAGGGCAGCATGACTTTGTTTAGACTTTGCAAGGTGTGCACTTTATCCTTTTTGCAACCCCGTAGTGACTTCCAGCGCTGTTCTCAGCGTACAGCGGCTCTGCAGAAACATCCTCATGTATCTTAAATCCGGCCTCATGAGGATAAAAATACATTAAACATGTTTGTTAAGCCTTAAGAGACACAGACGCTGCATTAAAGAGAGAACACTGAACATAAACACAACAGTATTTATCCGAAAACTCCACAGGGAGCCTTTAACTTTGTCCCTCCATGCTTTAAGCTAACAGGCTTTCAGTACGATGGAGTGTCTTTGGGGGCTGATTGTGGTCTTTTCAAATCAGGTCTTAGTTTTCTAATCATGCATGTGTGTGAACAGTTTACATAACATCCAATAAAGCTGGATCTTGGCTGTGCTTTTATTGTCATTTCATTCTGGGGGAGTCTCGTCATTGTTCAGGCATTAAAGCCTTTTGTTCCATCAGCTGTTGAAAATTGATCATTGTTCTGCTGCGACACTGAATATCTGTTACTCTGCTAAACTGGAGTCTGACAGCTTGAATTTGATGCAGGGAAAATGAAGAAATATGAGGTTTTGTTGATTGTTTTTGCACTTCCTTTAATGAAGTTCATTTTTAACAGGATACTTTAGTACAATTTTTCAGAAAGTCAATTCTAAGGGGAGGAATTTGAATTTCTGCTCTTGGGTATCGATTGAACAGGTAATAAGAGGACTCAAGCTTCACCTGTCTAAAACATGAAGTGGATTTCTCTCCTTCTCTCTTGTCATTGAAGTTGATGTGGTGAAGATACTCCCTGATGTTTACATGTTGAGACAGCAGCTCCTCTTTGAGCTTCACTTTATTTCTTACCTGCAGCCAAACGTGCGTGCGTGTGTTTGTGCGTGTGTGTGTGTGTGTGTGTATGTGTTTATGTGTGTGTGGGAACCTTGGCAAGGTGGAGGAACAAGTATGCGCTGCAGTCAGTGAGAGAAAAGCACCCCAGGGCGTCACTTGCTGACATTCTTGTACGTGGAGATGTGGTGCTGCTCTGTATCTAATACTTACATGGCTGTTTTTCTCTCTTTCTTTCTTGTTTCAGTCATTTCAAGGCAGTCAAGGAAGAGCCTACCTGTTTAATTCAGTGTGAGTACAACACACACACACCTACAGTCAAATCATTTCAATCCCACTTCCATGTTAAAGCACACAAAGATAACTACTTCTGCTACTGCAGCTTACATTAACCTGTGTTCACTGAGTAACTCATCACCATGGTAGCGCTCATTTATACGTTAAATCAGCTCATAAGTTGTTCCTCTTGACCACAGCTATGAAGTTCATCTCTGTGAGTTTCAACCAGAGTTCAGCTGTCCCCCCTCAGCACTGGCCTCCTGCTTTGCTGTCACTCTCACTCAGTCTTGTTGTCTGAATATTGCCCCCTCTCTGCTAAGTCCTTCCTCTGACACAGTGGCAGCAGCTCCTGCTGATTCCTCTGTGGCTGCACACATATGTCAATATTATGCTATTATGTACGAATTTTGCTGCACCTGACAGTTAAGTATATTAATAAGGGGAAAAGAAGCTTCAAGAAGAAAACAAGAGGTGCACACAAGGCTAGACAAAGCCTCTATGAGGCCCTTGTAGGGGTGGGCGAAACAGCAAAAATATACTATAGTTTTTGAATGTTGAAACTTGATCTCAATATCATAATCGCTCTGGTTTTAAGATTGTTTTGCAAGATTCTAGTAAGTACTACCAAGCTTATTTCTATTTAAAAAAATCTGTAAAGATAAGATAATAATAGACCATTTAAGTCAAAGTATCTTATTGAACAGTACAATCTGTGTTCAATCTGACAAAGTCATGACAAGTACAAATGAATTAGAATGAATGTTGACATGCAACAGAAAAGACTTAAAGTTCACCCAGTTTCAGACATTATCACTTAATTCAAAAGCAAATATTTGCTAAATTATCCCGATTATTATCAGAAATCTTATTTTCCAATAAGATTTAAAGAAATTTAATGAGATATTACTCATATGGTGATCTAATGATATTGTCAGACGAAGTTAGGAGTTCATGCAAAGTGAAAACAGACAAAGAAATCATACATATCAAACTTTTACTAATGCAGGCTGGATCTATGGTAGTAGTATTATTTCCCTTCTCCAAGATCACGGTTTTGTTCTGCATAATGCATCTTTTACAGAAGTAAGCATTCAGACACAATTTTTACCCATTATTCCAACTATATTTTTGTTTTGAATAATAAACTAATAGGTATAATTAAGATTTGTACTGCTTTATGTTTACCACATTTACAGTGCACCGGGTTTGTGTAATCTGACACCAAGACAGACTCTGCTTCTCAGCCAATCACAAAACACTGAGAATATAAGCAAAAGAAATGATTGCAAGAAGCTAAAAAAACTTTCTCAAAAAACTCTCAAGCTATGAAACGAGATCTTAGCGAGCAGCAGGTTCATTTGTGTCATGGGCTGTACACAAGGAAAGCCATCATCGCAAAGGAACATTAATACAATGTTATTGTTAATTTATCAGATATTACTCTTTACTTAAAATATTTGTAGTATAAAAGACATATTTCCCAACCTCAAAATTACTTCTTCGTGTGTCTTGTTTTGTCTATAACCCCAAAATATTTAGTTTTATAACAAAAAGAACCATAAAAACCAACTCAAACTGATATACAGAATTCAAATATTGTGTAAAACAGAGGCAGCATGAGACTCTAGTGATCTTTGAATTTAACTTTAAATCACCAAATCTTCATGGTAAATAGAGGCAGAAGTGAAGTGAAGTTCCCTTCACCCTCTGGTCAACATTTCTCTTTTTAAATTCATGAAACAGCTCCAGAGGGTTTATTTCTTGGTTGGTTGGTTTTGGGCACTCTGCTCTCAGTCCTAATAAAAACCACAGAAGACATATTGAGGTGTGACAGTGGGACTGCTTTGTGCCACCTGAGTCTAGATTACATTGTTCTCACCTGCAGGAACGAAAGGGGGGGAAAGGAGCTTTCTGCAGTCTCTCTAGTCCAGATAAATTATTCAAAATATGCCAAATGTGCAAGCAGCTGAAATCCTGTGAGGAGGACTCATGGTGGGGTGCAGAAACAAACAGCAGCATTTGGTGGAAACTCCAGTCTTGCAGACAACACGTATCTTAGTTACTCACATAATGACTGTTTCAGCAGCTCTTCACTCAGTTTATTAGTTTGTGGCGTTTGCTTTAATTAAAACGTCAGTCAAAAGTTAATCAGCAGCTCAGAGTGGGAGGTAAATTTAGTGAGAAAGATGTGACAAATAATATATATATATATATATAAAGCCCTGAAAATAAAAGATTTAATTTAACAAACTTTGAATTTGCATCTTAATTCTAAACTTTGGTGCAGTTTTAACATATTTGTTTGGGAGTTTTTGTTGAGACAAGACACAAACGCTCAGAATATGTCTCCATGAGATACCAGTTATTACTAAAAATGTCACTTTTTGGAGTCTAGGTAAACTTCTCAAGCATATTGAAAAGGAAAGGTAGGCAAAATATACAAATGTCTCTGTATCAATAACCAAATATTGAATACATGAGGGAATATAAATCAAATTGTTTATTTCTTTGTCATGTATTTTCTGACAACTTACAAAAAAGATAGATGTGATAAAAATTTGTTTGTAAATTCAGCTCAAGATCAACTTTTTTGTCGAGCCAAGCATGACTCGCCCTCGTTTCCCCACCATTTCCTGCTCTATCCTCTGTCCTATCCTGTCAAATAAAGGCCAAAAATAAATCTGAAAAAAAAAACAAGCTCACACAGAACAAAGTTCTACCCAGAAATCTTCTTCTGCACCGGTACCCTGAAACGACCTGACAGTAAAAGCTCAGACTCACTCTGAAGTGGATGCTTCTGGTGATCTAATATAGCATGAGGCCTCTAAGGACCCGGCTGTTATAAATGGCCAGGAGTCCAGCCTGACTCTGCCCTAAGATATGACCCTCCATTAAGAAGCTTGATAATATTGGGAAGCACATATTTTTAACCTTTTCATCTCAAATTTAATCTCTTATTTCTGTCATTTTTTTTGATAGTAAAACTTGGAACAGAGACTCTTTTTTTACTCAGTATTATTTCACTTTGAACACTTTGCGTCACATTAGAAGATCGTTGCTCTTCTCCCTGCGCTCTCCCTTCCCTCTGTAACCTCTTTTCCTCTTCCTCACAGGGTGAATGTCGGCTGCGGGCCAGCAGAGGAGCGGGTTCTCCTCACAGGTTTACATGCTGTCGCTGATATCTACTGTGAAAACTGTAAAACCACGCTGGGATGGAAATATGTAAGTCAGATGCTCTAAAAACTTTCCTTTTCTTAAACACCCCTGCCTTAATGTTTCTGCTCTAAATTTCACTGCTGCTTGCTTGTTGTGCAACTCTGTGGTTTCTGGGCTTTAAAGGGGACAAATGATGCAACTGGAGGTCATTGAAGTCGTGTGTTAGAGCCATGGTGACAGTTTTTCCTGCTCTTAGTTGTATTTAGAGCGATTGAGCACTCTTCGCTCTCTTAGCGCCGGCGATAATTACAGTGCAGAAAGGTTGGCTGCAGGCTCGTACCTCTGAGAGTCTGCAGTGATTAAATGTCAGGCCGTTTTGAAGAGGCTTGTCCTGGTAATTGTCTGAGAAGACTATAGGAGGGTGTAAAATAACTGAACACAGTTTAAGACAGGGACTCACTTAAAGCCGCTCCTTCAGCCACAAAAACAATTAGAGTTTCCCAGAAAGGCGCCGGGAGCTGAGCAGAGTCGAGCTGGTTTGCAAGGCAAAGCAGGCTGAGCCGGTAATCAAAGACACACAGACACACAGACTCTCCTCCTCCGGCTCTGCAGGACAGACACTAATGCAGGGCATCATACAGTACGTCAAAGATGAGAGTCAGGCATGCAAAAGAGGTGGTCTGTCAGAGGAGGAAACCTTTAGGTCTCCATAAAGTGCTACATTTTCCCCTAAACCCTTTCACAATAAGACAAATAAATGTGCTGATTGGTTTTGCTGCCTATTTGTACTGCTTGTTACTCTGACTAATGAGGACTGCTGAGATTTTGTAGACTTAAGACCAGAACTTATAACCTCTCTTCAACTCTGTGATTGCTCTCCTGAGTCTCCTCCTGTTTTACTAAAAAGAAATTAAAGCCATTTACATATGCTTTCCTGATTTGTAGAAATAGGTAAAAAACACTATTTATTTTCACTCGCCATGTTCACAAGAAACCTGCCTCTTGATTGAAACTCCAAGTCCCGGCTTATTGTGATGAGAATGAGCAGCAATGCCATCTGACAGGTTTCTGATCCATGATTTTAAGTGCATGTTTGAACTTGAGGGTACGTTTATTGTTGGTTTGGCCCCCTGCAGTAGTTTATAAACTGCTGTGCTGCTGTGAGAGGTAAATATGGTCTTTGTGAAGGGAAACAGTTTAAGTTTGTTGAACAGTTCCAGACAACCTCAGCATGTTCATCAGATTTTAAGCAGATCTCTAGAACACTGATACTAAAATGTACTTAGCATTACTTACTTAGCCATCAATACATGGGATAGCAACAGGTCCAGGATTGGATAAGACTTTCTTTTTTTTTTTTGGTTACCAAATATAATTTTATGTGATATATGGCCACAAATTGTGTCACTATATGTTTTGTTGAGCAGTAGTTTGTTTGGTAAAAGTCAATCTTAAAAACATTTAAATCTGTCTGAAGAGATTGGTCAACTGTGACAATTAAGATTTGCATATATACAAAATAGTGTCATCAGCATAAAGTTAAACTTGACAGTCATTAAATCAGCAAGTCAGACACATAAATAGAAAAATAGAGGGGATCTAATTGTGACCCTGAGGCACACCTCTTTACTAAATCAATTAACTAAATTTTGATGTTACAGCTAAAGTTTTTTTCTGCTTTTTTCAGGAGCATGCGTTTGAGAGCAGTCAAAAGTACAAAGAGGGAAAGTTCATCATCGAGCTGGCTCACATGATCAAGGACAACGGATGGGAGTGACTCTCTCCGCTCTCTCTATTTTTTGCTTTTTCTGACCTTGGAATGCTCTCTATTGAACTGCGTGGAGCGTTGACCATCATCCACCCCCCACCACCCCCTGAAAATTACCCCCCTCCACAAACCTCCACCCCTCGCCTCCTTCACGTGCACACACTCCCACCTGCTCATTGTGAAAACTGAACCAAACAAATGAAATAAAAACGACGAGGGAGGAAAGAGGAAAGGGAGGAGGAGAAGCGGAGGAGCAGCTGTTGAAAAATCACGTCACAAGGAGTCCTGTCATTACTTCAAAGATTGTGTGTTCTCCTTTGCAGCTCTGGAGCTTTTGGGTTCAACCTCCACCCACTCACTCCCACCCCCACCAAAAGCCACGCTTACAAGTGATTGTGGTGATATGGTGACCACCTTACGAAAGGAGACAGACTTCACTGAAAGAACATTTCTTTGTTTTCTTTCTTTCGCCCATCCAGCGAGACGAATGACTTTGATGACTTTGATAATTTTATTGTTACTTGCTTTAGTTTTAACCTCTGGGTTTGGTAAGGGTTTGGTTTGATGGAAGATGGATGTTACTGGTTAGCATTTTGTTTCTCTGTTTCCGTCTGTCATTTTTGTTTGTTCGTTTCTTTGGCTGGTTTATCTCTGCCCACAACTGAGCATGTTTTTCTTTGCTAATGTCCAAATGAGAAATCAGGGACAGATGAGGAGCGGAGGGGAAAGGGAGTTTATTCTGGTTACAAATATGTAGCATTATCTTGCTTTTTCTTAAAAGGTAAATGATGGGATTGCAGTAGTGCAGGATTTTATTCCTGATTTTTTCTTTTGGTTTTTATCCTTTTCTTTCATGTTGTTTTTCTTCGTTTCCCCCTTTCTGGTACCTTTCAGCACCCAAAAAGCATTCAAAGCAGCACCTAGTTTGTTTGGCATAAATGGATATATATATACATATAAATATATATATATATATCTATACATATAAATATATAAATATTTGTAGTGTTATGGCTAAACGGGATTGTGGCTGGTCCCATTTTGCAGCAGTACATAAGTGATAGAGACGTGAAAAGAAGCAGAGATAATGTGCGGTTACTTTTGTGTCAGAAAACGGAGACAGTAGAAGTTAACACACTGCATCAAAAAAGTTTATGAATCAGCTTTTTCTTTTCAAATCAAAAGGTTTCGATTGGAAATGCAAAAGTTTCTGTTTCCAGAAGTTTCTTAGTCACTGAGCTCAATCTTATGGGCGGGGCCTACAGAAGAGACATCTCTATTGCTCGATATGAAATAGAGCGACATCAACTGGAATATTTCGAAGCAAAACTCATACTGACAAAGATGCTAAATTTGTGAGAAATATTGAGATGCAGACTGAACATTTGGATTGGAGTTCAAAACCTCTAAATTGGCAAACAGAACTTTTGGATTTGTTAGCAAAGGTTTCAACACTGCCTCAAAAGCTTTTGGAATACATTTACAAATCAGTTTTATATATAAAGAAAATGTTTTGTTTGGAAATGCAAAGGATTTTGTTACAAGAGGATTTGGTTGTCATGGGGATCAATCACGTGGGCGGGACCTACGTAGAAAGATGTAAGAGACATTTCTGTTTGTGATTCTCAAATGAAGTAACAACATCCAAAACAGTTGCTGTATTTCTATTTGAAAGCGAAACTTTTGCATTTGCTCACAAAACATTTAACTTTGGATTTGCCATCAAAACGTTTTAAACTTTAATTTACACATTTCCTCTTTGCAGTGTTAAGAGTTTTGCCTCCAAATCTTTCTCTCTCTTTTTGTTAGCAGTATGTTAACTTCTGCTGTTAAGTCTTTTAAATAGATTTCAAAACAAAGACACAAGAGTAACCTCTGAAAATATTGCATAGACTGAAGAACCTGAACTCAGTGTCCACATTGGGGCAGACTATTTTAATTCACCTTTTGGTAATCAGACACAACTACATAGGAATATATTCACACATAGTATGATGACATATCCGTAAATACTATGAAAATGTTCTTAGTACGTAGAATTTGGAACATGGATTCTATGAATATATATATATATATATATATATATGCTGTCATGCACATATGTATATATGCATATGACTGTGTGTATATATGTGTGTGTGTGTGGTCATGCATTACACAGTGGCATTCTTGAACAATGCTCTTCGCTTGCACTTTGCAGAGGCCTTTGGTTCATGTCGGTTTAGAGGCAAAGCGTTTTAATGGCCTTCTCACAGATGAACGATGAATTGTAGGAGACAGAAAGAAAGTAAACTGAACTGTTCATGACGAGGTAAATACCCGACTTCTTTCCAAGCTCTTTTTTTAGATGCTTTTAGATGATTTCATTTTGTTTCACTTCAAAACATGTTCAAAAATCCTGCTTCTCCTGTTTGGTTTTGCCTGAATTTGCCCAAAGCTGCAACACATGGTTGACTATTTGATCAAACGGCTCCATATTTTTATCAGCAGTAAATCATTTTGGTTCAAAAATGACAATGGTTAGTTGACTAATTAATCAAATGTCATACTTGGTCACAATTTAGTGATTTTAGTGACATTTTCAACCAAAAATGCTCATTTGTCATTTTTTGATGTTTTCCATCAAAATTGTTAAAATTGTGAAAAGTTACTGGATGATATATTGATCAAAAGTTCTTGTATCTGATCACCAGTTAGTTATGTGGAAAAAAATTGATCAAGCTTTCAAAAGTACAGACAACTTTGAGCTTTGGGAAATTTGTTGTGCATTTTAAAGTTTTCTGAAACTTCTTGAAAAATTATGAATTAGTTTTAATAATTAATACTTAAAATAATCAGCACATAATTGGAAAACATGTTGCAAGACCAGTTTCTCGGTTCCTGATTTTTTTGCTGCTACCCTTGAACTCCCACCATTCCTCTGCGCTTTTGTAGACCTTTTGCACTTTATTCTTCTCCATCTCTCTCTCTTCACAGAGTGTTTGGATTGTCTCTTTATAGACTGTGTCTGTCATTTGCCTCTAAGCCGAACGAATCTTGTGCCTCTTCAAAACATGAACGACCCCCCCTCTTTCTTCTTTTTTCTGTTGTGCGGTGCATAACTGGAAAAAAAAAAAAAAAAACCCTCATGTGAGCCGATGTGTCTTCCCCCTCCTTCATTCTGGTTCATAGTAGCCCCTAAAAACTGACTTTATTCACCCAAATCCTCCTAGAGCTCATCCCTGTTTCTTTCTGACAACAGAGGCGTGGTATAGGTAATCACATATATTTTCTAAGTTAAGATTTAGAGGTGCAAAAACAGATGGATATTAAGTATATTATTTCTTAGAGTAAAGCATAGAGAGAGTTCGCCCTGGGCTTGTTGTTAGACTTTTTATTGTAAGGATTGAAACAGGACAAAGTCGAGGCGTGACGAGAGAGATTTAAAAAATCAGCAGTGATTGATTACTTTGCCGGCAAGGTCAGTCAGATCACAAGACCTTTTATCTTTAAAACAATGACAATGCAAACCCTTACTAGTTAGCAATGATACCTACTTGAAAATATAAAGACATAAACAGCTGAGATATTGGCCCGTGTTACAGTTTTTGTACATAAAGTAACATATTTAAGGTTTTATACGTATTTCTACTGGGTTAGTTGTTTTACTTCCCCAACTTGAAGCACTTTTGTTCACTGTACCTCTGGCTGTGTGTGTCTGAATGTGTGCGAGTGTGCACCGTGCATGCATGTGTACTAGCCCACATGCATGCCTGCACATGAAAGTGAATGTTTAGTTTCTTTTCCTCGGTTTGATTTCTCTTGTTTTCCTCCTTTTTTTGGTTTGGAAGTGTTTTTATTTGTCCTGTGTTGGTTTCACTGTCACTCTCGCTCTCTCTGAGGTCGACAGTCAGGTTAGTTTGTTTGGAGGTGATTTTTCCCTGTTTTTATTTCTCTGTTAGCTCATTGATTTAGCTTGTGTGGTGAGAGCCCGTTAGAGGGCTGGTGTTTAGGTCTCTGCTGAGCCGTGTAGACGTCGAGGGCGAGCTGGAATCTCCCACCATGTCGCAGGGAGAGCCTTTACCAAGACCCTTTCGCCACCACAGTCAGTGTCTCCTGTATAGAGGGCTTTCAGGCGATCAAACGCACACGATGGCAGCCATATTGGAGGTCCTTAGCTTTTGGCTACACTGGCTGTGATTATCTGATTGTATTTCATATTCATTTTGTGCTATGAGAACTGTTACATTCATGCTCTGTTTGATTTGATTTGTTGTTATGCTAATGTGAGCTCATGAGCTACTTTGGCTTGGTCCCTGCGTTGCTGTTCTGGGACGTTATCCAGGTCTAACAAGACCTATCCTGATCTTAACACTCCTTAACATGCAGCTTCCTTCTTCTTCTTCTTCCTGGTTTTGCAGGACTCAGTCTCCCACAATCCATTGCACACTCCTTGTTTAAGGGAAATTTGACAGAGGCTTACAGTCTTGTGTTTATTGACACCCCAGAGGTTTATCTGCTCACTGGTGAAGTAGAAACTCTGTTAGTACATCCTGGTATTATGGCAGGGTGTGACCAGAGGTACAGCTGAGCTTAATCTGAAAGGAAATGTAGTTTGACATGAGGTTGTTCCTCTTTCATGGTGCATTCAAGTGCATTTTGCAGAGGCTTCATTGGCTGTATGTCTCGCAACTTTCCTGGTATGACTCTTAAACACCCCTGAGACTAAAAGTTAGGTAGCTTTGGTCTTATTTGATCCCATTATATGATTCTCATCAGCAAATCCTGCATTAACAGAGCTCCAGATGTCCAGAGTCACATTTTCCAAGCACGTCTATGGGCTGGATGCTATGGAAATGTGAGCATCTGAGAATTGAAACTCAAAATCTGATGTGATTTCAGCTCCGAAACAGCAGTTAAAATGACTTAGTAGACACTGAGTAAGTGAATGCATCATTTTGTAGTACATTTGTGATAAATCTGGCCTTAAGTTCCTCAACAGACAGGCGTACTCTACGAAAGTTGCAGCCTTAATCTGGCAAACTTTTCCAAAGCTTTCCAAAACAGCACTGGAAGCTCAAGTGGAAATATTTTACCAAATTTGTTTTATCTGCTTGAATGGTTACTGTAAGACCAACAGTAAGCCCACTTCCTAACTCCTCCATGCACAAAGCCAGTTCCTCCAAAGGACCTCCAAAATGGTGCCCGCAGTGGTTGCTGGGAGATTTGTAACCTAACTGCAGAGCCTCTTTACCCTCTCTTCGATCAGTCAGTCTAAGTTTAACCAACAAAAAGCAGGTGCCAGTGTCACCGCCGGTGTGTACCAAATAAGAACCAGGTTCTATCGAATGCATCAGTGTCGTGTGTCAGTGTGCAGGGAGGAAACCAGGGATCATGTTGGAGCGTCTCCTGGAGATCAAACTGCGATACCAAAACTAAAGAGGAGAAACCCTGGCACTGATGACTCTGTCTTTCTGTAGAATGTTTTGATTCTCTGAACTCAACAGCATCAAAGCAGCCTGGACAACAAATGTAGATATTTGCTGCTGAAAAACTGTTTACTTTTTCTCGTTATTTTGTTTTATTGTGACACTGGCTACCGCCTTTTTGAGCTCTGTTACTGTCTCAAACGTTCCTGAAAGGATGTCGATCAAAGGCAGGATGAGTATACAGGAGAAAAGACTGTACAAGTTCTTTTCTTAGGACTGTTAAACTACAGTTTAAGGTCTAAAGCATGTTGTATTTATAATGGCTATATGTTGTGCCTGTTTTATTATTATTTTTTCCTAAATTTAAAAAATATTATATGCTTTTTATTTGACTACATTGCTTTGCATTCTGTCTTAGTAAAGCCATGTCACATGTCTGTTTTCACTCTAATGTAAACTATCAGATATCACAATAAATTTTCAATGGCATTAAATTGTGGATGGTGTAAAGTGTTCATTCATTTTTGGATTTTTGATTATTAATCACTACTTTGTACAGCTCAAATCAAGCTGCAGTTCAACAAGTTTCCACTTGAGGCTGGTTCCAAAAGTAAGGAAATCTCCATTGACGCCCATGTTAGAATGCCCACTGTAACAGCAGAAATGAGCATGTTCACAGTCTGGTGCAAAAACAGTTTGGGTCTGAATCAAGGTTTTTATAGTGAACAAAAACCGTCAAAATCATGAAAACTTAATAATCAAAACCATTTGTGTTAACAAAAAAAATGAAAAAGGCTTCACAAAAACACGATAAAAGGTTAAGAGTAACATTCAGTTACAGAAAAGATGTCCTTTCTTTTTGTCCGACACAGAAACACGACCTGGAGTTAGATTTTGGTCGGACCTTTTACAGCAGAAGTTGATGTTTCTTTTCATTTTTTCATACTTCATACTATGAAGGAACTTTTAAAGAGATTGCTTGAAGACTTTTTATCAAATATTTACGATATATCAACTTTTTTGTTGACCTGCCAACTTAACATTCTGGCTGACGTGAAGATAAAGACCTGATCCTGTTTATATTTTACTACAGAAAAAAATTGAAAATTTATCTGTTGAAGAAAATCTCCTCTTAATGATGATCTTGGTGGTTTGACATATGTCTTTACATTGATGGCAGGGCAGCAATCCATATTGACTGAATGTGAGTCCTCCTGACAAGAATCCCACATCGCAAAAAATGAAAACTAACACCAAAACTACAACAAACTAAACTACTAAAACTAATATAGTCCAGGATCTGCCTTGAGTTTCTAAAATAAATCAATGTTTGCAGTAAATCCAGGATCTTCTTACATGCAGCCTTAACATTGTTTAGTTTGTAGCAGACTTTTTTTGACTAGGTGCCTGGAGGTATTTGCGCAAACACAAACTAATAGCATTTACCCTCTCTGCTTTTACTGTCTTTTAAGTATCATGATGTTGATATATGACTGTGTCTCATTGTTTTGCTTTAAAGAGAGACACAATAGAGTAGTGACACATAAGCACTCTGGTCACTTTTCATTGTGTCTTATGTGCCTTATAAATAAACTTGACTTGACATATAAATCTTCTTAGTTTAAGTCTTTGTGGGCTCAAGAAGAAGACACTTGTCTAAAATCACAACTGAAGGCATTTAGAAAAGACAAAGAGCTATATTCAAATATAGAGAAAGCTAATGACAGTTTATGAGATTGACAGAGGTGAGATTGATGCACATAGTTGAAGCAGCTGGAAAGCAGGAAGGTCCACAGCAGTGATCCAGAAGAACCTACAACATGATGGCGCTCATTGACTCCCAGAAAAAAACTGTGTATTAGTGACTCCAATGTGACATGACGATTCAAAGTTAAAGATACAGACAAAAAGAGGACAGAAAAACAGATGTAATGAGGTTTCCTGACCTATACTCACTATAGGGTCCATGGTTGGGGATACAGTTTCTGGACATTTATAGAAACCCTATGGAGAAACCTTATCTGCTGCAAAACTCTTGGTGCCAGATCATTGAACAAAACAAGAGAGATGTCTGTACCAGCATAGACAGGTGGTTATAATGTTATGGCTGTTCAGAGTACATTACTGTGGTCTCACTGAGTCTTGTTACAAATTTGATTGCACAAACACGCTGTCTAAAACATCAGCCATGTTTTGTTACATAATTAGAACCATGAACCATATGAAAACCACGAGAACATCACACACAGTGAAAATAAAAGAAGAACATCATGTTGCAGGAAGTTTGGCGCTTAAAAAGAGGAACTTGTCTAGTGGTGGTGATATGTGTGAAACTGTGATGAAATGAACTTTGACAGCTCCCCACAGAGACTTATGAACTTATGATTAAACAGTTCAGACCCGGAAGAAAGTATGTCAGAAAATGCCCTTTAAATGTAAAACTATTACTGAGGCATGAAATCCACTCAAAGTCCCACCCATGTGAGAGTTAGAGACGGAGAGTGAAGAAAGAGTCGGGGTGGGAAAGTGTCAGGTAATTATTAAAACAGAGAAGCTGTAAGACATTTTTTCCTCGACTGTGTTTCCTTGTGTTTCTGCTTCCTCAGACGTCAGCTGTTTCAAGGTTAATGGACTGCAGACAGACTTCCTTTTAACACAGTCTGACTCGTTTTTCTATTCTGTTCCAGACCCTTCAACGTAAACCAACAGACAACTGAAATAAAAAGGAGATGAGGCTTTATAATGAAAAAAAAATCTAACCAAAACTGCTTTATGTGTTTGACAGCTTTTTGATCCTTTTTTCAAGTAGACAGTAGGTCAGTGGCTCCTCCTCATCATGAAATCAAGTGAACTCTCTCAGCACTAGACTTTGTCTAATGAACAACTCTTTATGAACTAAACAGCACTGTAAAGGTTTGTAAGTCACTACCTGGTTTTCAATAGTACAGGGCTTTTATTTCCCCTTGTTACCAGAAAACTGGTTAATCATTCAGTTTTTAAATGTTTATGAACGTCTCACAGCCCAAAAGTCAAACAGAAACTTCCTCTTTGATAAACTGATCTTGAAAATGACGTTCCCTCTGTTCCTCTCACAGCCAGTTATCTTGTATTCATCTGAAGTATTAAAGGCAGGGCTGGTTTATCAAGCTGTCTATTAAACATGTGATTCACTAAAAAAGAACTCTATGAGGAATTGTTTTTAAGGGCATTTATCAAGAGGACAAAAAAAAAAAAACACACCATGAGGCAACCATTAGAGTACTGCACAGATGGAGACACACGTCATCAAAATATCTTGAATGCTGTATGACCAGGCAAGAACTTGTCTTACTTCTCGAGTCAGACTTCAACCCTCATTTTCAGGACTTGACTTTGATTTGAGGACTGATGACTTCGACTTGGACAAGCATTTACTGTTAATTTGCACAAGGCCTCGATAATTTCATTCAGTTTGCAGCCTGCACATGCGCTCACGTGTCGTCTTCTTTAGCAACCAGGATCACTAAATAAACGCCACGAATCACAGGTTTTGCTCTCAACCATTTTATTATGAATGTTGGCAAGAGCTCCGCAACTTGTGCAACATGTAACAGGACCATTAAGGAAAGGACAAAGAAAAACTCTAAGTTGAAGAGACATCTGTCAGGGAGGTACCCTTAAAAGTGAGTGAGATTCTAACGTTAGCATTCTTAGACTGTTACCGTCAGCAAGTTGATGGTTTTGTTAGCATTCACAGTGACTCAATCACTGGGTCCAAGATGTTGGATAAAGGTACTTAGATAAAATTCTAACAACCGCTTTGACCTGAACATAAAACGACCATGATTATAATACAACTCCGCCTGTTCAAGATGAATTTTTAAGAAAGACTTTTTGAAGACCAGGTCTTGTTTTTACTCAAATTTAGTAAGTTTCTGTACATTTGTAATACCAATAAATGCTAGGTCACAGTTCACTAAAAGAAGATGTGTTTTAGTTTACAAGTGTAAATGAAACCCACAAGTGTTGGTACACAGAAAAAGCAGATCTACTGATTCTACAATAAGCTGCATGGGATGAATTCATTCAAAACTGTTCTTTCGTATTTTCAGGCTGTGAAGTCTGGCTCAGGCTGCACTGGACCTTTACAGTCAGCTGATCACAGACACAGACTCTGATTGGTCCAATGACCAAAACAAAGATGGCAGCCCCCATTAAGCATAATTGGCTCACAACAGAAATAATGCTTTTCCACTCAAATTAATACCTAATTTATCACAAATTTCCTTTGTTTTTTTCAGAGACTGGATTTAAACGATCGCTGAAAAAACACTGATCTCCTCGAGAAAAGCTCCTGGACGCTGCAGAAACACACACCAGAAAGCTGCCGGTCTCACGAAGTGAGTGGATTCTACATTAAGTCCCTAAACAATGCTGTGTCTATGGGGGTGTCTCTATTAACAACTATTATACAATTCCACTTCTCAAAACAAAAAACAAAAAAACAAAAAATTGTTTTGTACTTGGGTCAAAACGGCTGCAAGTATTTTTAGTTTAAACAGACACCTGCAGGGATTGTACCACATTCAAACCCATGAGTGCGTGTCCATATGAACATTAAAATCTCCACACAGGCAAACAGGATCAGTCTAAATCTAATGCTAAACAAAACTATCTGCTTTTTCTCTCACATTAAATATTCACTTGCACAGTAGGCTTTTTCTGTTCTGGATGGCTGCAAACATGTTTTACACCTCTGAACCTAAATGTGATCCGCAGTTTGATGTAACTGTAAATTAATTTGCAGCATCTCTGTGATCATCAGGTAACTCGGGATGAAGCTGAGAGATCATCACACCTGCTGCAGTACAGCCAATTAACAGGAAAACCTTAACAAAGTACAAAGTGTACGTTATGTAGACGGAAGTTGCTATGACAGTTTTTACTCAGATGACTCTTCTGCTCAGTGCTTTCTATCTGTCTCTTTTCTTGATGCCCACACAGCCTCGTGTTTTCATGTCCTTGAGGTGGCTGGCTCGTCTTCAAGCAGCCTGTCAGACTCGAACCTCTCTCACATTCACTGACTGTTCTCAAACACAACCTTTCCAAGAGATTTTAACGACTGAACAGCTTATTTCAGTTCTCAGGAGTCTCTGCTGACTCTGTCTCAATGTGCGCAAGCTTTAAGTGGACTCTATGATGATCAGACCTTTGGTTTTGAAAATACTCAATGCAAAAGTCTGAACAACAGCTACAGAGAAGGAGGACAGCAAACCTCTGTATGCTTTTTTTCTCTTTAACAATCATTCTGCAGTCAGGAGCTGCACTGAATCTCCATGCATAAGTTATTGATGCTGTTTTCAGGCCACACATCTCATTAAAGCTGTGACCTCAATGATTAATCAATAATCATTGCTAATGACTGCTAATTGCCTCATAAACAACTTAATCTCGTGCATCTTGCATTGGGACTTTTACTTTTAACTCTTGTTATATGAAACAATTTTTCCAACACTTTATCTTATTTAATCAAAAAAACAAATCTTCTGTCTGAAAACTCAGGGACCCTGTTATTTAAACAACCTTCAATGTACCAACTGAACAAATACAGCAAAATAATACAACATTACAGCAAAAGTAACAGTCCTTTGTTTTTCATTGGAAACATCATCAGCCTAGCTGAGGATGGGAGTCAATAATGGGCCTTTGGTGGATTATTTCCTGTCTAGTGTTGTAGTTAAGTCAACAAACCTCTATGCTGAGATAAGTTCTCAAGTCTGCAGTGACTTATTCAAGGTTATGTCTGAACCCCAAGAGAGGGATTCAAGTCCAGTCTTAGATGTCACTGCATTTGCTAAATATAGGTCAAGTACACACCCTAATATTAGTTAGACCAGTAAATGATCCATCCAACCTGGACTGACTGTAAGAACCTTAACTGACTGTATGAACCTGGACTGTTGGCATGAACCTAGAGTAACTGAACCTGGACTGACTGTATGAATCTGTACTGACTGAACCAGGTCGGACTGTTGTAACCTAGACTGACTGTATGATCCTGGACTGTTTGAACCTGGACTGTGTGAACCAGGGACGACTGTAATAACCTGGACTGACAGTAGTAACCTGGACTGACTTTGTGAACCTGGAATGACTAAAATAACCTGGACAGACTGTACTAACCTGGCCTGTGTGAACCAGGGCGGACTGTTTCATCGTGGACTGACTTCATGAACCCAGACTGACTGTGTGAACCTAGACTGACTGTATGAACTTGGACTGACTGTTTGATCCTGGAATGACTTTCTGACCAGGACTCACTGTGAACCTGGAGTGACTTTTCTTTTGGAAGTCTAGGATCTGTATAGATCACATATTTTTAGGCTAAGCATCACTGTCTCAAAAGTCCTGTCCCCTGCTCTGTCAGTATTTGTGGTTAACTAAACACATCTTGCACACAGCTTGTTTTCAGGTTGCAGAATTTAGCAGAACAGTTTTTTTAAAACGTTTTTTCAGCCCATCATAGGGGACAGAGCGGACTGAGTGCAGACAGTCAAAGCAGAGCAGATTCCCCCTGATGGAGGCTTTTATCCTGAGCACCTCGTGTTACTTTTAGTGCATGCATATTTCAGAGCGACAGGCCCCACTGTGAATCAAATCTAACCTTTACTCTGAAAGGACCGCATCCTGTACACACAGACAGGCAAAGTGAGAGCGGGGTGGGAGTGGGTTTGATGTCAGTGTTGTGATGGCTGTAAATAGACAGGATGTGGTGGTGTTAGCTGTTTATGTCGGGGTGTGTTATTCTCATGCTCACTGTGGCTCCTGACCTACTTCTCCGCAACGCTTGGTCACACAGTTCACGCTCTGCCACAGGGGGGTCTGTGTGTGTGTTTGTGTGTGTGTGTGTGTGTGTGTGTGTGTGTGTATGGAGGGAGGTGGTGTCAGGGCTCAGGCGTCCACCATTTGGGTGATCACATATCAGAAGTCTTTTTTTCTTCTGTTCACACTCCAGCAGCTCAGACAGGTCTGTGTTTGAGACAGGAAGGAGACAGATGAGGAGATACAGAGAGTTTGGCTGTCAGAAATAAAAGTGATAAATGATAGATGCAAGCAGAGGGAGGGAGGAAAAGCCTCCAAGAGCCAACAGGTGGTATTTAAAGTCGTCTCAATGCCTACCTACTGTATATGTAGATCTTCAGGCATTTTCAGTTGAATGAAGAGAGCTCAGGTTGGTTTCGTCCTCAGATGTATAAACTCAGTTTTTCTATTATAACAAGTAACTTTTGGACCACATTGGAGCAGATCCTGATCTGCTCTTTCTCAAAAATAGATCTGGCAGTGTGTTATAAAAAGTCTGCAACCTCTCTGGACAATTTAGTCCAGATCTGGTGGGCCTTAGTGGGCTTAGATCAGGTTGAGTGTGGTCTATACTGAAAGAAAAATCTGTAAAATCCAACAAAAGAGTAAAGTTTTTACAGAGATTAAATTGGATTTCTTATTTTCATTTCACTGTTTCTTTTAACAGGTACATGTCATGGAAAACCAACTAGTAGTGAAATTTCCCAACCCCCCCTGAATGTATCAGAGGTGGTTGATCTCGCCTCCAGCTGACAACAAATCAGACTTGTTTTCTTCTCTTTTTCAGCACACACCTGACATATCTTGTGTTTTTACATTTTACTGATCTGCATCATGATGTTATTTTGGCATAACTTCAGACTGACATCAGATGTAAGTAAATATGAGTATATCTTTTTTTTTATTTTATTTTTTTAGATCCATGCTTCTGAAGTAAACCAGAGAAGCTCATCCGTTTACAGTGAAACTGAGACTTATGCATCATAAAGAAAAGACAGCCTTGGTGGGGAATGACTTGTCACTGACCCCTCTGGCTACATAAAAGGCCTGACAAATTGCTGTACATTACAAGATAACCAATACACTTGATTATTGAAAATTTAAGAAAGATCCGAAGGGTTAAATAATAGATTAAGAAAAACTTTGGCAACGAGCAAATGAGGTTCAAAAGTCTTCAGCTAAAGTCGGTATGATAAAAAAAAAAAAGTACCCACAAAGTTGGACACTTGGGTCAAAAGAGGCTGCTTTAAACCCCCTAATGTACCATACAGCGTTTGTGTCATGTATATTTGATGCTGTGAATATAAAAGAGACAGTGAGAAATTACTCAGAGGTATTCACTTTGACAGGATATAATGGCTTCCCTTGCATTGTGCACCGCCTCTGCATGCCATATTAGCTCTTAAAGCGTTTTGTTACACTGACCCCCTTTTACTTGTTGCTCCCGTCACTTCATTATCTCCTCTGTCACTTTGTTTTTCTCACCCCCGCCCCTCCCACGCGCGCTCCCCCTCAGCTGGAAGTGGCTGCCCTGGGTTTGCAGGCCTCGCAGCAGGCTCTCATGACTGGAAGCTTTAATGCTGCTGCTATTTCAGGCCCTCTGATGTCATCTGAAGGGGGGGCCGGCTCTCATCCCCAGAGCAGTGAGTCACAGCCAGAGAGGAGGAGGAGACTCAGTGAGGAAGAGGTACCACAGCATCAAAACAACAGCACTGGTTCAGTCTTTGTTCGCATTTTGACACCTGGGGAACGGCAAAAGAGTGCATGCTGTGCAAAACAGCCGCACCAGTGACAACCAGCGAGTACATGCTGGTGTGACTGAACTGATGCAGGCATTCTGTCAAATACTTGATACATGTAGTTAACAGTGCTACTTTAATTAATGCAGAAAAAGGTGGACCAGAGCTACATAGAAAAACAACAAAGCTTGAATTAAATGTTAATTTCTTTCAATTTTCAAATTGATGTAAATTTGCAGGTTTGCTCTTTGACAGGTTCTGCACACTGATGGCTGTAGATGCATTCATTTAAAGAGGCTGATCAGATTGAGCATGGTCCTGTAGGTGTAAAGCTGTCACCCATGGATAAATGTGGCTAAGACTGAGGAAATGATTATTGATTTTTACAAGTCTAAGACCAGCGTCACCTAAACTGTCACTCAGGATATGGATGTGTCCTACAGTAAGGACTTTGGGGTCAATATCACTAAGTGTCGAACCCAACACCAACACTGTAAATAGCCTTTTGAGGAAATATATGTTATTATGATAGACGTGTTGACTTTAATTTCACATGAATGGAATTAAGATATGATAAAGAGCTTTAAGTATAAAAGAGAGTTCGCTCTAGACCTAAACACTGTAGAAGTGTCTTCGCCTGGATAGAGAAATTTCCTCTATCTTTATGGTGAACTGTGAGCATTTCTTGTGTTTGAGGTGCCGCCCTGTGGATCAGATTTCCTTTGAGGAAAAAATAACAATAAATTTGACTTGAGCAAAAGTTTTTACTTTTTAATTTTAACTGTAAAATATTAAGAAATAAGCCTTTCCCTTTTTAAATTTGTTCTAAACTTTTTTGTGTGCTTTTTTTCAGGATCAAATACAGTTTTATTTTTCATGTTAAAATACTGAAGGATATATTTGTGACTTTAAAAGAAAACTTGAAAGAAACTTTAAAAGGAGTTTGGCTTGTGTTTTGCTAATATTTTGGTGATATTTTTTGTTGATGTTGTTTTTTGGTCCAAAGGTTTTGGCACTTGTTTGAGTCCTATTATTAAAACATCATTTTTGTCAAACCACAAAAGAGGGAAAGTTTAAAACTTCAAAACATTGGTAAAATATTGGCCCTTGATGACACTTCATAATTTCTTTATATTTAACTCTGGTACTCATTTAAAGTTTCATTAAAGTTTGAGTAAGAGCAGCACTCCTGTGACTTTCTTTCCTCAAATCCTTTCCTATCCAAGCTAACTATTAAGAGCTTTAGCCCTGGCAGACCCCCCATAAAAGTTCTGTATGATTATCGCAAATAAATTTGTTGCAGAGCGCAGGGGCACAGTGCTCTTGCTGCCATCAGACCATACAGCGTCAGAGCTATTTTGATGGCTCCTTTTTATACGATGACACCACAGCAGCATCAAACTCCAGACTGCTCCACAACTGGTCATTCGCCCAAACCCGGCACTCATCACAAACTGACGTGCGTATGGATGCGAGGGGGTGGCTCAGTGATACTTGCAGCTCCTAAATTGAGTTTTTATGACATTTTGATAAATTTGGAAGATTTTTAGGGATTGATTTGAATTCCTGGAATAAATTTTGTTAACCTTTTGACACTAATTTCTGCGCATGTGTGACCATTTTCGATCAAAAACTTGTTCAGCATAAACGCTCTGTTTCATAGTTAAGGTTTATTGTTGATAAACTCTCACTGTTTAAAAACAAAAATATTTTATATACTCTACAAAAGATGAGGTTGTATTTCCAGGTATTTCTGTCCATGGGAACACACGTCTTTGCTTTTGCATCAGCCTCCAAATAACACTGGGTGTTATCGTCATGGGCAGAAAACAGACACAGGGGCTGAAGGAGATGTTGTTTTTCTCCTGTCTCCCTGAGTGATGTCATCCTCATTCAGACTCTGCCTACACAAAGTCGTGGCAGCTCTCAGCATCCACTGTCGCCATGGCTACAAGACTGCATCTGCCACACTCCCATGCGCCCGAACCACCAGGCGCCGCTCAGGCAGCCATTGGCCGGCACGTCAGACTGACGGGCGCTTTGTCCAACGAGAGAGCAGGTGAGTGATGTCATGGTAAGCTGAGATGTGTTTCCAAATGCAGAGAGTCGGCGAGCTTCTGCTGACGCACCAACTTGACAAACCAGCCTGTCACATTAGCAGTTATGGCTTTGAAAGAAACAGGGGATGCAAGACGTCAGGCAGAGGATGTTTTTTAAGAGCTGACCAGATCTCCCTGTCCTTTGTTCACCCCGATAGAACCATTAAAGCCTGTGCTTACCAGGATGGGGGGGCATTTATGGGTGGGGTTTGGCTCTGTGGCTCAAAACATGGCATGTCCCAGCTGGCCATGATTAATTTTAGAGACAGATCTGATAACACCTCCAATTTAAACAAACATGCACAGCATCATAAATCAAGGGAACCAACAAGTGACTCACTTTTCCCAGCTAAAAAACAATTCCAGTACCTAGACTAAAGAACTGGCGAGAACAAGATGTCCTTTTAATACTGCTGAGATCAGAAAATAAAAGAATTATGAGGAGAAAAAGCCCTGATCACTCTGCAGTAGATAGGGTTACTGTTGTAGATTGTTGTCATATAATAATTGATTTTTAACTGATTAGTTCTGCTAGATAAGAACCAGCATTGAGCACTGTGAGAGACTTAAATTTTAGATTTTAATTGCATGTCTGAAATTCCTCTATTTTTCCTTTCAATAGATAGATAGATAGATGTACTTTATTGATCCCAAACTGGGAAATTCTCTTGTTACAGCAGCAAAGGGAAAATACAAAAACATTAAATATAAGAAGAGGTAAGTACAGTGCAGACTAAAATTACTAAAAGTACTAAGTATATGCAATAAATACAGACTAAATATACTAAACATCCTAAGAGGTAAAAGTGAGATATGAAGAACCTGGGCTATTGAATAGGTAATAAATAGGAAAGCGAAATATTACAGATGGGGTAATATCAAAACAGTTTTAAGTCTATTTCAACCATGCTAGGCATTAGAGATAAACCTCTGAAGTGTGTGCAGTAAATGGCATGTGTTTGCACGGCAGGAGTGTTGTTACTGCTACTGTCACATTCAACAGGCCACAGATCAGGACACTGTTTCCTACCAAGAAGGTCAGTTACAAACCTGCCATGAAAAATCAAGTGCAATTAAATCGACCGTTATAAAAGAGTTCAGCTTCTTGATTTCCTCACAACAGGAGCGTTCAGTCCGTTTCCAGCAGTCAGAACAAACAGTTTAAAGTGGTGTTCCATGTTTTTGAGATCATGGTGAACAGATCCCTTTGAAAAACCTTTACTTACAGCCTTTCTCTTCTCTCATACCTCGGTCCCCTTTCTCATTAGGCGGCAGCTGCCTGATTGTCCCAGTCAAGATGATTTTGTTTGATCTCCTTGTGTCTGATGTGTGAAAAGGTTTGATGAATCATGTTTGGGCTATCAGAGGCCATTTGGATAATCCTGCAGAGCCCCTGAAACAGCAAAGTGTCGTATTTTTGGAAAAGCAACATGGACGATCTTCAAATCCTTTCATGTTGTCCCTTAAAAGCCAACAAATTGCCTGTACCGTCCTTTTATGCCCACAGAGCAAGCAGCCTCCTTTGTTGCCAAGAACTAAAGAAGCATCAAGCAAGTTTGTTTACCATTTCATCTCCTCAGTAGAAGTGAAGTGGTGCACTTCATAAGAAAGCAGAGAAATACACCAGAATTTAAACATCAATTCAAACCGCAGTCATAATTCATTAAGCAGACGAGTCCTCAGAACAGCTGCTTATGATTCAGGGCCGCCTCTAACACGGATCAACTTTGGTGAAATGTGATGTGAAATGAGAGGACGCACATTATCACTGCATCTGAGTATCATAAGACTGACAGAGGGGTGCTCGGATCATCTAAATTATTGGCTGTATATGATGAGACATGAAGTGAATTCAAACTTATAATCAAAGTAGTTCAACTCCAG